ATACGCCCACATTTTCATGTGGACGTATATTGTCGTCGTCCACAATTGTTTGTGAACAGTCTACAGGTCACAATTTTTATCCGATTTCAATGAAACTTGAAATATAGGTCTATCACTCTGAGATCTCGGTTCCTTTCGATATTGGCATGTATGGAGGCAGACCACCATTAAATTTAACCATCTCGGTACCCACGAATTGTAGTTTGTCTATTTATAGCAATTCTCTCTCTCGCTCTCTTTTCTTCCCTTTTGCATGCTCATTTTTGTTGATTGTTTGGTCTAGAATGGACGAAGAGGGTTTGAATTAACATTTTCTGCCAGGTTTTGGTAAATATTCATGATTTTGAGGCGGAAGGATAACAGCGTTATCAGGTTGGGTACGGCGATATGTACGGCAACTAGTTATTTGTTTTTAGTATGCTTTTTCAAGTTTGTGTATCTCAAAATTTTGGTGTTCAACCTCATACAAATTTTAGTGCAAAGACATGACCATTTGTTCCCCTGTCTGTAGTGAAAAGCATTAAGCCCAACGAAAATTTGGGGAAAAGTTGGAGGTGGGCAAAGAGGCCAGAATTAACATTGAAGTCAATGGGGAAATTAATGGTTGTCTGCCTCCTGTATCGGACCGTAACTTCATGGATTATGGCCCCTGATTGTACGAAAAATCACGTTTTTAGCCTGTGAACACCGTAGAGGTCACAAATTTTATCCGATTTGGTTTAAACTTGAAATGTATGCTTATAACCCAAAGATCTCGGTTCCTGTCGATATTTGTGCATATCGGAACGTAACTTCCTGAATTATGGCCCCTGATTGTACGAAAAATCGCGTTTTTAGCTTGTGGACCCTATAGAGGTCATAATTGATAATATTAGATACAACAATAATTAATATCCGTTATAATTAGTGGAAGTTCAGTTTCTTGAAGTGAAAATATTATAAACACATTTCGATACCATCTATTATTTGAATGGAAATATTGTTACAGGATTAGAAAATACGACTAGAAGTAGTCAAAAACTTCCAACACAAGTCATTTGAACGGTTTAATTCGAGATAAGAAAGATTCACACTATAAGAATTTATGAAAATGTAAGCAAAGAGATCAATGGCAGTTTATAATTTTTATATAGAAGATATATTTATGACGATATTTTAGTAAAAAACACGAAACTAATTTATCTGATGACGTAGTAGATCTGTTTATATAAAGTTTATATAGATGCCAAATTACGTGTGTTTTCGAGTTCCACACTATTATCTCTTAAAAATTCTTTTAATTGTTTACTTATTGTTTCAAACTTACTTTTGTTTTTTTATGCTATCAAATAAAAAAGATTTTTTTTACATAATGTGTTTCAGTCATGGGGGGGGGGGGGGTATATCAATAGCCTATTATACTGGTAATACCGGCCTGCGAGAAATCAGGAACTAAAAGAACACCACGTCAGATGAATATTACACACACACAAAAAAAGAAGTAATTGTACCACAAAAGATGATATCACAACAAAATAAGAAATATACATAACAAAAATAATACAGACAAGGAAACATGTCCTTAATTCTGGTTGCTTAGTCATATCCTGAATATATACATTTGTACACCGATTCGACATTTGTTTAATTATATTATTACCTAGTTGCGCTTTTTTTTCTTTTTTTTTTTAAAAATCCATAATGTTTTCCAATGTCTTCTACTTTTTTTTGAAAATGCACATTATTATTTTAGTAACATCAGATGTATAATATATCTAGCAGAACAAATTGTTCAAATACAACTCTTATCAAACAAATTTCTAAATTTCTTCTAAAGAAATACAGCTATATAAAATAATGAAGTGAAAGTATATATAGTCTTTATTTATTTACCGTAAACATAGCAGAATTTTTACTTTTTCTAAACTATATAACTAATAGAGGCAGACGGTGACAACATCTGAACGAATCTGACAGAAGGGTAATTATTGTACAAATGACTGTTGTTCATAATATAAAAACAACAAATATAACCTTGAGCTATGATTACTCTTGGGGTGGGTGGGGTGGGGGGGGGTAAGCGTCCTCATACTTGGTAAACTCATTAATAACTCATAGAAGTTTAATGTTTATTAATGGATCAATGTTGGCCAAAGCCTGTCTGCCAGAACAGTGAAATGTACAAGCCAAGTGTAACAGAGTTCATATGATAAACATATTAATTTCTATCCGAGTAACTCATTATACTCTGAGTAATAATATACCACCCGAGTAACTCATTATACTATAGTAGTGTGAATTTGGACTCAATAGTAAATGTTTAATACATCGTGCTAATCCGCACAGTATTGCTTATTTCAGTAAATTATATTTTAATGGATTTTAATCCACCTTAATTACCCACTATTTATATCTACTTCATATTGTCTTATATATTTCACTAATCACCTGTCTCCAGTATTCTTTGTTTTAAACTTTAAATTGAGCTTATAAATTATAATTAACGTCTACGGGCTATAGCGTTTAGTTACCAAGGTTTCTAGATTGATAGGATTAATGCCCAAGGTTATGCATGGGGATATATAGACCCAAATGACAGAATTTGGAGAGAGCTGGCTACACACGTGTCTTGGGAGATCAACTTAGATCACATACCTAAGAACAGACCTTACTTACCTGTATTTGGATATTTGGAGACATAAGTTTATGTCAATTCCCATATCCACATTGGAGCTTATTTACTATTAAGCATTGGACCAATAATTGTTATATTAATTGTCTGCTGTGATTACTGTTTACCAAAAGAATATAGAGAACAAGCCAACAGTGAGGCTGATGTCCCCCGCCGAAATCCAAAAATAAATAGATGACACATATTTATTAATCGCACATTTATTTTTTTCAAAAGTATCGAGCAATCAAACTATACACTAAGTTTCAGCACTCTCCATCAGATAGAATCAAAGTTATCTTGTCCCAAAGCATCGACTAATGTAAATCATTGAACTCAGCCATGACATGACAGCAGAGAATATTCATTATCGAACTAAGTCAAGGTATTGATGTAATAAAGCTATACACCAAGTGTCCTCACTCTCACTTAATTCGAACTAAAGTTATCGTGTCCCAAAGCATCAACCAATCAAATTGCTTATCCCTGCTTACCCTAAGCAGAAAATTCTCATCTTCAATCTCCATCAAGGCATTCACCTATCAGACACCTACGCCAAGTGTGAACATTCTAACTCAACTAGAATGAGAGTTATTGTGTTCCAAAATCTTGACCAAACAAATTGCTTATCTCTGCTTAACCTAAGCACAAAATGCTCATGTTCGAACTCCATCAAGACATTGACCTAATTAACACCTACACCAAGTTTGAACATTCTACCTCAATTAGAAGGGGAGTTATTGTGTTCCAAAGTCTCGGCCAATCAAATTGCTTATCGCTCTGCTTACCCTAAGCAGAAAATGCTCATTATCGAACTTAGTCAAGGTATTGATGTAATGAAGCTATACACCAAGTTTCATCACTCTCACTTAATTAGAACTAAAGTTATCGTGTCCCAAAGCATCAACCAATCAAATTGCTTATCTCTGCTTACACTAAGCAGAAAATGCTCATCTTTGAACTCCATCAAGGCATTGACCTAATAAACACCTACACCAAGTTTGAACATTCTGGCTCAGTTAGAGAGAGTTATTGTGTCCCAAAAAGTGTGACGGACGGACAGACACACCGATTTTAATAGTCCCCTGCTTTCTTCGAAAGGCGGGGGACAAAAATACAAATATTATATAATAAAGAAGTTAAATAACATTTGCAGGAAAACGGAATATGAAAATCGATTCCCTCCTTCCACTACTTATTTATGAGGGCTATCCAGTTATATATCAGCTAAATTGCGATAAAATAATATTTTATATCAATAATTAGTATAGCTTGTGCCATCGTGTATTCTATGCCGTTGATTGTGTGTCAACCGAATAATTATTATCTAGTTTATATGCTAAAAACTGTATCACCAAAGGGGGATAATTTAGATAACAAGGTATTACTGTAATGAAACTATACACCAAGTTTCATCAATCTCACTTAATTAGAACTAAAGTTATCGTGTCCCAAAGCATCAACCAATCAAATTGCTTATCTCTGCTTACCCTAAGCGGAAAATGCTCATCTTCGAACTCCATCAAGGCATTGACCTAATCAACACATACACCAAGTTTGAACATTCTAGCTCAATTAGGAAGAGAGTTATCGTGCCCCAAAGTATCAACCAATCAAATTGCTTATCTCTGCTTACCCTAAGCGGAAAATGCTCATCTTCGAACTCCATCAAGGCATTGACCTAATAAACACATACACCAAGTTTGAACATTCTAGCTCAATTAGGAAGAGAGTTATTGTGTCCCAAAAAGTGTGACGGACAGACAGACAGACATACGGACGGACGAACCCATTTTAATAGTCCCCTGCTTTCTTCGAAAGGCGGGGGACAAATATTAACAACCATCAACAGTCTTGTCTTCATTTCATCAACGCAACGAATATTCCAGAAAATACACAAGAATCGCACTTGTACAATACTATGAGTGACAATATACATATTATGACAGAGGGAAACTTACAAGTTGAACTATAACCTTTTGAGAAGAGCAACCAATCATTTTATTATTGTTGTTTTTAAAATTATTTTACCCCCAAGGAATAGGAAACAAAATCTTAACAGGTGGTTCTCAAGAAATAACCATTTCCAAGGGATAATCATCTCGATACACTGGACTATACTCATACATATGCATGAATGTGATATGGGATCTTAATTTATTTTTAGTTAATAGTGACATGTGGAGTAAGATATGCCTGGTTGAACAACAGAATTAAATATTCATTTCACACACAATATGTTTGAGTAAATCAATAGAAATGAAGACTACAATATTCGATCAACATGAACGACATGGTCCACTTCATTCATTCCTTAACATATCTAAATAATACCCGAATGGAGGTATTGTTAACAGTGACCATGCTAGTAATTGAGCTGTAAGAAAAACTGTCCGCCAACTGAAGGCACTGTTCGGTATTTCTTTGCATAAAGCGGGTATTATTCCATTTCATTAAAAATTTCACAGCTAATTAACCTCCTGATATGTTCAAAAATAACAGGACATTAACGACAGACATAACAGAAGCATTAATCGGAAAGAAATTCAAAGGGTCACAAGTGAAGTTTGGGTTGTTTTAACCATTGTATTGTCGACATCCGGAAGGCATTGATTTAATCACTATTATTCTAAGGGAGTTTTCAGGGCGACAGCCTTCGGAAGCAGTCGTAGAATTCGGAGCAGGGAAGTGCAGGGGACTATATGAAGGTACGGAAAAACTATTATTCTTTTATCTTGAAATGGGCATTGCTATCAAGTCCAGCAAAATTCTGCTGTCCATTTATAGGCGATGGTGTAGAGCGATGGGGGCTGGGGCAAAATAAGTTATTTTCGAGCTAAAATCAATTGTTTGAGTCATTTAACAGCGATATTTCAGGCAATTTGGCGTTATTCAGTCAAATGCATAGGTGCCTTTGCATGCGCGTAATTATTCGACTTGGTGTTACAGCAAATGCGGTTATCCTTCGAAAAGTGGCCAAGAGTATAAGAATTGGAATCGCAAGGCAAGAAACTCATCCTTATAAGGTCCCTTCAAGACAATCGAGAAACCCTGGACGATATAACTGTGCTTTGTTTTGTTTTTTTCACATACATGTATATTCAGTTGAATCTATATTTCGTTTACATAAAAATGTAGGTGTGTGTTTACATTAAAATAATCTTAGAAACGCTAGACAATCTGGTGGGTTATCATTTAAAGCAGTGGTTCCCAACCTTTTTTGGGTTGCGACCCCATTCAAGAAACAATTAAGCAACTGATCGCGATCCCTCAAAGAACAAAATCATCTTTTACTATGAAACAACATCATTATTTACATTAGTGTTTCACGTATTTGACAACTTATTGTTTTAAATTTTTACACCGTTATAAATATTGAGGAAATATGATTGGCAATGAAATGAAATGAAATGGGGTTTAAAATCCTACTGTTCTGCTCCGATTGGGATAATGAAGACGGGCATATGCCATTCAATGTGCTATGGTGGAAATTTAGCCCGGGCAACGGCACTATGGCCTACTTTTATATCGAATTCCAACTGCCAAGGGATCTCTTACGTGGACGCCGGTGTTTACACGGGGTCCCATTTTTCTGACCATCCAAAAGACTAGACAGCTGTCCTTGTTAGACTTTCCGTCCTGCACCACTGACAAGAGTAAACCACGCCGGAAAATCCCGATTATTGACAGGGATGATTGGCAATGTGGCAATAGATAAGAGATGTGTATGCTTTTCATGAACCCAGGATTTAAAGGGAATTTGTAGTTTCAAATGGAATCATACATATAGGTTCGATTTAAATAAATCATCCTTGTTCTTATTAAGCTGCAGGATCAACCATACCAATACAGTATTAAATATAATCCAAAGTCTGTTTTCAGGATAGTTGCGATGGGGGATTCAGTTGGAGAATTTCCCTTTAACTTCTCCTGGGTGATTGAAGATGAGTTATGTGCCCTTGGTTTTCCTGATACCCCAGGAAATATGCAGTATTTAGTCAACAATAATGTTGGTTATCTCGTTTCCTTGACAGCAGAACGACGTCCAGATATACAAGGATATGAAAAGGGTATTTGTAAATTCTTGTCTTAATTTCGTCCTGTTGATTTGGTTGGTAGCTCTGTAGTTTGTTAAAACGTTTCGGCCCGCAAATTGGGCGTCTCGATAATATTAATCCTCGAAAAAATTTCTCCGAATTTTCTGCATCACCGATTTTGATTGGTATAGGCTGATTAGGAGTCAACCAGTCATAAACTTCATAAAGGGTTTTGATTATCGAGTCGCCAGATTCACTGCCTTGCCACTGTTAAGGACCAAAACGCTTCAGATGTTAATAGCTCTATAGGAACCAAATAAACAGAACAGACATTGCCTTTTTACGCAAAATGTTAATTGTACCGACACATTTTGTGGACCCTCTAGAGCCCACAATTTCTGTCCAGTATAGATGAAACTTCAAATATTTGTTTAGGATCATTTAAATTTGGACAATCTGGTGTGATTGTATTTCAACAAATTATTTTGATATTGCTGATATTGAAGAGAGATTTTTTAGAGATGAAGTGTTGTCAACAAGCGATAAATAAAACCGAACAGAAATGAAATGAAATTTAACGTCCTACTGGGCTAATGAAGACGGCCATACGCCATATGGTGTGCTATGAGGGAAATTGTGCCCGGACAGCGGCAATATGGCCTACTCTTAATTCGAATTTCAACTGTCAAAGGATCTTTTACGTGCACACCAATGTGTACACGGGACCTCGGTTTTTCGTCCCATCCAAACGACTAGACAGCTGTCCTTCTCAGGCCATCCGTCCTGCATCATTGACCAGGGGAGACCACGCTGGAAAATCTGGATGAACTTTCTCGACCAATGCAGGGATCGAACACCCGACCTCCAGGCTAGCGAGCCAGCATCTTACCAAGTTAGCCACAGCGATCCCCTAATACGGAACAAATTCTTGATTGGTCAAAAATATAACTGTTGGAATAGTAAAGTTAATGTACATACACCTTTTGATTTGTTTGTTTGCCATGCTGTCAATCAGAATCAATTGTAAGAATAACTATTTGATATATCATAGATTTACATCTGACGTGTATAAAGATAGTAGACTTTACACCACCTACATTACAACAAGCTGAGGTCTTTCTACAAATGATGGAGAAGGCTAGAAGAAATAAAAAGGTAATAAATTGTTCTGGAGCTAGGTCAAGTGTCATCTCAGACTTGCACAAACTAAGTCTGAGATGAAACTTAGCTTAGCTCCCACACTCTACCCCCCCAAGTAGTTTTGGCGTTTATGATGGTTTGGAAATCGAATGCCAACCTCCATCAATAGTATTTGACCTCATTTCAGAGTTATGTATAACCTCTGCTCTTTGTAAGCAATGTCCCTTAAGAAAATCTTCAGACACTGTTCAATCAAACCGCGGTAGCAAATTTTTTGTTTTAAAAAATGAAAGGTATATGCTGCTAAACATTGGAACAACTGGTGCAATTTGAGAAAGCTGTTTATATCGATGTCTCTTTCAGCAAGTAATTTGTAAGGCCGCAGCAATAAGTTTCTATTATTATTCCAGGCTGTGGCTATACACTGTGCTCATGGAAAAGGAAGGACTGGAACAATGGCGGCCTGTTATTTAATAAAAGAATATGGTTATACAACTCGACAGGCTATAGACAAAATACGTCAAATAAGACCAGGGTCTATAGAGACTAGAGATCAGGAATTATTCGTTCACCAATTCGAGGAATACCAAAATACTTGCTAGAAAATAACGTATATAGTCCATACCAATATCATGAGTATAGGCTCCTGGACCTGTCTACCACTTGGTACAAGAGATAGTCCGAATGATTAACGGGGTGGGTTCTTGGACTATTGCATGGAATTTGTCAGATTTAGTACCGAATTGATCAACAAAATAAAACAACTAAGGGTATAAATTGTTTAAATATAGAACATCACACGACCTAGTTACATATAGCTCCGATACTGGAAATTTGGTGACCCCGCTTGCTATGAGGTCATCATAGGCTCAGATTGTGCATTTAAGCGTAGCCACCTTTCCAACCTTAAAGATACATTATTGGAGATAAAGGCCGGCAGTTCTCACTATAATAGTTAAAAACTAGATAATGTAAAGGGAATTTGCTGAAATTTTCAGTCAAATTGATCCACTATGAACCGAGAATTTAGTGATTGAATTTTCGGCCTAGCCTCGATCATCATTACTAAAGTCGGTGCGATAAAAAAAACAACATAGTCTCGATTATCCACTTCATGATTTAATCTGAATCAGGAATAAAGTTGAACAGCAAATCGGATCCTAATCCAGTAAATATCGCAGACTAGCGTTGACATCAAGAGTTGATTATGGTCTGGATAAGTTAATTAATGTCTAATTAATAATGTTTTTAATATATAGATTGCGTGCACTTAAGACTTTAAAAAGCTGATATTATAGAAATTATAAAATTTGGAACACATGTACATTTATCCAGTTATAATATAATGTAAAGATATTGACCATTACTATAATGGTTGTTGTCCGGGAAGATTCCTTGGTATTTCCTGGCAGTGACTATTAACCTTTACAATGCATCATTATTATGGTTAATTTATCAAGCTATACCTTAGTCTGTACAATATGTTCCAACAGTTTTTATTTCACATTCCAAATAATTTAAATCGGACATTTTTAGCACCAGAAAATAGTATGTGATTATCTAGAGTGTGCAGCTTGTTGTAATCTTCCAGTATATTTAAACACATAGCCTCTTTTTAACAATTCTATCACAATATTAGCTATATTCTTACAATCATCTAAAATAAACAAAAAACATCAAATATTATATCTATTGTATAAAACTGTCACAAATTAAAGAACTTGAAAATCGTCCAACAAAAAATATTTGACAATCTGCAGTTTGCAATCTTCACTGAATTGTATATAGCAGGTGATTTCGCTGTTGCTGGCTATACCATTGCTGGTTATATTTCATCAAACGGTAGTTTCTTTGCTTTGGGTCGAACCAAATTGTCGAATGGGGCTGATACTGCATGTTATATCATATTTTCCAATCGCGTGGGTTTTCTCTGGGTCCTTCGGTTTCCTCCCACTGCTAAAGACCCCTACTCGCAAGCGAATTATTGAAATAAAATTAAACCATAAGTTAGTCCCGAAATGACCTAGTCTGTGTCGAGTGGACGTTAAACTTCATTTTTCTCTCTATCTCATATTTTGTGATGGCGCAAAATCCTTTCCATTCAATTTTTATTTCGGCAGAGTAATAAAAAGGATTATTTCTTAACTAAATAGTTTCATTTCTTACTTAAACAAAATAGGTTATTTCTCGATCTGACAACCCCCAAATAAGATATGGGCTTATCAAAATGATATTCAAGAAGTAAGAGATTAATTTTGTGCGCCGAACCCCACCATCATTAAAGAAATGAAATGAAATGAGGTTTAACGTCCTACTGTTTTGCGCCGAACTGGGCTAATGAAGACGGGCATACGCCATACAGTGTGCTATGAGGGTAATTTCAAGAAGTAAGAGATTAATTTTGTGCGCCGAACCCCGAAACCCACCATCATTAAAGAAATGAAATGAAATGAGGTTTAACGTCCTACTGTTTTGCGCCGAACTGGGCTAATGAAGACGGGCATACGCCATACAGTGTGCTATGAGGGTAATTTTGCCTGGACAGCGGCACTACGGCCTACTCTTATATCGAATTCCAACTGTCAAGGGATCTTTTACGTGCACGCCAATGTGTACACGGGACCTCGATTTTTCGTCTCATCCGAATGACTAGACAGCTGTCCTTTTCAGGCCCTCCGTCCTGCATCACTGACAAGGGGGAACCACGCCGGAAAATCTGGATGAACTTTCTCGGCCAATGCAGGGAACGAACACCCGACCTCCAGGCTAGCGAGCCAGCGCCTTACCCACTTAGCCACCGTGATCCCCCCATCATTAAATAGCAAAATCTTAGGTTCGCCACTGCTGAAAATTAGGTTTTCTTAACAATATTAACCATGAACGAACGGGCACAGGCGTACAGGCTCGATGGCTGTTAGGGGGCAGAACTCGAAATGCACCCCCCACCCCAGGCCCCACAAACCCCACCCCCCAAAAAAGAAAAAAAAATCGGAAAATTTGACAACCGCAAACGCGTTTTCCTACCACTCAAGCCCGTTAATACAATAATTTCAAAGTGGTCTAACAAGCCTAGCTGGCTGACTCGAATTCATATCAACCAATCAATCGTTTACAGTTCACTGAGGCGGGGGTGATCGGGGGAAAATTTTGAAAATTTAACTGCCGTAAACGCGTTTTCCTGCCATTTCTGCCCTTGAATACAGGAACTACAGTGTGGTCCAATATAGCCTACCTGAGGTGGCTGACCCGAATCACAAACAAACAACCAATCGTTGCGGGCCTCGCCCTCCAGAAAATTTTTCTGCTATTCTATCCCGTGAGTTAAGCAACTCCAAAGTTGTCTGATGGTTTTGTAACCGAAATCCCACTCAATGCTGACCTGAATTCCAACCATCCAATCAGATTGGTGCAGCTGCATTCACAAATAATAATCGATGCCCGAAAATGTCGCACAAAGTAGAGCGACTCCAGACAAAATGTTTTAACCCATAGTCAATTCAGTACAAATTCGTGGTATTTAATAAAAAGAAAAGTAAAATTGGTGTTTTATTAGATTTCGGGCACTTTATTTTGCCAACTAGATGAAATAATAATTTTTGTTTTCACTTTACCCGCGAAAAGTCAGATTGCCCGAAAGTTAGGGGCAGCGCCCCTCCCCCCACCCCCTGGCTTGTACGCCAATGCGAATGGGAGGCTCATTAACTTCAACAAGCAAATAGAAATGAAACAGGATTTAACGTCTTGTTTTTGTTAATCTTTTGACCAACATGGGCAATGGGAGCGAGCAAGCAAATAGGGAATTGTTTTAATATATAAACCACAGGAAATATTTAAAGAACCTACCAATACCACTGTGATGTCGTCCTTGGTGTTTTAACTTTAACTGACTTAACATGGGCATCATACCCTGCGGAAATACACTCATCACATCTGAAAAAGACTAATATATAAACAAGATAAAATATGAGTTATCCTTATATCACGTTTATAGTAATTATAATAAATATGGTTTCTGTACAACAATAGCAATCAAATCATAAACTGATAATCCACAATTATTGTTATATAAAAAGGACAATTAAATTCCGCCCATGCCCCACTCGCGACCAACATTAAGCAGTATTCCAATCTATGTTCATGATCGACAATTGTAAATGCGAGGAAGTAAATTCGACGACTAAAGGCACCAAAAACAAACAATCGGCATTGTAAGTAGGACAAACGGAGATTCTTTTAAAAATGAAATTAAATGAGGTTAAACATCCTACTTTTCTGAGATTCGTATACAAAACCAGCAATGGCTTTCTGTGCAATACTAAGAGAAGTCCAGCTTAACGGACCGACTATCCGCATTATAAAGCCATCCATCTATAGAACATAAATGAGCAACTTTTTAGATGTAATCTAACTTAGTCTGCAATGTAAATGTATAGTCAAATCGCGGAAAATCGAAAGGTATTTTTGACAGACAGGATGTTTCTTAATGACCAGCCTGTTGGGTATAGTTAGAGATACCTACGACTGTTAATCTCATATAAATTCACTATCACATTCACCTTTACCTGAAACTGTAATTATATTCGCGTACAGTGGTGTTTTTTTTTTTAACCATAGATATGCGGCAAAAATAATCCAGATTATATTATTTCATCAGACCGATCAGTTTCGTTTAACGTATAGCAAGGAATGTCGTTTCTGTAACTAAATTATAATAAATTGTTCTGGGTCCTGTTTCTCGAAATCTTAACAAAAGATAAAATCAAAATTTTAGTAGATACTTCAATTTTAAATGGCTAAGCTCTAAAATCAATCTAATATTATCCAATTAAATTACTAAAATTTGGATTTTATCTTAGTTAAAATTTCGTAAAATGGTCCCCTGGCAGGGACGCTTGTTTACCAAGACTTCAGTCGGGTCTTTAATCAGGGCCTTTTGATATAGAAGAAAGAGGAGGCTTTCCAGATTTATTTAAATGGTACTGGATTGAAAATTTATACCTTGTACGTGTAAACCAAGGGTGAAACTCTGAAAAGGCCAAAGCAATTTATCCCTTTTGAAAAAAAAAATCATTGTAGGTTTTATATATGAATCTTTGTTTTTCGTTGTCGTTAATGTTGTTGTTACCGGTTGTGATTAAAATAGAAGATTCGGAACTTACTCTTTTAAGATTGATCCATTGGTTGAAATAATCTTCAGGCTTTATATGGAAATAGTCACACTGTTTAGGTAACCTGATAAACAATTATTTATACATTAAACAGTAAAATGGTGGTTTAAACGGTAATCTACATTAGTGGGATTTCAAAGAACCATGCATGGTATTTCTGTACCAAAAGTTCCAAAAGAGAAACATTTTTTGTCCCCGACACTGTAATAACTAATACAAAGGTAACTGTATTTTTCATAGTTTGCTACATATGTATACCTCATCCCATATTAACAAATAGAATAGATGTACAGACTAACCAAAACAAAGAATCTATTTAGATGTGACTAGAAACTTTATTTGTGACAAAAGGCCACCCATTAGATTACTAGACAAGCTTATTTCAATGGGTACAATATATTTATTTCTTATACCGGAAAATGGTTATATGTGGGACCTATTGCAATCTGATTAAAATACAGATCTATATTTCGTTTTGTTTTTTTATACTTTGGATGACCTCTAGTCTCCTGCATAAAAATTTGTCTAGTTGTAACAGGATCCTGTCAGAGGTCATACGAGCGAGTGGCTTTTGACCCTATGACGTTAGACATTTGATTAACCGATCAGCTTTGGTGCTTCTAGTGGGTTATCCACAGTTCCATGCAACTCTTCCAAAAATTCGCCCTAACAGACTGTTTCATTGGCTAATCCCTCACATCCATAGGAATATCGGTTATACAACAACTCTTCCAGATCCTAGTGTAGTAAAGACAAGTAAAATGAAATTTTGAACTATAAAAATGAGACGAAATAGGATCTGTGTTTTAACCAGATTGGAACTATTGTGTTAACTTTCCAGTTATTTTATATATTATTTCAAGCAATTTTGGTTTAAAGGGCATTCACATCTACACTGTACAAAGGTCAATTCACAGATATATCATCATCCTTATGCAACCTTTTTGGTTGCTTTTTTATTTTCTTCCTAGCATTTTATTATTCTAGAGACTTATAATTATCAATTTCAAATACATTTTCCTTCTGGTTAGGCTTAAGGGACAGGTCTCTTTCATGCATATAAAGCTTAAAGTGCAGTCTCAGATATTAGTATTTTCTGTTTAAAAAAGGATTCTGAAAATCTGTTCCTACACTTGCTGAAATCTTAGCCGTAAGTGTAGTTCAAGATTGTTAAGTCACTAAAGCAACTGAAAAAACACAGATAATATTGTAATAATAGAGTAGTGGTTACCAGCTTGCCCACACAATAATTCATTAATATTGAGACTAACAAGAGAGAGAGAGAGAGAGGGGGTTTATCGTCCACATGACACAAACTAGGTCATTTCGGAATTAACATGGTTTAATTTTATTATTTCAAAAATTCGCTTGCGCTTACAGGTCTTTAGCAGTGGGAGGACCCGGAGAAAACCCACGAAGTTGGACAGGCGACCCTACTCCTTGTCACTTACATCCGGGGATTTGAAACCACGCCAGTTGACTCAATGACAGGCCTTATGATACAGCGCACGTGCTAACCGTTCAGCCATCCAACCCCCTGAGACTAACAAACAGGAATGTTCATTTCCATGGACATATACGTAATGCAAGGAGGAATTTTGCCTGGGCAGCAGGTTTCTGCCCAGGTAACTTCGAATTACAACAACCATGGGTTCTTTAACATTGGAAGACTAGGCACACTTTGTCAGCCCCATTGGTGCCCCCCCCCCCCCCCTGAAAAGTAACAATTGGTTTTAAGCATTTTATAGCATCTATAATAAATCTTACATTAGTTTTAAATCCCAATCACCACAAGTTACAAAAGCAAACTTCACTCCTTCATTTAGTAGACCCTCTTGTTTCATCCAATCATCAAATTCCTGATAATAAAATAAAAGATAGGTTGCCAGGCAACGAAACATACGCCCACAGCAACTAAATCGTCCGGGCAGTCAACAAGGGTTGTCGCATATTTTTACTTTTTTCGGTAATTAAACATTTATAATACACTAAAATCTGATTAAGAGCAACAACTCACGAAGTAATTATCAGAAAACTATTAAAATTTGTTTGGTTTTTATAAAGTTCTGCCCCATGCTAACGTTTTGTATGCAAAGCTTTTAATATCATGGATTTAACTGTTCAAGTCATAAAAATTCATTGAAAATCAATATACTTGTTCGTCTCAAGATCTTAAACTCTGTGTATCAATCTGAAGTCAATCGGATGATAACTTTAGCCTTTAGAGCATCACAAGATTTTGCAAAGTGATCAAGGGCCATAACTTTGGCAGTAATTATCGGAAATCGTTGAAAATCAATAGGAATCTGTGTATAAATTTAAACTCAATCGGATATTAACTTTAGCCTCTAGAGCATCCACAAGATTTTTTTAAGTGATCAAGGGCCATAACTCTGGCAGTAATTATCGGAAATCGCTGAAAATCAATAGGCTTCTTCGTCTCATGACCTTAAACACTGTGTATAAATTGAAAGTCAATCGGATATTAACTTTGGCCTCTAGAGCATCCACAAGATTTTCAAAGTGATCAAGGGCCATAACTCTGGCAGTAATTATCGGAAATCGTTGAAAATCAATAGGCTTCTTCGTCTCATGACCTCAAACACTGTGTATAAATTTAAGGTCAATGGGATATTAACTTTGGCCTCTAGAGCGTCCACAAGATTTTTCAAAGTGATCAAGGACCATAACTCTGGCAGTAATTATTGGAAATCGCTGAAAATCAATAGGCTTCTTCGTCTCAAGACCTTAAACACTGTGTATAAATTTAAAGTCAATCAGATATTAACTTTAGCCTCTTTGTGGACGCCGGACCGATGGACGGACGGACGGGGGCAACGACAATATACGACCACATTTCAATGTGGGCGTATAAAAATGATTTTATAAAATAATGCAATTAAGTTTGTTTTTCTCAAAATTTATTTAGTAATACCTTAAAGGAAAGGTTCATGAAATCAAGCAATTCTCTGGAAAATAAATTAATGTATAAAATTCTGAAAAACTTTAATATTACATATAATTATGAAGATAAACAATTTTAAAATAGGTTACATTCCAAGTTTACAGACCTTATTTAAACACCCAAAAGCTGCACATGTAGGCATAACATCTGTGAAGCTAGTGCACTCATGACGTCAACAATTTCACGACATAACTATTAATCTTAATTTTGATTGGTTGAGAAATATCGATGAACGGGAACATGGCAGCATCCAATGTATTTAGATTTAATAAAGTCTTTTGATCAATAAAATTTTATATTTTTTTAATTCTTCAACATAAAAGTATACAGGTCACAATTCTATGGAATACAATTACTGCTTTTTACTGAGCGACGTTTCGACTAGGCTTCTCTAGTCATTATCAAGCTATGATAAAAACTGAAAATATGACAGGACAATATAAGTAGTTTTAATAGTGTATTTATTCTGACTAAGCAATAAGTAAAATAATCTGCCTGGATGAACTTTTCCTTTAAAGACCTGTGATTGTGAGTTGAAATCTGTTCTTTAAAAAATTCTGAATACAAAGTCATCATGTCATAAACTATCTTATATTATAATAACTGATGTTCTTGATGTACCATGTCATGTTTTGGTACTGATCATAATCTATAATCCTTTTTCAGGTTTTAAGTTTAGTTTTTTATATAAAACAGCAATCAATTCCACATGAACAACAACAGGCCAATTATTATCTAAATATTTAAATTTAACAAACAGAAAGGGCTGAAAAGTGTTCTGTAGGTAGTAATTTAGACAGTTGAAACAAAAAAGCTAGATTAGAATCTATATTGAGTTTGATACAGTAACAAAATAATGATGCCCCAATGAAACTAATAGAATGAATGAATATTGTTTAATGGCATGTCAGCTCTAACCGGGCTATATTGTGCCAAATATATAGTGATATTTACGAGACACATTAAATGAAATCACAAAATATTAATATAAATTAATAAAAAAAACCAATAGAAACTAATATGAACTTTAGATGGTCAACACTTAGATTAAGACCTAATCAATTTCAGTAATCTTGGACCACTGTGTATGTTGTTTGGTAAGACTACTTTTATTATGCATTGTAAGAAAATCTATATTTCCTTTTTATTCTGGAATATTATCCCTTTAGAGGGACAATAACACTCTAAGTACTCTAAGTACTAGATGTTTAAGTGTCCTACCTGTTGTGTAAATTATCCATTACATCCTATTTTACTTGTCCAGAGGGTTCGAAAATATTTTAAAATCCAAGTCACATTTGAAAAGGTTTACGTTAGGCTTTTCAAATCATTTAGTTGAATTTTCCCAAATTTTTAAATTAGGTGTGTTAAGATGAAATTTGTATCACCAATTAATTGGAATATTGTAAAATAGTACAATTTGTTGACCAGAATAAAGATTGGGACAGATTATTCAGTTAAAACAAGAGGGGTATTGAGCCTTTAAAAGAAATAATTTAAAAACTATATTATTTTCTTCTTTGTTTACAAAATAAAAGACTACCTGTAAAACTTTTTGAAGCTTTGGTTGTCCATCCACCATATCTTGTATTATACCAGTCAGCTACAAAATACAAGAGTCTTTTTTTTTTGTTTCTCTCAAACAAATTGAAATCAATTCAATTTCAATTGGCACACCCACGTCTGAACTGTACAAATAAGGCAACTGACTTTGTAAGTGATGTGTGTGTTGACAACAGGGCAAACAGTTTTTGATAAGAAAAGGCATCAAAGGATTGTACGGTAGGGAAGACAGGTATGATAACCAACTCTTTTAAAGGCCTAATTCAAGTTTGTTGGCGAGAAAGAAACAACACAGTATATCATAATTTCAGCAAATAAATGTGCCTGTATCAAATATCTAAACAATAAAAAACATGTTAATATTAATTATGATTTTATGCTGATATGGTATTCGATTTATCAGGGTTTGCCCCAAGCCCTTTAATTTGATATGGTATTCAATTTTGAATTAATTTTAACTTTCATTGTTGGATAGCATATCATAATATGTGATAGAGCCTTTTATGTTTGTCTCACTGAATAGACTATTTTGTGTTTATTACAGCGGACATAGGCTAAATAGTGGAGAAGTCAAAATTTGATATCAATTTAAAATCCAATTCCACTCCCACTCCCTCACCCGTTAATGCATGAACATATATTAAAAAAAAATCAATATTTGACTTTATTGCAAATGATAACATATTAATCCAAGAGGTTTTGGGGATAACACCTTTTATGTTGGACTCTCCTTATAGAAATTAAGATTTCCTTTATCTGTATTTATAGGTGTTTCATACATGTACCTCTATACAAAAGGGAGTCAACTCTTTGTGGACTTCAGGACACACATAACGATGAAATGTGGATTCAACATTCAATGTCACAGGATTTACTTTTAAAACTGGAAACTCAATAATTTCCTATGAAAAAATAAAAGGTATTTATTAGTATTATATGGGGAAGTCACTGTTACATGAAACTAAATATATAAATTCTGTGTATATAAATAATTATATATATTGCTATGTATAACTAGCAATAGTTTTTAAGATTTTGTTTTAGTGAGGGGCACATTTACTAAATACTCTGTACTCTGCAAAGCATGGGCTGGCAGACGAATAGTTCAGCTCTGAACGTAGGTCTCATTACACTCGCCCTGTACATTCAGGAACCAGTCTATTGATTCCTTGTTGAAAAAATTTCAGTTCCCAGTAAATCTTACTGGGCAACTTTTACTGCTCAACGGTAGCGTGTCAGTCCCTGTAAATGCCTGTACAATAAAAGGAACATTTTAGTGAGAAAAAAAGACTTTGATTACCTCGCTCAAGTTAGTATGTGTGAAACAACATGCCGTTAAAAATACGTCCCTTCTGCTAAACAGCTTTGCTGACGCCACTGAAATCTAAATATAGGGTAACGCATAAATTTACCCAACTCGGTCATATATGACAAAACGAAATTTAGGTAAGCAGGGGGGAAAACAATTGGAATCTTTGAAAAATTGAGAATCTTCAGTCATTTATTGTTTTGCCTAGCCCAATTACAGTCAAATTTTTTCACAAATTCCAATTTTGATTCACCTGCTTACCTAAATTTCGTTTCCTCCTATATGCCCGAGATATATAAATATTTGTGTGTTACCCTATATTTAGATTTCAATGACTTCTGCCAAGATGTTTAGCAGAAGGGGACGTATTTTTAATGGCATACTGTGTCACACATACTGACTACATGTATAGCGAGGTAAGCAACATCTTATTTTCTCACTAAAATGACCATTTAGCAGTAAAAAGTTACCCAGTAAGATTTTTTTGACAAGGAGTCAATAGCCCGGTTCCTGAACATACAGGGCAAGTGTAATGAGACCTACGTTCAGAGCTGAACTAGCAGATGGATAGTTAGTAGAAATGGTTCAACTACTGATGTCTTCCGCCTTACTCCAGCCACAGTAGTGGTTCGTCCTACAGAGTTCCTTTGCGTAAGTTTTTTTAGTCAAATGACTACAAAAGGTTACTGACCTACATGTATAGCTCCCTTAATTTACACATAAACTGACCCAAAACAGTACTGCACATAGCTTAACATATAATAAAATCAATTCCCATTGAAATAAAGGTGAAGCCTTAACCGCATAATTATATGATTTGATGAAACCCAACTGCTACGCAAAATTTCAACTGGCCGGTGTCATGGCGGCTTGCGTAATACGTCATTACAAGAAACATCGCTATGCAAATGTAGAACGCATAACCTCAAAGAAAAACTGTTCGGTAACTATTTTAGTGGTCCAGTCTTCACTATTTGTCATAGACTTACTTATTTCAATACAAACTGTAATGATATGTGTTGACAATTGTGCATTTGAACCTATTTGAACTTGCGTAAGGAGTCTTAGACTGTATCAATTGTAACGTTACAAGTATAGTAACTAGGATAGTTAGGTGTGATAACAATATATGCTGTAAGGTAGGTGTATAAAATTGATAATGATAAGATTGGTGTACCTGTGGTGTTAATTTAGTTTGGTTATCACATGTGGCTTCAAAATCTAACACTAATAAATAATCAAATATCTGTGGCTTCAACAGTGTAGCAGACGACTCCGCCATGTTTGCCATACTTTTCTTTGACTTCTTGGAATATAATCGTCTCTGGTACGTGAAGATTCGTTCAACAGGTCGAATGTCACATAGTTTGTTTCTAAGAATAGAAAGTAAAACCTGTTTCCTCAACACGTTCATAATTGTCATAATTTACGTTTGTTTACAAACACACATGCAACTTCCGGTTTGCAATGACCTTGACCGAACCCGACTCATCTTCACGCTTCCTTGATATAAGAAGGCTGAATTATTACATAATAAGGGAATAATACGCAATTGCCTTTCTAAAAATACAGAACAGATGTTTCGGTAGTTAAAATTAAAATATATTTGGTCTCGAATCGTGATTACTAATACCTATTTCCGGTCTCGGCTAACCTAAAAATGAAAATGGCGACTGCTAAAATTGTGTAAAAGTTGATCTTAGCCAAATAATCAATATTTCGAGTCTAGATATGGTTTTAATAGGACCTATCCTATTTATATTATAATTTTCGTTTAAGGTGAGTGTTTAAGTAGTAAATTAAAAAGAAAATATGCTGGTAAATAGAATAAGATCGAGTGAATCTGAATGTCAACAAACATTTTTTTTTTTTGTTACTTCAATACTTCTTGTCACTGACGCTGCCTTCTGGTTGCAGTTGCACTGTCTTGATAGTCCATCTGATAGGCCTAAACGACAATGCCAAATGGTTTCAGTTGTAAAGTATGGTTCCTTGTTTTCTATTAAATATTTGTGTCATGATGAAGACCTTGTGAGAGCCAAAGTAACAGGTAGACTTGCACACAAGTCAAAGTCAAGTCCTGTTTTTTGATAATCGACTCATCTGCAATGTGGTCATGATTAAGGGAATTTTCAGGGTCAAGCCATCTATTAAAGTGTGTTCATTCATCCTGGTTTTTTCCTTCATCATTTATACCAGCAAGAAGTTAAAACAAACCTGCAAATAAATAGACTAATTTTTATAAGAATAATTTAGTTATTACAATAAGAAGAATACGTGTAGTTAAGTTTTACAATATAATAAGCAATTAACTGAACTAAATGTGTAGGCTACTGGTATTTGTTATAAAAGTTATCATTAATAAGTGCATTATTAATCATTATTTTGATTATAATAATTTATTGAACTGTACAATGTATAGCAGCTTTAAAATCCAGCTTGTATCTACTATCTACATGTAGCAGTACCAAAATGAAAATCCAGCTTGTAAAGTTGCTCTGTGGCGCTTGTATAAAAAAAGAATACACATGATTATAAAAAATCACACAATACCGGTGTAAGAAATATAGAAATTAAATCTAAAAAATAACTATACTTTATCACAATACAGGAAGAAAAAAAAAACAGTGCTCAAGCAAAGAGTTGCAATAAAGGTTTTATTGGGGTTTTTTTTTTAGAGTGCTCGATCAAGCGCGATCAAGCTCCTGAATCTCAGTCAAGGAGAATTTATTTTAAGCACCTTACAGCTGCTCACCATAATTTCAATATTTTATTTTGTGTCGTTGACAAATGCACAAAAGTCAATGTATGATTGAATACAGAAGATTTATGCTCTATATAGGCAGGACTACAGCCAGGCTCGGATTTAAGGCAGGGGGGGGGGGGTGGCCTACACACACATACACATAAGATCAAATGAGCACCCATGTGAGACTAAGCCGCGGTCCATGGCGACAGCTCTCCCTCAGGCCCAGGCCCAGTCCCAATAAATTAAAAGTTCAGTAACATATTATATTTTCTTGCCAATAGATGGTGTTCAATTCCATTATGTCATCATTATGCATCATTTCTGATCTTCTTGTTCACAAGAATTTGCTCCTAGTAATGACCCCAAATGCCAGGATATTGACTAAAATTTTCAAAATTTTCTGTTCTTCCATTATGCTAGTAAAGTTGCTTTTATTTGTTTGTGTGTTTTGCAACTAAAAAAAAGCTTTCAAAGGCTGTAAACGTATCTATTCTAAAATTGACAGGCAGGTCTCGAGATTCTGTCCCATTTATTATTCTCTCGTTCATAAGAATTTGCTCCCATCAATGAACTCAAATGCCAGGAAATCGATTAAAAATTTCAGACCCAGTCCCCCAAAATTAAAAGCTCATTTACATATTTTATGCATCACTATCTGTCTGTGGTAAAGGGAGATAATGTACCTAAAAGTTTGGGAAATTCAGACTAATCTGCATGTATTCACAGCTTGTAGATCTGCTACTGACAATCATATTAATTTAAGTGTATGGATCCCAGAATAATTTGTCGTCGTCATTTAAATCATACTAATTGTTGAATATACATATCTATTTAGAAACTCTAAGAGTTTAAGCTCCGTTACTTTAAATTTTCATGAATTTATTAAGCCCCCAGTTTAAATCTCGATAACTTAATGTACATATATTATAAGTGGACATTATTTTGATTACAAACTAATTTAGGAGTTTTCAAACATTTTGCAGGTATTTGAGAATATGGATTACTAGCAGGATACCCGGCTTTGCTCGGGGGGGTCATAACTCCAAAACCGGAAGTGGTAGACTAACGCCACCTGGCCTATGCTACTCCCCGGTCCGAGCTACCCCTATACCTAAAATTTCAGACTCGGGGCAGACCTAGTGTAGCCGCCAACCCGAATAGACCGGCTTCGCTCGGGGGTCATAACTCCGAAACCGGAAGTGGTAGACTAATGCCACCTGGCCTATGTTACTCCCCGGTCTGAGCTACCCCTATACCCCAAATTTCAGACTCGGGTCAGACCTAGTGTAGCCGCCAACCCCGAACAGACAGACTTCGCTCGGGGGTCATAACTCCAGAAGTGGTAGACTAACGCCACCTGGCCTATGTTACTCCTCGATCCGAGGTACCCCTATACCCCAAATTTCAGACTCGGGGCAGACCTAGTGTAGCTGCCAACCCCGAACAGACCGTCGCTTTGCTCGGGGGTCATAACTCCGAAACTGGAAGTGGTAGACTAACGCCACCTGGCCTATGTAACTCCCCGGTCCGAGCTACCCCTATACCCCAAATTTCAGACTCGGGGCAGATGTAGCCGCCAACCCCGAACAGACAGATTTCGCTCGGGGGTCATAACTCCGAAACCGGAAGTGGTAGACTAACGCCACCTGGCCTATGTTACTCCCCGGTCCGAGTTACCCCTATACCCCAAATTTCAGACTCGGGGCAGATCTGGTGTAGCCGCCAACCCCGAACAGACAGACAGACAGACAGACAAACGACAGTCTCAAATATATATATATAGATTGTAAGATTCCTCAATAAGTTTGTAGATGGCTATAACATACCAGTAGTAGTATGTTTTAATTTAACTCCATTCAAAGGCTGGACATGATTGGCTTTTATGAATTAATGACAATATTGTCATTAGTATCATCAACATGTAAACTTACTGCATCTATAAATAGCACTTTATAATACAAAAGTAAACAATAGTCCTTTTTTACAAGTCAAAAGTTTAAATCATATTCATCTGGTACAGGAGTGTGTTCATTGTATTGGTTTGTATATCATGTAAATATTTCCTCAACTTTGAGACACAATGTTTCTGCTAGGCTTCTTATGTATGTAAAATTGAGATAAAATGTTAAAACTTTACAAACATGTAGATGTTCATGTGAATGTCTTGACTGAGTTTGGTGATGACATTTTTCTGTTTGTGATAAGCAGACATCTGTCGTTCCTTCACATCTTTTGGATCACAATCACTCTGCTTCTAATTGAGGTGGAGTGATGAAACTTGGTGTATAGTTTCATTACATGTACAGTAGTAAGTACATGTACATCACTACCTTGATTAATATAAGTTAAACAATGAAGAATTTCTGCTTTGGTTATATGAATAGAGTGATAAACAACTTGATTGTTATACTATACATGTAGTTAAATGCTTTATGCAATGATAAATGTGCAAGTAATAAATGAGTGACTGTGATGTACAATAATGTAACTACGGTACTTAAACTTATTCAAGTCAAGGCATTCTTGATAATACAATGAGAGGCATGATAGAGCTGTACAAGTACATGTAGCCTACACTAATAAAAATTACTCAATTATGCTATTATTTTATTACAGTTTATTCCAATGGATTTTGTTGATTTGGATAAAGTTTTAGATGAGTTTGAAGAAGAAGGTTTGTATTTGTCTATACTTGTAGATCTACCCATACATGAATATATTCCATCTGGAGAGTGGATTTTTTGTTACCTCTGTCTCCCTATCCGCCCTTCTTGTAAATGTACATATATTCACAGCCTTGTGCATGATGAAATATATAAGTATGCATGCTCAGTCTTGTGCTTGATGACACATGTTAGCACAAGATTTGGAGTGATATTATTTGGCTTTTGATTATGGACTACATGTATGTCCCAACTTGTTTTTTTGATGCATTTAAAATCTACAACTATTTCAAATGAATACTTTGAATGAGTTATATAGTTATATCTACTAGAGCCCCCAATACCTGCCTTGTCTCATTTTAGGTGTTTAATTATATGTTGTCATCTTATCACTTATTTCCATTGGTGCATCCATCTTCTCTTGTGACCACTCTGCACACTACTGTTCTTGTCAGATCTTTTACAAATTCACAGGGATTATTCATTTTGTCATAAGGAAGGACCTTTTTTAAAAGTTTTTGATTTCACCATTAACATATAACAATATTAAAGCTTGCATTATTATAAAAATTGGGGAAATGAACAATTTCTGTTAAATCTTTTAATGAAAAATAGCCCTTGCTCACATCGTACTATGTAGATACTGGGAATGCTTTAACAGTTGAAGCTGTAACGAGATCTACAAAAGCAGTTTGGTGGCTAAAGTATCAGTGCTGCTTCACATCACCTTTGGAATCAGAAATTATCAGTTGCCTGTACTTTAGTAAACATTAGAGAATCTCAAATTTTCTAGGCGCAGCTAAAAACTTCTTTATTAAAACTCTCTTATCCAGATTATAAAGGGTTGTTTTGTGTGTGTTTTGATTGACAAAGAGACTCTTTAAGCATGCGTAAATGTATGGATCATTGTTAGGGTAACCCACCATAAATAAATATCTCCAAATATCTCGACAATTACGCCACAATATTTATATATATGCCAAGCCTCAAATCAGTTTCACACAATTATAGTCACTAAATAAACGATCATGTTGTACTTAATAAGCTATGACCATTAATCATCTATAAATAATAGACTGAAAATTGGTTCCAAGTTGCGTCCATAACATCCAGACACTTTTGAGTAAAAGATAGGTTACGTGCCCTTGTTTTGAAATTAGTCTCACTTAACCAGTCTATCGACCATTCTACGTCTGATTGACAGGTCGGGATAATCAAGACTACTTTTTTACGAAACATAACAGAAAGCTAGAACAAGAAATTGAATTTAGAAATAAGCACTTTAGACAACTCAACAATTGTTTTAAGAAACTTGTAAAAGTAAAATGAAACTACTGCTGGTATCATGTTCCTGCTAAAGAAAGTGATTCAGAGATAGTATTTGTACTAAACCAAAAGATGCCGCTCTTAACGGTACAGTTAATGATAAAGCAATTTAAAAAATAAAACAAACGTAATTACTAAAGCTGCTGTAATAACCAAGAAGCTAAATTTTACTGCTATTCAAAATCGTCAACAATAGATTTTTTACGGCTGTAATAGTTGATATATTTGTAGAGAATTGCACGTGCCATGGCTATTTATCGACTCAAAGCGAGTGCGGGGTAGTCAGAAATCAGTTCGAGACACGCAACTGAAGCGTGCACATTTAGCCATGTCGAGACCAACTTTCTGTAAAGTGCACGGGTCACCCTATCATTGTGTGCTTTATAAATATACATTATTATAGCTTTAAATTTATGAATAACTATTGCAAGAACTTCTGATACTTATTGCCCTTGATTATGTTATATAATCTTGTGAACACACCAGTGGGTTTGTACAGAATAAAGATTTTGCTTTTTTTCCCCATAGAGTTTCACAATATGACAAACTTTATATGGACTGCTACATGTATAAGACAACTTAGCTGCTATGGCCTTATGTTTTGTTGCCTGTTAGTATATCTTTTTCTTTTGATAAAATAATGTTGAGTCATCAGTTGACATACATGTAGGATACTATAACCTTTTTTAGGTATTATTTTCATGTTAAATAAATAGCTTGTTTTTATGTCAATAGAATAAGACTGGGTAATAAAGAATGGTCTCTGTTTTTCTTCATGTACTGATACTGTTTAAATGTACATGAATTGAGATTGCTGTCAAAGTAACCATCCCTTGCTAATAAATGGACATTTGTATGTATGTTTGCATGAATACTACTCATATAAAACAATAATATTTTACATGCACCTATTTTTATACCAAATATATCTAACTTGGGATTGTGTAAAGTTAGTGAGTGCAACAGTCTATATAATATGATGTATTCAATGTGAAATTAAATGACGCAATAAATAACTCCTTGCTACATGTACAATATCAACATTTTAATTGCTCATAATGGTAGACAATATAGAAAGAATTGACTTGTGAAATTAATATAATTAAGGTGTAACGTAATACCATACAATCTGTTGTTTTCTCTACACCTACATGTACATTTAAATGTGTACTGTACATATATTGTCATGGTGTTTTTCTAGATAAGTGAAATTTGAACAATTTCCGTTACATGTAATTACTTCTTCTAAAGTTATTACCCTTGCTCATTTTGTATGCTGTGGTGCCAATAGTTAGGATAAAATCCAGTGTTGGTCAAATATGTTCCTTGGGATGTACCTACCTAGTTCCCCTTTGTCATGGGTGCAGGATGGAGGGCCAGGCAGGGAAAGCAAATCTAGTTGTTATAATAAGTCAAATAACTAAGGTACAAAGTAGTACTACTTGATGTACATGCAAATGAACCCTTGGCAGTTGGAATTCAAAGAAGAGTAGATTGAACCCTACTGCTCAGGCAAAATTTCTCTCAGTATTGTATACTGCATGACGTGTGCCCATCTGTATTAGCTTGATTGGTGCAGCAACCTCTGATGTTAACCTATTTCATTTGTTAACATAGAGTTATGGCCTTTGTTTACTTTGTAGATTCTCATGAATGCTCAAACTCGACTTCCCACCTCCGCCCCATTCTTGAAGGCCATCAACAGCAACCATTAATGAAAGCATTACCCAGGTGCATGACATGGTGATGACTGATCGACATTTAACCACTCGACATGTTGTGGGTATCTCTCATGAGAGGGTTGAGCACATTATCGCCAACGAGTTAGGAATGACAAAAGTTTCTGCAATCTACACCGTTTTTACTCTCACACACTCCTCCCTAGGTATTCTCCTGATTTTGGCATGAACAATGGTTCCAGCAGGATGGGGCAACGCCCCACACTTCGAATGAATCACTGGAATGGCTTCGGGAGCGCTTTGCTGACCATCTCATCAGTAGAAGGTGTGATCCTGAATTGGCCTCACACTCGCCGGACCTAACCCCACAGATTTTTATCTGTGGGGCTATCTCAAAGATAATGTGTACCAGGACAATCCCCAGACTATCCCTGAACTGTAGACAGCCATTACTGCCAAAATCAGGAGAATCCCTAGGGAGGAGTGTGTGAGAGTAATTGACAATTTTGCACGTTGGATTCAGGTCTGCTTGGAGCGCAGAGGTGGACATTTAGAGCATATCTTGGAACGGACATAAATAAATGATGATCAAACCAAAATCTTTGAAGCTGGGTAGAAATGTCAGGCATAGACTAATGCTTATTTGTACCAATATGAATAAAATGCAAAAAGGGCTTTGCATGTAATTGACGTTTTCATGAGTGGCATTTTTGGGGGGTCACCCGTACATGTACTTGATTTTTTAAAATGGTTCTTTTCTCCTGGCTTTGTGCTCCTCTTTGATACATATACTTGCACCTAATGCATTTACATCTAGATAGTGTAAATTTAAGAAGATTTGATAAAAAGGTTAGTCAGTTCTAGTTAGTCAATAGTCAATATTAGATTATATCATCATCAGTCACTATTGGTATTATTACAGATCAATAGTATTAGTAATAGACTAAATTCAAAGTACATGTACTATAGTAACACATTGATTTAGTCTTTAACAGAATAAATACATTACTGGTACTGATGAGCATGGATTAATAACAATAGTAATATCTGATCATTTATTTGAACTTTTATATAGGTAAAGTAATGTGTTACATATCTGCTTAATAACAATCTTACATAAATAGATGGTCACCTGACACAATTGCTGTAACTCCAAAATAATAGTTTTTATACGCCCAAATTTTCGTCTGGACGTATATTGTCGAATATACAGGTATCACCTTTATACCATAATGACTGTTGAGTTCGAATTTTGTGAAAATCAAATCAAAACTGCCCGACAAAATGGTCGCTCCTTGTAAGCAAATTATGTAAAAGTATGGTATATCAATGTTAACTCTCTAGAGGTCACAATTTTGGCCCAATTTTGATGAAAGTTTAAATTTATGTTTGTATCACAAAGATCTGCGTTTGTTTTGATAATCGCGCATATCGGAAAGGGATTTCCTGGATTTTGGCCCCTGATTGTACAAAGAATCACATTTTTTTGTTAGCTTGTTCTCTGTCCTTCTCTTGTAAAATGTGGGCATATCTTGCATGGCAACCACTTGTTTAATATAATAATAACTTTTCCCTCCCATTTTATATGTATATATACATGTACATGTATATGCACTTATTATCCAGCATGATGTAGACTTCCGGTAATAATCTTACATCTGGAGAAATTGCCTTTATTTTTCCATGTCGTCATATTTAGCAAATTATAGACTAACATGAACAGTTTTAGTGTTACTTTTGACCTCAGTGTGCATTGTTTTGTTTATATTTGCTTTAATTGTACTCAGTCCTGAAGATATGTACCACGTAGTGTACATGTATTAACAATATTAAGATCTGGGAGTATTGGGGGGGTTGGATGGCCGAATGGTAAGCACGTGCGCACAGTATCATGTGGCCTGTCATTGAGTCAACTGGCGTGGTTTTGAATCCCAGGTTGTACGTGACAAGGAGTAGGGTTGCCTGTCCAACCCCGTGGGTTTTCTCAGGGTCTTCCGGTGTCCTCCCACTGCTAAAGACCCCTATGCGCAAGCGAATTATTGAAATAAAATTAAAACCATAAGTTAGTCCCAAAATGACCTAGTCTGAGTCGAGTGGACATTAAACCCCATTTCTCTCTCTCTCTCTCTCTGGAAGTATTGTTATAGAGCTATAGGATGTTTTATGGCAATAGATTGGACACAACATGCTTAAAGATGGGTTCCTGCGTACAAACAGGGTGATTTAATGGTATATATGGACCAAAAACATATTCAAACTAATTAATTCGTCATAATTATGCTTCAGATCCTTCTCAAACATTGTAATTGCAAAGGAATGCCCTGCAATTAAAATTCGATCAAACCAGGTCATGTTTACGTCACGTCTTGGGAGTCCGAGGAGAATTCATTGCATGCAGAAGTTCCTAATCATCGGACTGTTGATTAGGGGAACCCTTACATTTTTGTCCTGTATACGCTCCATGAATGTTTTTCGGGGAATCCAGTATTTTTCTAGTAAGACTGGATATCTCTACTTTTCATATATACCAAAATTGCCATACTTTTATTGGAAATAACCACCCGATAAATACTTTTCTGGGAACCCATCTTTAATATATATACTTGTACATGTAAATCAAAATTGAATATTAATATGATATACCCTAAAATATAGACATCATTAATTATAACTGACAAGTAACAACAGTCACATGATAATGTTTTATTAAATACTGTAAGTAACTAATGTATTAACAATAACATGAATAAGGTACATGCATGTACATGAAACTTAATGTGCACAACAAACTTATAATATAATGCAGCTAGGTAATGTTATTGTTATATTTAAAACAGATTAATTGTCATTTTAAGAGCTAGTAGTATGATGATTTCGGCATGTCTTTTCAGTGTGTATTTCATAAATTTCAACAAAAAGTATTATAATTTAAAATTTTCAAATCTGAGCCCCACTTTAAAAAAATAATACAAATACATACTTTTACATGTTTGTTTTATTTATTTTTTGGTATTTTACTGGAATCTACAAGTTTTATCATTGTGTGGAGCCACGGTGGTTAAGTGAGTAAGATTCGATCCCTGCATTGGCCGAGGAAGTTCAGAAGGATTTCCCAGCGTGGTTTCCCCTTGTCAGTGGTGCAGGACGGAGGACTTGACAAGGACAACTGTCAGTTATTTGAATGTATACATTGTCGTGCACGTAAAAGATCCCTTGGCAGTTGGAAATCAATATAAGAGTAGGCCATAGTGCTGCTGCCTGGGCAAAATTGCCCTCTTAACACAGCACACTGTATGGCATATGCCCGTCTTCATTAGCCCAGTCGGAGTATAACAGTAGGAAGTTAAAACCCCATTTCATTTCATTCATTTTATCATTGTGTCATCTGCTTACTTGTGTAAAACACAACTATTCTAATCACTGATCTATTTATGAACTCACATAAGTCATGGGCATAATACATCTTACTGCAGACATTACATCTTATCAAGTGTTATATACATGTAGAAAATCTGAACAATAGGGACGAAACGGAAACAATGTATAATTTTAATGAGATTAAAAAAATTACAGTTTTATTGACAGATGGTGAAAGCCATTATCTTATTTTATGGTTTTTATACGCCCACATTGAAATGTGGTCGTATATTGTCGTCGCCCCCGTCTGTCCGTCCGTCGGTCCGGTGTCCACAATTGCTTGTGGACGCTCTAGAGGCTAAAGTTAATATCCGATTGACTTTAAATTTATATACAGTGTTTAAGGCCATGAGACGAAGAAGCCTATTGATTTTCAGCGATTTCCGATAATTACTGCCAGAGTTATGGCCCTTGATCACTTCAAAAAATCTTGTGAACTCTCTAGAGGCCAAAGTTAATATCCGATTGACTTTAAATTTATACACAGTGTCTAAGGTCATGAGTCGAAGAAGCCTATTGATTTTCAGCGATTTCCGATAATTACTGCAAGAGTTATGGCCTTTGATCACTTCAAAAAATCTTGTGGACGCTCTAGAGGCCAAAGTTAATATCCGATTGACTTTAAATTTATACACAGTGTTTAAGGTCATGAGACGAAGAAGCCTATTGATTTTCAGCGATTTCTGATAATTACTGCCAGAGTTATGGCCCTTGATCACTTCAAAAAATCTTGTGGACGCTCTAGAGGCCAAAGTTATTACATGTATATCCTATTGACTTTAAATTTATACACAGTGCTTAAGGTCATGAGACGAAGAATCCTGTTGATTTTCAGCATTTTACAATAATTACTGCCAGAGTTATGGCCCTTGATCATTTTGAAAAATCTTGTTGACGCTCTCGAGTCTAAAGTTAATATCCGATTGACTTTAAATTTTATACACAGTGTTTAAGGTCATGAGATGAAGAAGTCTATTCATTTTCAGTGACTTTCGATAATTACTGCCAGAGTTATGGCCCTTGATCACTTCAAAAAACCTTGTGGATGCTCTAAAGGCTAAAGTTAATATCTGATTGACTTTAAATTTATACACAGTGTTTGAGGTCACGAGGCGAATAATCCTATTGATTTTCAAAGATTTCTGATAATTACTGCCAAAGTTATGGCCCTTGATCACTTTGAAAAATCTTGTGGACGCTCTAGAGGCCAAAGTTAATATCCGATTGACTTCAGATTGATACACAGAGTTTAAGATCTTGAGACAAACAAGTATATTGATTTTCAATGAATTTTTATGACTTGGAACAGCTAAATCCATGATACAGTATTAAAAGTTTTGTATACAAAACGTTAGCATGGGGCAGAACTTTATAAAAACCAAACAAATTCTAATGGTTTTCTGAGTTGTTGCTCTTAATCAGATTTTAGTGTATTGTAAATGTTTATTACCGAAAAAAGTAAAAATATGCGACAACTCTTGTTGACTGCCCGGACGATTTAGCTGCTTTGGTCGTATGTTTCGTTGCCTGGCAACCTATCTTTGTAAAAGAAAATGTATTCAGATTCAATATCTTATAATTATTACAACCTGATTTTCCTGAATACTCAGGCTGATACATAAACATGACATTAAAAAATATCAATTTACATCCTGAAAGGTCAGAATACTGAATATGGTATTAAATGGTTAGAATAGTTCCAGTCATAAATAATGGGTGTGCATCATGATGATACATTACTACAGCTTGTACTCTTACTTTTTCATATTAACAAATACCAACATGACTTTCCTGGTTAGATTGCCACACCTTAATTCCTAATATCTGATACATTACCTTTCCTTATAACATCATTACATGTATATTGATGTAGGAATAACAATAAAATACTTTCACTGGATTATGTATACAGTTTTTAACTCTAAGGTACATATACAACTAGAATTTTGAATTCAATTTGCTGTAATTGAAATGTCAATAATTGTCGGGGTGTAAATCTATTTTGAATTTCTGCAGTACTGGAACATGTTACTGAATGTATTATCATTTTATCAGGGTGACATGTTATACATAATGTATGTACTTGTAATTATATAATATTTTAGAGGAAAAAACATTTAACAATAAAACTCATTTAATAAAAACTAAGCAACCAAACCTATGCTATTATATGTAATCTTGGCATTTGCAGTACACTATTAATTTGTAATGCAATCTTAGAGGCCCTTGAATTTTTGGATGTTTTATAATGCAAGCTTGGAGGCCCTTGAATTTTGGATGTTTTATAATGCAAGCTTGGAGGCCCTTGAAGTTTGGATTATTTATAATCCAAGCTTGGAGTCCCTTGAATTTTGGATGTTTTATAATGCAAGCTTGGAAGCCCATGAATTTTAGATGCTGTATCACTAAATTTAACCTGAATTTCACCAAATCCATAATCATCTTATCATTGAATTTCATGTATTTTTATTTTAAGAAATTGTTCAAAAATTTACTTTTATTTATTTATTTTATAGTGGCTAGATCAATTGACCATTAAACAATAATCAACAAAATGCTTATATATGCTTATGAATTTTGTCAAAATTTTTTATTTATATTTCAGAGAAAGCGGCCAGTGATATAAATCCAGGACAGGAGATAAAACCCACAGGTTACGCAGAGTTTGTAGAATCACACCTTGATAAGCCATGGGAGAATTTATCAAAAGCTCCAGTTGGAAATACAACAATAATTACATCAATTGTGGATCAAAATAATGGATTTATTAATTACGATGATCCGTACCATGGTGAGAAACTCAACAAAGTGGACTATATTACATCTAACGAAGTTCCTCCCATGAAACAACTTGAAAAGTTGGGTATTGATAACAAGGATTTCAGTTTTAACAATACAGAACAAAAAATTGCAGATGTGATTGTGTCCAACTACCAGGTTTCTAATTCTCATGGCTACGTTATTAGTGATCATTTAAATTATAGCAAAGATGTTGATTTACAGCCGATGAAAGATGAGGATAAATCAGGACCCAATTCTTTAAAGTTACAAATTAACGGAAGTGTTAAAAGTGAAACAGGCAGTCGTCTTCAGGCATCCCAAGTTACAGCCGTTCAAACGGATGCCCTGTCACCGAATAGCGAACAAGAACTTTCTTCATACGAATATCCGAAATCAGATATTATTGTCGAGGGTCATGAAACTAGTAACTCTTCGTCAGATAATTTGACTGAACCAGTTAATGGTTATTCAATTGTGAAAGACAGTTTAAAATTAAACCCTGAACAGAATTCTAAAGGAGCATTAATGCAAGAAGCTGATAATAAATCTTCTGGAATTACGAATGGATATTTAGAAGGGGAAAAGTCCGCAAACCAAATAGAACAAACTGTAAAAAGTGTATCAGAGTCAGAAAATCTTATTGTTGATAAGGCTGAACAAAAATCCCAAACTGCTGTTGGCTTTGTCGATGAAGATGCTGACATGTCTCTTGGAGATATTGATGATTATCTCAACATGTCCGGTCAAGTGTCAAGCATGCCAACGCAAACATTAGATTCAGCAACTTCCCAAAGTTTGAGTTCTGAGCTTCAGCAGGCGTCAAAGAGTATAGGCTCAGAGTTAGAACAGATAGAAAACCATGAGAATAATGTGCAATTAGATCAAAGTCCGCGACGAGATTTTGGAGATGGACCAGACCTTGTAGCTGATGTGCCGAATGAGGAGATTTACTCAAGTATGGAAGGCGCTGTTGGTCATTCTCCAGAAGCGGCTAGTCTCGAACATCCAAATTTCATCAGAAAAACAGAAAGCAATTTCTTAGACCCAAATTTGAACCGAAAAGGCATTGTGTCAGATATAAACATTTCCTTAAGTCAAGATGGAGATTGCTTGGAAATAGAGCAGATTATAAATGATCCACAGCCTTATGAGGAAAGTCATTCATTTGAGGAGACACTAAGTTATCCTTCAAATGCATCCATCACTTCAGCAAACATAACAAATATGGAGAATAGCTCATCACTTGATTCAAATTTCAGTGGACAGTTTTCTCCTCCAGTCGTAATGAGAACACCAGAGCAGCAGGTTATTGGACAAGGTGCACGACCAAAAGATCCATCACACTTGAAGAAAAGTCGACCGAATAGTCTGCTTGGACTTTCTAAAGTTAATCTGGAGGCACCGTTTCCAGGTACACATGTAATAGAAGATGGTGCCATGGATCCCATAAACCAAAACCAATGGCAAACAGAAATAAATGGAGAAAGAACACAGATGATACCAGCTTCAGAGCAGTTTCAGAAGATGAATGAACCAGCCCTGAATATGCAAAACTCAGATTTGACTCAAAACAGAAACTTGATGGAAGATCAGTTGAACCACAACTTGCAAGATACAGGAGTTTGTCCACCAGTAACAGATAGTTTAACAAATGATCAAGTGGTTAATGGTGATAATGTCGGCGAATTGCCAGTTTTACGCAGAAATTTTGAGGCATCTGCCCAAGGAGGATTATTGGGGTCAGGAGGACAAACAAATCTCCGTCCTCATTCCTGGTCCCCAGCAGGGTCTGCCAGTCCTCAGATGAACAAATCCAAACGACCATCAAGTTTAAATATACCTCCTCGTGGGGAATTTAATCCAGATGAACCGGGACAGAGAACTAGAGGAATGTTGACACCATATTCAACCGAGATCCAGGAAGAATCAGATTCTGCAGGTAAATAATTCGCTTATACATGTAATGCACATAAGGGTCCACTTTGTTTTTCCATATCTCCATTTTCATATAGGGCTGGATTCCTCATGCTTTTGTATGTATTTTCTAAAAGATCAGTTTACTAGCTAAAGGGAGCTGTTAACTCTCCCTGACTCCCTTTCCCAGTACCCTTCTTCACTCCAGCATTAACTGTTATCATACCAACCAAAATACATGGATACTGTCTATCATTGTATGCCTGGTCACGCCATGCATCAATAATGTACTTGTACAAAGATGTATTTTTTTTATTAGTTGCAGAAGAACCGTCAGAAGGTAATGAGGATCTGGATGCTGTAGGAGCTGCTGCAGCTGAAAGTGTTGATGATCCATCATTGCTTCCACCCGATGCTCCCCCACCATCCATTATCCATACAAATCTGGGTAAAGTAGCGCCGTCATGGTTACCAGATGGCCAGGCTATAAATTGTATGCAGTGTCACGCCAAATTCACATTCACCAAACGAAGACATCATTGTAGGGCATGTGGAAAGGTACGTTGTTCCTAGAAGATCTGTGAAAGAATGGTTCCATGTTTAATTCTCAGTCTGGCTTTGTTTCAAGTTGTGTTGAAAAAGGCATTTGATCTATTGATTCGAGGTCTAACCATCAGTACTTCTAAAAGATATTAATGTGACATGGGAAATGAACTATTAACTATGTTGTTTTGTGTTGAGATTAAATTTGTTTTAATTCTAATTTTTGAACATGTAATTTGATTGACAGATATAAGTTTGTGAATTTCACTGCCAGTCACTTAAATATGACTGAACCAAGCAAGGGGTAATAATATGTAATTTACATGTACATGTACATGTAGCTCGATGTGAGGCTCCTCCTTCATTCCAATGGTACAACCATACATCTACATGTATACAGTGATACGAAGTCAATGTATGTACATATAATAAACAGTCTATCTATATGTAAGCATTTTGTTCCAAACAATCTAAATACTCTGAAACCCCTTTTAAATTTTTTTTTTCTTCAGATATTTTGTTCACTGTGCTGTAGTATGAAGAGTCGTCTTGGTTACATGGATCAGAAAGAGGCTAGAGTTTGTTTATCATGTCATCAGATTTTACAAGCAGGTATGTATAAACAAAAGGAGGCTTTCCTACAAGCTAAGGTTACAGTACAAATCTGAGGCATTAATCTAATTTTGCCTGCACTGATAAATACTTGTAGAAAAGAAATGCCACAAAATAGGGGTTAAGATGCTAAGAACTTAGCAAGCGTAACTCCACATTTTTCCATGTTGGGAAATCGCTAGCTCTTCTCTAGATTATTCACCTTAGCCTGTCTCATTCTTGCAGTTCATAAGGTCTGTCATTGACCAATGAGTCAAATGGCGTAGTTTCAATCCCAAGCTTGTATATGACAAGGTGTAGGGTCTGGTAACCTGTCCAATCTCGTGTGTTTTCTCTGAGTCCTCTTGTTTCCCCCCACTGCTAAAGAACCTTATGTGCAAGCGAATTATTGAAATAAAATTGTACCATATGTTATACTCGAGTGGACGTTTAAACCCCATTTCTTCCTCTCTCAGTGTTCTTATTGACTGCCATGAGAATACAGAAATAGCCTAAACCCAGGCTACGTTTCATTTGGAACTAATTTATAGTATTTGTAATGATTTGTCAAAATAGTCTGCTTGAATAATGACTAAAGATCCTGATATACATGTAGAATGCATGAATGAAAAATGCTTATTTTACTGTTTATTTTGAGCATGATTTTATAATACCAGATTTTAACATGATACCAAAAAGACAGCCAAATCAAATTGACTTCCTGAAACAAAAACAAATCTATGAGAGCAAATGGCCTCCAATCATCCAAACATAAACTAGAATTTGAGAAATCTTTTGATCAGGCTATTTTTGGGGTTTTAAATAATATGTATTTTACATGTAAATCTGAAATTATTTCATTTTCATTTAACTTTATTTAAATTTTGATTCATACATGAATGACTGAATGTTACATCTATTGGCCTATCAGTTATCTTTGTAGTTGATTGAGGCAAGCTTTCAGATTGACCTATAAAGAATATTTCTGGCTTTGACTTGTCATATGATACATTTTTATCATTCCTTTCTAAAGTTTTGCCGCTTCATTTTTTTGATCATGAATGGTCATTATTTTTCAACAAAAAAAACTATGCCATACATTATTAAAAATCTTTAGATTGAGACAAAAGAAATTGAAGCAACAAAATTTGTAAACTCTTTAATTCTATCAGTGTTTTTATTGGCTGTTTGTTTAACCTGCTTTTTGCTTGCTCTCCCTAGCAGAGAATAGTGCGGCCCGGGTACCACACCCTAACAACCCCAGCGACTACTGCACAACCATCCCACCATCGCAACAAGTTCATTCACGTACCTCTGTACCGACGGTCCTTGTTCCCTCCGGAGTTCTCAGGCGAGATGGTGAGTTCTTAGTTCATACGCTTAAACTTAGCTTTACAGTTAAAAAATTCCACGTGCTTTGTTTTTACCATTAAATAAGCCTCTCATTAGCTTATTCAAATCTGAGAAATCAATAAGTAAACTTCTTTTCAAAAAGTAAGAATCAGTTTTTCTTATATAAAGCTAATTATAGCATCTTATTTATTTGCATGTTGGACATTTTATTAATTAAACTAACAGTGTAATTAAAATTAGGTCATCTTACACTGATATATTAAAAGCAGGGTGCCTAAAGGTACATGTAACAGCATCAAGACGTCTACAATCGGCAAGTCATCCGTCTGTTACCATAGTGATTATGTCTGTGTCTGACCAACAAAAAAGACTGGCTATTGAACTACCCTTTTTTATGGATATGGATATAGCTGAATTGATAGAATGCTGGACTGTTGTGGGCTACAGTTAGGTGGTGTAGGTCAGGGTGTTGAATTCCATCGAGCGCAAACCCAATACTTTCTCTCTCTATACATGTAAGCAGAAAAAATTAGATTGTGTGATGTAAGTTCAAGTATACAGGTTTATATAGAGAAATACTTTGAGTTTTGTCTGCATAGCCTACGATATATCAGCGATTTCTGACTGAGCTACCTGTACATCCTTATCAGTTAAAATGAAGGGGTAGTTGTCAGCCAGTCTGATTAAAATACAGATCTATATTTCGTTTCGTTTTTTTATACTTTCGATGGCCTACACTACATGAAGATCTGACAAGTTATAGCAATAGGTCACGTCAGGGGTCAAAAGACCGGCTTTTGAACCTATGGCGTCAGACATTTGATTAACCAATCAGCATTGATGTTACTAGTGAATTACCCTCAGTTCTGTGCAAAACACGCCTAAAGCTCGCCGTAACAGACCGTTTCATTGGCTTATCCCTGACATCATCCTGAACATATCAATGATAACAACTCTTCCAGATCCTTGTGTAGTAAAGACAAGTTAAACGAAATTTTGAACTATAAAAACGAAATGAAATAGGATCTTTGTTTTAGCCAGATTGGTTGTCAGCGTATAAAAATTGAACGTAAGATGACCTAATTCATTTACATGTATGTATAAAGATATATTATTAGTGTATACAATAAAACAAGAAATGAATGCATTGTGAAATTAATACGACTGGAAGAGGGAACTAACATAATTGTACAAATATTCTGTTCTGATCCATTTAAACATGCATTATGCAAGAGCTAAATCTGCCTATTTCAGGTCTTTCTTTAGGCCTGAAATGTTATCTAAATTATTAATTAGACATTAATTAACCTATCCAGGCCATAATCAACTCTAGATGGCTGCGCTATCCTGCGATCTTTAGTGGATTGTAAGCCAATTTACTGCATAACTTTCCTTCTCATTAAACGATTAAATGGATAATCGAGACTATGCTGTTTATCGTATTGACTTTAGTAATGATGACCGAGGCTTATGGGAATTTCAGTTGCTTAGTTCTCGGTTCATAGTGGATCAATTTGAATGACATTTTCACCAATTTGCCTTCTACCTTATCTAGTTTTTATACGCCTACATTGAAATGTGGTCGTATATTGTCGTCGCCCCCATCCGACGGTCCGGCGTCCACAATTGCTTGTGGACGCTCTAGAGGCTAAAGTTAATATCTGATTGACTTTAAATTTATACACAGTGTTTAAGGTCTTGAGACGAAGAAGCCTATTGATTTTCAGCGATTTCCAATAATTACTGCCAGAGTTATGGCCCTTGATCTCTTCAAAACATCTTGTGGACGCTCTAAAGGCCAAAGTTATTATCTGATTGACTTTAAATTTATACACAGTGTTTAAGGTCATGAGACGAAGAGGCCTATTGATTTTCAGCGATTTCCGATAATTACTGCCAGAGTTATGGCTCTTGATCACTTCAAAAAATCTTGTGGATGCTCTAAAGGCCAAAGTTAATATCCGATTGACTTTAAATTTATACACAATGTTTAAGGTCATGAGACGAAGAAACCTATTGATTTTCAACGGTTTCGATAATTACTGCCAGAGTTATGGCCTTTGATCACTTCAAAAAATCTTGTGGATGCTCTAGAGGCTAAAGTTAACATCCGATTGACATTAAATTGATACACAGTGTTTAAGGTCATAAGATGATGAAGCCTATTGGTTTTCAGCGATTTCTGATAATTACTGCCAGAGTTATGGCCCTTGATCACTTCAAAAAATCTTGTGGATGCTCTAGAAGCGAAAGTTAATATTCGATTGACTTTGAATTTATACACAGTGTTTAAGGTCATGAGACGAAGAAGCCTATTGATTTTCAGCGATTTCCAATATTTGCTGCCAGAGTTATGGCCCTTGATCACTTTGAAAAATCTTGTGGACGCTCTATTGGCCAAAGTTAATATCCGATTGACTTTAAATTTATACACATGAGACGAAGAAGCCTATTGATTTTCAGCGATTTCCGATAATTACTGCCAGAGTTATGGCCCTTGATCACTTCAAAAAAATTTTGTGGATGCTCTAGAGGCTAAAGTTAATATCCGATGGAGTTTAAATTTATACACAGTGTTTGAAGTCATGAGACGAAGATTCCTATTGATTTTCAACGATTTCCGATAATTACTGCCAAAGTTATGGCCCTTGATCACTTTGCAAAATCTTGTGACGCTCTAAAGGCTAAAGTTATCATCCGATTGACTTCAGATTGATACACAGAGTTTAAGATCTTGAGACGAACAAGTATATTGATTTTCAATGAATTTTTATGATTTGAACAGTTAAATCCATGATATTAAAAGCTTTGCATACAAAACGTTAGCATGGGGCAGAACTTTATAAAAACCAAACAAATTCTAATAGTTTTCTGATAATTACTTCGTGAGTTGTTGCTCTTAATCAGATTTTAGTGTATTATAAATGTTTAATTACCGAAAAAAGTAAAAATATGCGACAACCCTTGTTGACTGCCCGGACGATTTAGTTGCTGTGGGCGTATGTTTCATTGCCTGGCAACCTATCTTTAACTATTATAGTGAGAACTGCCAACTCGTTACCGAATCTCCCATAATGTATCTTTAATGTTATGAATAACTGGGACATGGATAGTAAACAATGAGCTATACTAAACTGTAGAACATTATGTTGGGCCAGTTTGTTGTAGTAGGCTCAAACAATCCACTAAGACCTAGAAAACAGTGTGCTAGACCCTGAAATTATTGAGTTTGGGAAGATGTGAATAACTTCAAGATCACCTCATTAGCGAAATTCTGGATATGCTACTGAACTGTTTATATATTAATAAATAATCTAAAACTGACTTTAGTTAAAGTGTTATGTCTTGATCTCTTATGCTTAACTCTTGCTTCTAACCCTTTCTTAGTTTGTATGCTTTAGCTACTTCTAGTAATAATATTAAACACAGTTTTTGCTCATTTCTATGAATTTGGGGTTTAAGCCCCATACTGATACAGGGCTGTGGATACTTTTGTTTTGTTCTTCTGGAGGGAAGGGATAATAGATGAATGAAAGAAATAAAAAGACCCCAACAACTAATGTCACAGTAATGTAACTTAATAAGCATTTACACAAATTTTGATATTTTGATCTGATCTTTGTGCTAAATGAAATTTAACTTGTTTCAATTAAGAGCTTCAAACAATACATGCAAGGATTAATGATTTAATCACAGGGAACACACCACATTATGTCTACAAATTGTTAATTTGGAACTTATAAATAAACTAAGAATATTTTTGAACATGTATGTTTACGTTTCCAGGTTCACAAAGAAGAAGTGGCGAACCGAAACAAGTGATGTTCTCTGATGGAATTCGTCCTGGTGGAGATTTAACTGAACTCGATGGTTCCAGTGACACTTCCCTTCCTTTCCGACGCACCGGTAGAATACAGAAAAAGGTGGAAAAAACACAAAGTAAAGACTTTTTGTTTTTAGAATAATAGTTTCTTTAATCCTGATCTGGGTTAAAAATAAAATTTTCATTTCATTGAATTTTGTTATATTAATTTATTTTTTGTGGTGATGACAATCTGTTATCGTTCAAATTTTTATTGTGAGATAAAATCGATTGTGTGTTACACTGTTGACACAGTAAGTCAAATTAGTAAACAAATCTTTCAAAACAGAAACAGATCTTATAGAGCTTGTGTCAAAGATATTTGGCTGAAATGTTTAGTTAATATTAATATGAAAAACACATGAACACCAGTCATATAGGTATGAACTAGTTATCTCTTGCATGTACAGTAATTAAAAATAAACCACTTTATTTCTTGCAGCTGGTGAATCTTCACCTAAAACAAGAAGATTAAAAACAAAAGAAAATAATCATCGAAATTTACTGCCGGAAGTTGGATTACCTCCCCTGTTTTTAGCTGGTGAAACCCCATCAGGTAACTATAAAACTGAACTCTACGGATATAAAATTACTGCCATGACCCTGGACCATTTCATTGATGTAATTTAATTCATTTCCTATTCTACTTGAAATCAACACATGTAGCTACTTCAATTTCTACATAGCTGTTATTTGATAAATTATACCATCTTTTGAGATATTTATTTGTCATTGCATACTATGCCCTATTTCTAACAAAACTTTTTTCCTTTTAGAAAATCAATTAGTTGAGAATCCAGATCCTCCATCATATTTGTCAAAAATCAAAGGTATAGACATTTATATTGTTTCTTATAATATCTAACCCCTTTTTATCAGTTATTAGTTCTGGATCTTACATTCTGGTTTATCCTTTTAATTGGTGCAGGACGGAGTGCTTGGCAAGTAAAAACTTATTGTCTGATTCACTTGCTTATTCAGCACCAATCGCTAAAATTTTCTACTATTAAAACTTGTAGTCAACCATAGGTAAAGGAGACTGACGAGAACAGAGAACCTGTTTAATCAGTGACTGATCTGAACTCAATAAATGTAAAAATATGGTCTTATAATATAATTGTTGTTTATTTTTCAGATGAAGAAGCTGAACCTGTGATATTTGCTGTGAATAAAAATCTCCTGGTCTGTGTTAAAATATTAAATTGTAAGTCACAGTCTTATTCCATTTCCTTTTGATCATTTGTTTTCACGTCAGAATGGGAGGGAGCACATTATTGGTTTTCAGAGAACCCTAGGATGTTCACAAGAATGAAGTTTGTTGTCAAGAAATAGGGTTTAACTTTGCTTGTGATCATAGAAGTCCCCAAAAGAAGAATTATTCTAATTCATGTAGATAATTCACACAGACAAAAGAAGAACATTCAATAATGTATTACTCATGATATTTCAATATTATATACATTATTGTTGCTATACATTATTTGCCCCTTTCTTAACATGAATATTCATTATCCTGTTTGTATATGAATAATAATGAGTCGTTGTGAACTTTAGTTATCATGGAAAGTGTGCAGTTATCTTCTATACATCCATAGTGATAACATTTATTGTAATAGATGAGGGACTCTGGTAGGCGATTATAGTTGTGAATAATTAGGTATATATATATTATCTAACATTATTTTAATGTATTATGTTTAAAATGTTTTGTTAATACAGTGGAGTGTTGTCTGAAGAGGAATGCATGGTGTTTTACAACAAAAGGAATGTGTACAGTTGGACAGAGTGAGATAATTATTTTGTTAGAAGTTGAGGACGAGGAAACAGAGCCACCTAGGGACATATTTCAACATTTTATTAATATTTACGAAGACGCTAATAAAGGTTGGTAATATTTAATATTGTGATATTGTTTGTTAATAGAATTAGACTATTCTACACAATGTTGTTTAAGGCACAACAAACAGATTGTTCCCATATCTAAAATCTCATGAATATGCACCATTTGATGTAAAGGTTGTTGTTGTTGTGTAATTCAGCACATAGAAGTAAACTTTAAAGGTCCTAACATAAGTTTGTATTGATCGATTTGAATAATTTTGATTCTATTTGGGTCCTATATTGAACTTATATTCTGGCATATTGTGGCATATTGTGGGTTAAGTAAAAACCCAATATGGCAATTATTTGGAGAACAAATGAGATGAATGGATGAATATAACACTAAGATAACTTCTGTCATGTAAGCAAGAGTTGCAAATGGTGAATGCCACTCTTAATAAATAATCTATCAAAATAGGAACAGGAATTTTACAAAATTAAACTGTTTTGTTCTTTAAGTCATTTAATTGATTGTTTTTCAGCTGTAAATTTATATCATATTTCATGTTTCAGGCAATGTGATAACAGATTTGGGTCACACAATTTTTCATCAAAGTTTTTTGGGCAGTCGAGAACATGGTGGATTTCTCTACATCTCCCCCACATTCCAGTGTTTACAGAAATTGATTTTACCGGAACCACCATATTTATTTGGAATATTATTACAGAAGTGGGAAACTCCATGGGCGAAAGTATTTCCATTAAGGTTGTTATTACGTCTTGGTGCTGAATATCGATGTAAGTTTAAAAAAAACCAGCAATTATAACAAAAATTTCCGTAGGCTATGTAAAGGAAACAAAGTGTGCTGAATCGCTCAGATGAAAGACTTTAACTATTTACAGTACATGTATTAAGTCGCTTATCGTAGTCGACACAAAGGCTATGTTTGAAAAGTAAAGAAATGAAATGTGGTTTAACATCCTACTGTTCTGCTCCAGCTGGGATAATGAAGACGGGCATACACCATACAGTGTGCTATGAGGGAATTTTGCCCAGACAGCAGCACTATGGCCTACTCTTATATCGAATTCCAACTGCCAAGGGATCTTTTACGTGCATACCAATGTATACATACGCCAAAAGAACACGGGGGCCTCTATTTTTGCATCATTCAAACGACTAGACACTATTCCTTTAACAACTGCAGTCCTGCACCTCTGACAAAGGGAAAATCCTGATGAACCTTCTCAAACAACACCAGGATTGAACCCAGGACCTCCTGGTCAGTGAGACAGTACAAAGTTATGTCAAGAGAAATAAACTGCTTATTGAATATCGCAGGAATATAAAAATAAAATTCTTTGTGAGTTTCTTAAAATGGCTGTATACTAGTGGCAATAAGCATCATCAATTTATATTTTCCTTTTTGTTTTTGTTTTTTTCAGATTATCCATGTCCGTTAGTGAGTATTCGAAATCGTAAACCAGTGTTTTTTGAGATTGGTCATACCATCATGAATTTATTAGCTGATTTCCGTAACTATCAGTATATGTTACCACAGAATAAAGGTGTTTATATACATATGGAGGACAAGAAAACCATCATCAACTTTCCTAGAAACAGATATGATGATGTGAGTAACAGGGATTTTAATTATAATACGCAAAATGATCACATTATTGCTTGCATGTTTTTTTGTAACAATAATATCAATCTCCAAAAGTTTGAATTTTCCTTGATCAGATAAAATTGTGACCACCAAAGTTCACTTCTAATATCAGTCTTAGAATTTTCATTGATCAGATAAAACCACCAAAGTTCACGTCTAAGGCATCAAAAAGAAAATCCAACCAGATGTTGATATCAGAGTAATATTAAAACTATGATCTTTGTGTTATTAATGTATTATATAATGTTTTATTTAATTAGTTGATGAAAGTTGTGAATAACAGTAATGAACATGTGATGGCTTTAGGTGCAAGTTTTTCTACAGAAGCTGATTCACATTTAGTTTGTATTCAGAGTGACGAGGGCAATTATCAAACACAGGCTATTAATATTCAAAATAAACAACGAAAAGGTGAGTGACGACACTGGTATTAACCATTCTTTTTCTTTAATTAAAGGAATATAATATTTTGGTGCTTGCTCATATTAACCCTTTCATTTCTGATCACCAGCTTACTGCCTACTTCTGTTATAAGCTATTCTCATATAAAATTGGACCTGGTAACTGTACCTATGGAAAGTTTAAGTAGTCGGTGAAGACCCGGTGTCAGAGCCCCGCATAGAGACAATTCGCTATTGGTCATTGTGGTCTCTTGTTTTTACTGTGCTTGCAGCTATCCTTGGCATAGAATAGGCCTGGGCACTGTGTCACACTGCAAGTTTTAATGTGTGTGGTAAACTAGTAATGAAAAGGTTAAGTGAATTTGCACAAAAAGTAAATTAGTTTGTAAATTAACTAAATATTAAATCCTGATGAAAACTTTCACAAAGATTAATTGAATGAAATAATTGTCTTAAAATATTATTGTTTTTTTGTTTCTTTTTCAGTGACTGGTGCGAGTTTTGTGGTGTTCAATGGTGCATTAAAATCTAGTTCTGGTCTAACGGCTAAATCTAGTATTGTGGAGGATGGCCTGATGGTGCAGATTACTCTTGAATCAATGAATTCATTAAAACAAGCAATAAAAGATATGATCGATTATACAATAGGATGTGGTAGTATCACAGCCCCGCAACCAGAAGAAATGGTCTGCATTCAGTGGGTTGAAGAGGACCGATTGGTTAATATTGGGTAAGAAATATTGAATATTTTCATTGGCTGAACATCTTTTGGGACGAAGGGTTAAGTTTCTACACTAACCTTGCCAACTATCTACATGTACTTCTTGTTTTCTTTTTTTAATCCTGCAAATAAGTCAGCTTTTAACCTTGTATCGTGAATTTTCACTTTATAAGGTTTAATTTAATACATCAAATATAGTATTGAACTTAATTGAAGGCTTTCATTGGCTAGCACACAGGCTCACAAGCCAATCAGTAGATAGAATCTAAATAAATTTCTCTATCCCGCTGCATTCTAATGCCACACTAAATGTGGATCTTTAACATGCTTTAAATGGTATACAATGTACCTTGTTTTTTTAAGTCCAGACTGAATGACTACCGTAGATGCTTTTCCTTGCCAGGATATCCACCTTGCATCTCTAATAATGGAAACCAGGAACTTTCTCGGCCAACATCGAGATCAAACCTGGGGTACAATATAAAATGAATTTATTACAATACTGATACTCAGAGAACTGAAATCTGACAAGAAATGAAATGGGGTTTAACGTCCTACTATTCTGCTCCGACTTGGTTAATGAGGATGAAGACAGGCATATGCCATACTGTGTGCTATGAGGGAAATTTTGCCTGGACAGTGAAACCATGGCCCACTGTTATATTAAATACCTATTGCCAAGTGTACTTTACAATGTAAGCACAGGACCTTCGTTTTTAGTCCCATCAAAACGACTATACATTGTCCCTAGCCAGGCCCTCTGTCCTGCACTATTGACACGTCGGAAAATCCAAATGAACTTTCTCAGTCCACACCACACCGGGTTGGAACATAAGATCTCCAGGTTAGAGAGCAAATTGACCTTAGAGAGCAAATAAGATGTATGTAGTTTGATGTGAGAAAATTACGATGTATTATTTATATTACAGTGTAAAGAGCCCTATTGATGGTATGGCCATGGATAATATAGAAAGTATTAGAATACATAAAGGCACAGATTATGTCGGAGAGAATAGATCCATCAGATGGACAGAGGTGTTTTTTATTCAGAATGAAGATGCAAGTTCTCGTTGGGAACCTGTTGATTTAAGCCGTCTTGGGGAAATGTTGGCGTCTGCTTTCTGTATCGCTATGACACCTCATCTAGATCGTTTAAAAGAAGCTTCATTATCGAAACTTGGTCTGCGAGTGACACTGGATTCTGAAAGGGTATGTTTTGACATGTTGGATAAGGGTGCATAGGTGGGGTGAAGGAGGAGGGGGTACAAGGAATGTTGTGTACAACATTCCATACATATATTTAGTCCGACTGTGATATGTCTGTGATCACCCCCCCCCCCCCCCCCCACACACACACACACACACACACTCCTTTATGGGCCAATGTGTAGGGTCACCCTCACATGGTTTACCTCAAGGCTTTTCTTCCTGTCCTCCTGCTGATCAGTTGATAATTAAAAGTTTTGTGAAAGTTAAACTCCATCTCCCCTGTCTTTCTGATGAATTTGTGCATTGTTGAGAGCACTTGGTTAATTTTAACAAGAGTGATGTCTATGTAATGACTGGAGTGTTCAAGGCTACCTCCCCTTGTACCTTTGATAGGGTGACCCGTGCACTCTACAGAAAGTTGGTCTCGACACGGTTAAATGTGCACGCTTCAGTTGCGTGTCTCGAACTGATTTCTGACTACCCCGCACTCTCTTTGAGTCGATAAATAGCCATGGCACGTGCAATTCTCTACAAATATATCAACTATTACAGCCGTAAAAAATCTATTGTTGACGATTTTGAATAGCAGTAAAATTTAGCTTCTTGGTTATTACAGCAGCTTTAGAAATTACGTTTGTTTTATTTTTTAAATTGCTTTATCATTAACTGTACCGTTAAGAGCGGCATCTTTTGGTTTAGTACAAATAATATCTCTGAATCACATTCGTTAGCAGGAACATGATACTAGCAGTAGTTTCATTTTACTTTTACAAGTTTCTTAAAACAATTATTGAGTTGGCTAAAGTGCTTATTTCTAAATTCAATTTCTTGTTCTAGCTTTCTGTTATGTTTCGTAAAAAAGTAGTCTTGATTATCCCGACCTGTCAATCAGACGTAGAATGGTCGATAGACTGGTTTAGCGAGACTAATTTCAAAACAAGGGCACGTAACCTATCTTTTACTCAAAAAAGTCTGGATGTTATGGACGACACTTGGGACCAGTTTTCAGTCTATTATTTATAGATGATTAATGGTCATAGCTTATTTAGTACAACATGATCGTTTATTTAGTGACTATAATTGTGTGAAACTGATTTGAGGCTTGGCATATATATAAATATTGTAGCGTAATTGTCGAGATATTTGGAGATATTTATTTATGGTGGGTCACCCTACCTTTGATTAACTAACCAATAGTTTAATCGATCTTGACCTTGAAACTGAATTCATTTTATTTTGTTTTCAACAGGTTGGATATGAAATTGGTGGAAATAACGAAAAGATACCAGATTTTTATATGAATGATTTAGACAATGCATTGATACCTGTTATTCATAGTGCAGCCTCACAGAATCAAGAAGGACCAATCATAATGGAGCTTATATTTTATGTCCTAGAATGAAACTGATTGATTGGATACCAGGTCTCTTGACCATCCAATGAACAATACCAGGTTTCTTAACCATCCAATGAAACAAAACCAGGTTTCTTAACCAGACAGTGAGGTGTTGTATCGGAACAAGAATGCATTCAGATGTATATTCATGTTAAAGATCAATTTCATCAACTCCATCAATGGACCAATAGAAATACTTGTTGCTGACATGATGTTTTAGTTAAATTTGAGATCCGCTGAGATTACTACAGGAAAAAATATTAACTTATAAAAATATTAAGCTTATAAAAATTTATTGTTCTAAACTATTTCAGATATTATTATTAAAATTATTGACTTATACTAAATTTCATTTAATTTTATAAAAAGGGTTTAAAGCCATAGCTTATTGGTGGTTATAAATAATACGTTATTACGTCACAAAATGTCTCGGTTTTGGCATTGTAAATGATGACAAGACCTAACTTGACCATTTAACAGACAAATACTCCATTTTGAGCACCCTTGATAATTAGATTACATAACTGCTAAAATGGTAGGGTGCTGACCTAACACAAAATGGAGGATGAGATGGCAAACTAATGTATTATCATACTTTTCATGAAATGTGAAAGAGATATTGTTATACTGATGACTGGAAACCCTAAACTTATAAATGATGATTTGCAGAAGTTGTTTGCCTTGGGCATGAAACATGGACAGTTCTAAATGGTTGATTTTATTCATCATTCAAAAATATATATTATACCCCTTTATTACTATTATATATAATGTGTATATTAATATAACCACAATGTTTTAATTTGAAATATACTAGAGGGCATCACTATAACATGACCTGCTATAAAATGGGGATATGCTGGTATATATATGGCTTCCAACAGCCCTTGTGTATCACATACATGTACAGTAATTATATTGGTCTAGAAATCAATCTGATTAAAACACAGATTGTTTTTTTATAGTTCAAAATTTCATTATTTGTCCGTACTACACTAGGATCTGGAAGAGTTGTTATATAACAGGCGTTCTGGATGGCGTGAGGTATTAGCCAATGAAACCATCTGTTACAGCGACTTCTTGGCATGCCATGCATGGAACTGTGGGTAAACTACTAGAAACGTCAACGCTGATTAATTAATCATAGGGTCAAAAGCCGCTCGTACTACCCCCGACGGGACCTTCCAGTATAACTTGTCACATCTTCATGTAGTGAAGGCAATCGAAAGTATAAAAAAATGAAACGAAATATAGTTCTGTATTTTAATCAGCTTGTCTAGAAATAACACTGGTGAAGTTAGTGCACCCGAGTATCATGTGTTAAAGTGTAACCCTAATACATACATAAACTTAACATGTACAGTTATTTATATATATAAATTTATTACATATTATTAACATGAACAATGGAATTTTACAAAAATGTACAGTGTTATGTGAAAAAATAGTCAAATTTCATACAAATGATTGCCAATAGATTTGACAGAATGTTACCCAGGCCAGGGTAAGTCCAATGATGCGAATATTTTTAAGATGAAGTTTCCCACCTTAAAGGTTGTTTAATAATTAACAATACTGTGGAACCCCACTATAGGTTTGATAAGTGTCAGTATGATTCCCATCATCATTATGCAGCAGTGTATATTATTCCATAACAATATACCTTCTGTTCTTTCTCACATACCTGCCCCTGTGACCCCCACTTTTCTTATTTGGGGAAGGGGGGGGGGCGGCGATGGGGGGAGAGAAGAAAATAATATCCATTGTCATAGTTGAAGGATGAAGAAACTTTTTTTTTCAAAATATTTTTTCCTCAATATTTATTGCCACAAATGGAATAATATATACCTCTGCGTTTTAGTGAAACCCGTCTCTAAAAAGAGTCTCACTAAAACACACATTTAGTCATTGGACACCCAACATCATTATTTTAGTGATGGTTTGGTATTAAATGTATCATATAAAATAATATACCTCTAAATCACTGTAGTATATGTGTATATATACATAACTCACGGGAGACTATATTGTACATTATTCAAATAATTATATGTATATTAGTGTAACGATTGACGTTACTTGCCGATTGAAAGAAAGTCTGGTGATGTATATTGTTTTTGATATTGTTATTTCTAATGTTTTAATGTTTCTTTTGATAAGAGAGTTTAGTCTAAGAGAAGAAGATAAATTACTTCCAGTTTTAGGATAGCATTGATAACTTTCTTGTGAAATTACTATTTATATCATTTAGTGAAAGGGATTGTGATTTGTTTGTGTATGAAGTTGATATTTTAAGTTTTAAGTAGCATATTTAATATTTTCCGAACATCAAATTAGTAAAACACTTATGTTCACTATTACCGTGCATACATAGTAAACAGTTTATTACTTAAAATATTATGAAGAAATATTCTGCAATTGGGACACAACAAGAATAATTCATAATTTCAAGTGCAGCTGTATACATATTCGTTGACATAGTAGTGGTTGGATAGTTGGAAGATATTTATTTTATTTTAAATGGATGGATTAGACATTGGTTTGTTTTATTGTTTGTTTATGAAAAGATCTGTTAGTAATATACTGGTTTGATGTGTTATTTTCTAGTCATTGAGGAAAAGTAAAAATACTATATACTATACAATTAACCACAAAGATTTGAGTTATTATGAAAAAAATATTAGGGCACCATCTGTATTTTAATAGATGTTTTTTAAAAATTCCTTGGATATGTGCATTATTTTAGCCAATATTTATTCAAATATAGACATCGTATATAAATAGAAATGAAATGAAATAGGGTTAAATCTCCTACTGTTCTGCTCCGACTAGGCTAATGAAGACAGAACATCAATATAGACCATCTGTGGGAGAGAATAAAATATTCATTGTATTTCCTATAATTGTCTATATAATAATATAGAATTAAAATCAAAAAGGATTAACATTTCTATACATATATATTCCTGTATATTAAGCCAATATAAATTGATATATCAATATAAATACAAGAATGTGGATTCTTAACATGCTCATAAAAAAAATCATCAACAATGGCATCCTGAACATATACCATTTGGATTTGTAAATGCTCCTAGCACACACCAACGTTTCATATTTTCAATTGTACCTCTATAAAAATGTGACCTTAGTTGATTTGGGGTTTTATTTGGAGAAATAAGTAAAATAGATATCTCTGCTCATAATAAAAACATAGACATGGAATTTTACATGTTCCATGCAAAGTTTAGAAGTTCGTTATATTATTTCAACTGTATCTGTGTAAAAAGAAAATGTGAAAACACTATTCTTTTACATATATGGTTGAATATTGAGGTAGTTTTATTACCTTATAACTGATAAAAAAAAAAATATTCTATTGTTATTGTTAGATTTTTATATAAATATTATTATTATAAGTGTGTGTGAATGATTTCTGTATACCCCCGATTCATATACCATTGTATAAATATATCATTATTTGTTGATTTTGTAAATATAGCCCAGGACCTTGGAAACTTAAAAATATTTTCAAGACTCATTGTTCATTAACTCACATCAGACTGAATTGGAAATAAAATATTTATTATATTCAAATGTGATCTTTTTTTTTTCATTCAAAAAAAAACCGGGTGTATTTGTACAAAACCATGGGTATACCTAATCTGATAAAAATTAGTGCAAATCTTTATAATAAATTTGTATTCAGCTGAATCTTGGAAATAACCTGACAAATGAAATGGGGTTTAAGGGGCTAATGCAGACAGATGTACACCATACAATGTGCTATGAGGGCTGTGTATTGTAAGCTATATGTACTCAGGAGTTTGTAAGAACTTCCAACCAGAATGTAATAGATTTAAATCTTGCAATAGACCTAAAAGAAACTTCAGAATGTTTCAAACTGAGTTATCAGTGATAACAATAATGGGACAAGGATTGTACTCGATCTAATCATTTGGTTCTCTCTAAAACAAGCATTCTTGAGTTAACCGTACTGGCATAGGTTTGAATCCTTTCATGAACCACATTTAATTTATATGTAGCTCTCAACCGTGTTGCAAATTACCAATATTTATAGTTGCTATACTAATTAAATTTTCCAGTTCATCAATTTCATTTTATTTGTCAGAAATATCAGGACAAAAACTTGGGACCTAGTAATATGGTCTGTGTGATAAAGACGAGCCCCATAAGCACCTTATATAATAATCCAGTTACGGTAGATGATATTATGCCAAACTGTTAATTTCCAATTAACAGCGGAGAGAAATGATATTTAAGGTCCATAAACTAGGTTAAACTATGGTATATCTTTATTTTGACAGTGAGGGGAAACCCGGCAATGAAACGTCATACCTAAACCATGACACAGATCCTATGATCAAAGGGGCAAACATTACACCACTTGATCACCCAGTCCTCTTCCAAGTTAAAGCAATGGAAAGTCTACCAGAATGTCCCTGGATTAGCCAAAAACAACTTTCATATTTCCCTGCCACATCCCTGATTCCCATTCTATTTTCGTTTTAAATAAATCTACATAGCTTCAGACATTTAAATAACACAATTTATTTACATATCTACAATAATATAACAAATAGTTTTAGATGGAGCACAATTTGTTTTCCTTTACAAACAAATGCCTTTAGGCGAAATGGAATCCCTCTTTATTGAAAGCATTCATCAATCTGAAAAACAACAAAAAAGACAAGATTCTAGTATAATTTCTATACATCATAGTAAGACCAAAGACAGTAAAAAATTATACCACCAAAAAAGAATTTATAACATGCCTAATATTTGTATTGTTTAGTGGTGTATTATTTTATATGTATTTATGAGAATTGCACAAATATCTCATGCAAATTACCATAACACAATCAAAATTGTCTACCCATAATATTGTCAATAAAAACTATCCAAGCAGTAAGACGAATCACAACATCAAGAGGTGTGTATCTGTACCAGACATCTGATTAATTATGATCAATATCACAATTCTTCAATGAGTTAAATAGTATATTACAGAAAGTTAATATCAACAGTCATCTTATCTTGAATATAAAGATTTAAATAAATGAATAATATAAAAGATCAAAATATCAATCATCTTACTCTAAGAATTCATCGATATCCATAAATCTTGCTCTTTTTTTCTCTAATCCAGTAGCTTCTATTATTTCATTAACCTTTTCTTTTATATCAAAATCAGCTGCCAAAGTCTGTAAAAATATTTTAAAATAAAAGTAATGTACGGTAACTTAAATCTCTTTCGTCAAGCTCAGGGAGTAGCTTAAAGACTTGTGTGTCTCTCTCGGGCAGTTTAAGGTGCTAGAATGAGCAGTAGTTTTTGACAGTACAGGTGTTAAAGGGATGAACACCAAACTTGATTGGGGATCCAAACCATGGATGCTGTTTTCCCTGTAGATGCCGAACAGCATCCCTGTTCCAAACTAAAGTAAAAGCAATGATTAATAAATTTGTCTTGATGCTATTAAAATCTATTTCCATGTATACTGAAACTGGATCAATAATGATAGAATGTAACAATTTAATACATGTCAAAGCATAAAACAAATCATTATAATACAAAGATAACATAATTATACATCAAATTGAACAGATCGTTTTACCAATATTTAAATTATATTACCTTATTATGAAGAGAGCAGTGAATTTTATAATTTTTTTCTAATAAAGCTAAAATCTTTGAGAACCTAAAAATAAAAAATATATTCTGAATTATAACCTTTAGTGTAACATAAGTTTTCCCCAATTTAAATGAGAATTTGATCGCTTTACAAAGGGTATACATATACTGCTCTGTGAATGACAACTATAGCCATAGTCAACTTAACCAAATTTGAATATTGTTGGTGATGGCTTCACAAGTACTGAAATATGTTGGCCAATTAAAAAATCTAAAATACAGGCTATTTATACTGTGGGGTTGGTATGTGGATAGCCAAATGGCCCAAGGGTAAGTCTTCTCTCTGATCCATTTTATTAGGATTCAATTGAGAGTTGAATCCTTGAACAGCAACTTGATTTGACAATTTTGGTTACACAAATCTGTGAATTTGTCTCGCTAAATGCAATATCAATAAATTGAACCCTTCATAATACATGACAAGTATTATTATAAGTTTTTTTCCCCTCACTTCTCCACTCTCTCTAAAATATGAACATTAAATATTTCACCTGAATGAAGCACCAATAGTTTTATTCTTTCTGGAGAAACAGATTCTTATCAAACCATCCCATTCCTTCAATTACAAACACACATTATTTAATAGACACCAAAACGTGAACAGTTTATTTGGATCTATTTATAAGAAAATAGAAATTTCTCAAATAATCTTTTCAAACAAGCCAACAGTGAGGCTGATGTCCCCCGCCGAAATTGCAAAATAAATAGATGACACATATTAATTAATCGCACATTTATTTTTTTCACTAAGTTTCATCACTCTCTATCAGATAGAATCAAGATTATGTTGTCCCAAACCATCGACAAATGAAATCGATTAGCTCTGCTTAGCTTCAGCTCGAAATGTTAATTATTGAACTCAGTCAAGACATTCACCTAATGAACATCTACATATACATCAAGTTTAAACATTCACCTAATAGACACCTATGCCAAGTTTGAACATTCTACCTCAATTAGAAGGAGAGTTATTGTGTTCCAAAGTTTCTACCAATCAAATTGCTTATCACTCTGCTTACCCTCAGCAAAAAATGTTCATTATCGAACTTAGTTAAGGTATTCATATAATAAATCTATACACCAAGTTTCATCAATCTCACTTAATTAGAACTAAAGTTATCGTGTCCCAAAGCATCAACCAATCAAATTGCTTATCTCTGCTTACCCTAAGCGGAAAATGCTCATCTTCGAACTCCATCAAGGCATTGACCTAATCAACACATACACCAAGTTTGAACATTCTAGCTCAATTAGGAAGAGAGTTATCGTGCCCCAAAGTATCAACCAATCAAATTGCTTATCTCTGCTTACCCTAAGCGGAAAATGCTCATCTTCGAACTCCATCAAGGCATTGACCTAATAAACACATACACCAAGTTTGAACATTCTAGCTCAATTAAAAGTTATCGTGTCCCAAAGCATCAACCAATCAAATTGCTTATCTCTGCTTACCCTAAGCGGAAAATGCTCATCTTCGAACTCCATCAAGGCATTGACCTAATCAACACATACACCAAGTTTGAACATTCTAGCCCAATTAGGAAGAGAGTTATCGTGTCCCAAAGCATCAACCAATCAAATTGCTTATCTCTGCTTACCCTAAGCGGAAAATGCTCATCTTCGAACTCCATCAAGGCATTGACCTAATAAACACATACACCAAGTTTGAACATTCTAGCTCAATTAGGAAGAGAGTTATTGTGTCCCAAAAAGTGTGACGGACAGACAGACGGACGGACAGACAGACGGACAGACAGACGGACAGACAGACAGACAGACGGACGAACCCATTTTAATAGTCCCCTGCTTTCTTCGAAAGGCGGGGGACAATTAAAGATATGAAAAATGTTTCTGTTTTCTTTAAAAGAACATACAATACTATTTTTCACTGTCAAGAAACCACCATTTGTTAGAAAATCATTAAAAATATCGCGAAGACAAACAGAATGAACCCACCTGAAAATTGACTGGTGGAGGAGGATTTCTTGGTTCTATTCTTACAACACTTGATTCAACTTTTGGTGGTGGACGAAAATTATTTTTTCCAACCTGAAAAAACAATTGTTTAAACCATGAAAAATCTACAATTCATTTGTGTAAATAGGCCTATTGCTAAAGAGTATCTACGGTAAACATGTACATAATAGGAAACAAATTCAGTGTTGCAGATTGTTACCTTTTGAATACAGAGTTGCTGAGTCGTAACAGGATCCTTTCATGTCAAATCAACTAAAATCAAATGCCTTATTAAACATAGGCCTACATTATGCAAGAGCTAAATCTGCCTATTGTAGGTCTTTCTTTAGGCCTGAAATGTTATCTAAATTATTAATTAGACATTAATTAACGTATCCAGACCATAATTAACTCTCTATGTCAACGCTAGCCTGCGATGTTTAATGGATTAGGATACCATTTGCTGCTCCACTTTTATTCTTAATTTAATCATGATATGGAAAATCGAGACTATGTTCTTTATCGTACCGACTTGATGATCGAGGTTAGGCCGAAAATTCAATCGCTAAAATCTTGGTTCAGAGTGGATCAATTTGACTGAAATTTTTAGCAAATTCCCTTTACATTATCTAGTTTTTAACTATTATAGTGAGAACTTCCAGCTCTTTATCTAATCTCCCATAATGTATCCTTAAAAGTTTGTTGACTTGTATTTCAACAAATTATCTTTGAGTAAATATTTTTAGATGTGTCCTTGTTTATGTTACATAGCTAAATCATCAAAATTTCAATAAATTTAACATGGATACACTTTTGACTTATTTGCCATGAAATGATATAATACTTTTCAAAATTTTAAACATCACAATTTATTATTAAACAATATGGGTTTAACATACACGTACTGGGTTATTTTCATAAATAAAATAAATATTTATTTACCTTCATTAAATGGCTGACTCGTGATAATAATTGTGTATTCATTGACAGACGACAGTATAACTTTTCTCCTGGTTTTGCAACCAATCTCTGGGCAAATTCTTGTTGAAACATGAGAACAGCACACCTGTAATTATTCCCAAACAAGTAACATAATTATAACATTTCAGCTGGTTCCTCAGAGTTAGGCCACACCAATCTGATTTTTTGTTTTCCAGAACACCTGTTAAAATTATTTGTTCGGCATAATGACTTGTTTAAAACCAAAAGTAACTGGTTGTGCTGTTCAAAAGGTTTTAGTTCAAATTTTTAAAGTTTTGAAATTTGAAAAGAATCATCTTTCACCTGATTGGTTATATTAATCAAGTAATAGTATTTATCCATATGATTTTTCCAACTTCATTCTAATCACATTTATTCATAAAAACCTACCTGAAGAATGGTCTGTGTAGTAACAGTTTAAACACAAATGGTGATGAAATCTTTAAAATAAAAGTATCAATATGAGAAAATAAAATAAAAACATATATGTGTCTGTTTTATCTAAATATATTTCTAATCAAAAACGATAAAGATAACCTATTAACACCTATACATAATAATAAGATTAACTCATAAATGCGAAATATCAACTTTTCAAAAAAAGCATATTATACCCTTGTATTTTAATAAAATTGTAATATTATGTCAGGGGCTTTATCATGAATTTAAAATGGATTTTGGTTTAGAGAATGCCATATCATACTGTACTGTAATTGATATGGTAAACTTACCTGATATGGTAAATTAGCTACACAAACATCAAAGAAAGGTAAAGGTGTTTTTAGTACATCACCAACAATCAACTGTAATTTGTTAGCTAATGGTCTGAAATATTATTTATACAGTATAAATAGTCATGTAATTAATAGTGATGAACTGATTAAGGCATACATGCCAATTGTCTGCCTTTCATGAGTCTAGATATGGGTGATAGGATGATTTCAAATATATCGATACCAAGGCAGTTGATCCATGATATTACAGAAGGTTGTGAGAATACAGAAGTGACAGCAAAGACATCAACTGCTGTCTACCATTTATATATATTGACACTTACCTGCAGTAAGATTTATCAATATTAAAAATCAGAGTGGTAAAGATATACTATTCAAAAAAAGTAGGGGATATTTGATTTTTAAGTGTTATTAAAGTCACCTAATGAAACTGACGAAGAAACAAATGACAAAATGAAATGAAGTTCACATTCATCGACTTATTCCAAATGATCGTTAGACTAAGTAAGGCACAGACTGACCATTATAAGGGTAAAATGATACCCGGGGTCAAACAGCAAAGTTACCACAGCATCACAACCAAGTCAGTAACGGGTAAATCCTCCTCTGTTTGCCAAACAAGCATTGATCCGACGTGGCATACTCCTAATGAGACGTCTAAGGTCATTTTGGTCCAGATTGTCCCATTCCTGTTGCAACGCAGCAGCAAGTTCTTGGACATTGGCAGGACGTTGTTGACGTTGACGTAACCTCTGTCCAAGCATGTCCCAGACATGCTCGATGGGGGAGAGGTCGGGACTCAGTGCTGGCCAAGGTAATGTGATGATGTTCTGTTGTTGGAGGTGACCTGTAACGATCCTGGCCCTGTGACATCTTGCGTTGTCATCCTGGAAGATGAAACGGCGGCCATGACGTCTTGCGAACGGCACAACATGGACTGCCAAGATGTTGTCCCGGTAGTACTGGCCTGTAACACGCCCTGCAACAACATGTAAAGCCGTTCTTCCAGCAACAGTGATGCCTCCCCACACCATAACAGAACCACCCCCAAATCGATCATGTCTGATGACGTTAACGTCTTGGAAGCGCTCGTTTTGACGACGCCACACCCTCCTACGTCTGTCAAAAAAATCAACAGTGAACCTTGACTCATCTGAAAACATCACATTGCTCCAGCGTCGATTATCCCAGTGTTGACGATCCCTACACCAACAACGTCTTGCTTGAACGTGATGATCTCTCAAACAAGGGATCACGCGAGGACGTCGGGCGCGAAGGTGACCCCTATGCAGTCGATTCCGATTCGTCTGGCCACTAACTCTCACACCAGTGTCTGTTTGAAGACGAGCGCTTATCTGATTTGCTGTGATGACACGATTTCTCAAGGCCAAGGTACGGATAAATCGATCCTGGGCTTGAGTTGTCGCCCTTGGTCGACCTGAGCGTGGTCTGTCCTGTACAGATTGTGTATCACGGTATCTGGACCATAGCCTGCTTATGACAGACTGAGAAACATTCATCGTCCGCGCCACAACCGCCTGTGTTGTGCCGATCTGTAGCATGCCAAGGGCACGTAACCTTTCATTTTGGGTAAGCCGACGCATATCAAAATTTGTTTTCTGGTCACTAAAACAATTAAACTGATGTTTCCACCCTGGAATTCAATGCCACAATGACTGTAACATTCAAAGTCAGAGTCGTGCAAATCTTGGGTTGGACCCCCATGATGATCCCAAGCATCACCTGCATTCCATGCGGTAGCTATTGGTGCGTTTGGGCGTCACATGTAACTGGAAATGTTTCTTCTGTTAGGTTCTATAGTGACTTTTTTCGTAGTCATTTGCATATTTTAGTATTATGCCCCCAAAATCAAATATCCCCTACTTTTATTGAATAGTATACATATGCAAATGATATTTATGATGAATATTGTAAACTCAATATCCCAATATACCAGTTTGGGTATTTCTGAATTATTATCAACCTCTATTGAGTCCTATTTGATTAAGAAACGTAAAAAGAATAAAACTTACGTTCCTTGAACTCTTTTATGTAGTTCTGCTGCTAATCTTGGGTCAACTTCACAGGCTATAACCTAAATTAAATAATCACAATTAACTGTAATATCATAACAGCCATATATTACAGATATTTAGTCTCAATACAATAGACAACCAATAAAAACTTCAAATAGACCAGAATATTATTGAAACCTCTAAGTTGCTAATAAGATTTCCCAGCAAAGGTGAATATCTATTATTGAAATCAATGATAATCTATGGGGTTATTCATGTCAATAGGATAGACAACCAGTATAAGTTCATAAAAATGGTACACTGGTCTATATAAAAGTGTTCAAAAGGTTTTGTAGCGAAGGGGAATAACTACCGCAGTGATTATCTAAACAAAATGGTGAAAATCAACACTACAATAGTTTTTTTCTCAATTCAATTAGATAGCAAACCCATACCAATTTCAGAAAAATATATGGCTTATGTGAATAACAGACCGAAGGACAGGTTAAGGTGATACCATGTGTGTATAAAAATTAATTCAACGTTTAATCCAAATATTACATACAGAAAAATGAACAGGACATGAATTTCGACAAAACATGGACATTATAAGACATCAAACCAACTGAATGGAACGTGGCATCACTACTGCTTCTTACCTTTTTAACTTTTTCAAGTAATTTGACTGTCATATTTCCTGTACCAGGTCCAACTTCTAACACAGTATCTGTTGGCCTTAAAGCAGCCTGTAAAGTATAAGTTTAGGCTATATAATATTCTCTATGCAATCAAATAATTAGTTTGATGTCCAATCAATTGCAAACCAGGGCATTTCAAGAATAATATCTAGTCTATTTTTATATCAGTAATCTGCTTGTACAAAGGGTTGTTAGCAGTGTGAAGAAACTAGAGAACAAAGATAAAACCCAAAAGGTTAGATAGATAACAATGCCAGCTACCAGAATCAACATTTTAAAAAAGTTTCTAAATATATCCACATGCCACACTAAAAAATAGATTGCATTATAAAAAATTTAGTAAAACAAGTAGCGTAACCCATAGTTTTCGATGCTTAAAAAATTTGATATAAAGTTGGGTGTTAGGTAGACTTAGGCCCAAAGAGACATTACCACTTGCACTAAGAAAATTAATGTAATTAATTCTGAATATTAGGACTGTAACAATATACTGTGATGTGGTATATGTGCCACGGATCAGTTCAGGGTACTTTACATTCTGTACCACGGTTTGTTAAACATGGTACAGATTTTTCAACCTTCTGTTTTTTTCCAATACTTAACCATCGTACAGAGTTATTTCCTCTGTAGTTCATGTAACAAGGAGGAAAGATGGTTTTCGGCAATGAAATTACATTTGCCTCCAGCTAACCACAAATCACAGATACATGTATATGGGAACATTTTGGATTAAAATGCCAGATGGAAAAGCTGTGGCTAATGGAGTGACAACTTGTCGCCATTGTTTTGTCGACGTTTATTAAAGACAATTTAAATATCATGTAATTGTTTTTATTTTTCTCAAGTAAATTTGGAAAGAAAACATATCCCAATGTGTATCGTAACGTGAGGTCCATCCCATGATACGTATTGTATTATATCGTGAGGTTAGCATATCATTGCAGCCCTACTGAATATCATATTCAAAATAAGCTTAGGCTCTCCAAATTATCCAATTATAAATAATAAAATTATTATTATTATTATTAGTTCACCTTTTCTATCATTGTGTTAACAATGAGTGGATTCTTTAAAATGTGCTGACCAAATGTCTTATTGAAGGTTATCCCTGGAAATAAAAACAAATTTACATTAGTTTATTTACCATTAATACCATAGGTCAACATTTTAAAAGACAGAAATGAAATCATTATTGAACAATTTGAAGGACTAATTGTTCACAGAGTCGTACTAAGATTTTGCAGGCTCCTGAACTATTTATACCCATCTATTAACACACCCCTAGGTTTGGTGGGGGGGGGGGGGGTGCCATAGTTTGTATACTACACATATAAATTATCATTTGAACCCTTTTTTAATGAGAAAATTTAGAGTTATTATAATTTGTTTCAGCATTCACAAATGAGAGAGAGAGAAATAGGGTTTAACGTCTACTCGACACAGACTAGGTCATTTTGTGACTAACATATGGTTTAATTTTATTTCAATAATTCGCTTGCGCGTAGGGGTCTTTAGCAGAGGGAGGAAACCAGAGGACCCGGAGAAAACCCACGAGGTTGGACAGGCAACCCTACTCCTTGTCACGTACAACCGGGGATTCGAAACCACGCCAGTTGACTCAATGACAGGCCTTATGATACAGCGCGCAAGTGCTAACTATTCGGCCATCCAACCCCCCCCCCCATTCACAAATGACATAACTTTCCACCTGATCTGTGGAGGCCGACCAACAGGAGGAAATCCCTGCGCTATAGTACAGTCCCTAAAGCTCATGCCTTAATCTGGCCCTGTATTCCTTTTATAATGACCTTCCTTTATTCCCATATCAGTCCGAATATATTAAGATTATTTGTGGGGATATGTACATGTATGGTTGACATTCGAGGCTATTTTGACTAACTTTCCTTTTACATTTTTGCCAGTTTTTGTTTGAGCCAATCTAAAAAAGTGTTTTCATCCCATACAAACAAACTTCTTAAAAATGGCTTCTTCTTAAAAGTTATTTATATGTTACTGGCAATCACTCCTGTGTAAGCTGCGTTGACCACCACTGCCACCAGTAAAATAAAATCCACTGTACAAAATATTTGCTCATATGTTGACTGAACATGACACAAGATGATGTGGGGAGGGTGGAATAAGTAGTGACAACCACGTGTTTCAATAAAAACAAACACTATTACCGCGATTTTTTTGATCGATTGATATCATGATGTCAAAGTCTGGCTTATCACACTCACAGGAGTAGGCCTAAAAGGGATCTTATTTTGTGCTTTGGAATTATTTTACTGGAGGTGACATAATTATTGCAAACACAGGTATAATTTTTAATAACTATAATTAAGTAGTTTGTTCACAATGGAAGAAGACACTTCATCCTTTAACTAGCATGGATCTATTCTGTATCACTATCAGTCCATGTTGAACTTATTTTCAATTTATCATAGTTGGACATGTTTTGTTTATAATATAACCTTGTTTGGTAATCTGTTGGTGTTGTCTGGATTTCTTTGCTACTCTTTCTTTTGGCATATTGTACGGTTTTCAGACCTAAAAAGGGATAAATGTTAATAATAAATATTGTCAATGAATGACTTCTTCCACCACGTGTTGTTGACAAAATGACGTCACGGAGTAAAGGGGGCTTAACTCAATCAAACTTTTTAAGAATACAAATTTACAAATGCAGAACTACAAAGCCCGAAACGAAACTTGATAATAACATTAAATTTTCCAATCCTATTCTTTAAACAGTAGAGCACTATCACCAATCATTTGATCCGATTGTATTAATTAACAAACCAATGGACATTTTCGAACAAAACAAGAGAATATCACCTGGATTCGCAATCTTGTAAGATTTCGTTCCGACAAGATAAATTTTTTCGGTCCAAAATTTGCCAATCGACAACATGCAATTTCCCGCCGTGACCCACCATAAATAAATATCTCCAAATATCTCAACAATTACGCCAAAATATTTATATATATGCCAAGCCTCAAATCAGTTTCACACAATTATAGTCACTAAATAAACGATTATGTTGTACTTAATAAGCTATGACCATTAATCATCTATAAATAATAGACTGAAAACTGGTTCCAAGTGTCGTCCATAACATCCAGACACTTTTGAGTAAAAGATAGGTTACGTGCCCTTGTTTTGAAATTAGTCTCGCTTAACCAGTCTATCGACCATTCTACGTCTGATTGACAGGTCGGGATAATCAAGACTACTTTTTTACGAAACAAAACAGAAAGCTAGAACAAGGAAATTGAATTTAGAAATAAGCACTTTAGACAACTCAACAATTGTTTTAAGAAACTTGTGAAAGTAAAATGAAACTACTTCTAGTATCATGTTCCTGCTAAAGAAAGTGATTCCGAGAGAGTATTTGTACTAAACCAAAAGAAGCCGCTCTTAACGGTACAGTTAATGATAAAGCAATTTAAAAAATAAAACAAACGTAATTTCTAAAGCTGCTGTAATAACCAAGACGCTAAATTTTACTGCTATTCAAAATCGTCAACAATAGATTTTTTACGGCTGTAATAGTTGATATATTTGTAGAGAATTGCACGTGCGGTGGCTATTTATCGACTCAAAGAGAGTGCGGGGTAGTCAGAAATCAGTTCGAGACACGCAACTGAAGCGTGCACATTTAGCCGTGTCGAGACCAACTTTCTCTAGAGTGCACGGGTCACTCTATAACTTGAACTTGAAGAAAAATGTCGGATCATCACGATTTACCGTTTAAGGCCGAATATGCTAAAAGCGATCGATCTAGCTGTAAAGCATGCAAATCAAACATTTCAAAAGATTTACTGAGATTGGCAATTATGGTCCAGTCACCCCATTTCGATGGAAAGGTATGTCATAATCATTTATCATGTAAATTCACTCCCACCGGCTCCGCTTGGGTGGTGCACATAATCATAATACGTCGATTGGCATACTAAATTACCATCCATTGACTCAGTCACTATTTTTGGATCCAGGTCTTTTCCCCCCATATACCAGTTCATCCTGAGTAGTTTCATAATTAGATACCATTATATTATATAAATGACTTATAATTTTTACAGGTAACCAAGTGGTTTTAAATTAATTGCAAATAAAAAAACCCACTGCAAAAGTGCAATAAGAATAAGTAGTAGATCTAGTATTAAATTAAATGGTCTGTGTCAGTCTCTGTGAACGGCTTAACAATGTAAAGGAACATTTCAATGAGAAAATAAGACCTTGCTTATCTCGCTAGTGTCAGTGTGCAACACAACATGGTGTTAAAAATATGTCCCCTTCTGCTAAACGGCTGGGCTAATACTACATTAATACAGGAAAACAACGGAAAACTACCGGAAAACGCCATGTTATACTGAATACCGGAAAAAAACGAAAAACACACTAAATACCGGAAACCACCCTAAATATAGGGGTTTCAGGTCACGTGACTTTAGCGTGAAATCGGACAGCCAGAGGCTGAAATATACCCCACTTCAATCTACGATTCTGAATTACTATTTCATGTAAATGCATTACTAGCAATTGTATTGCAATAGTTTAATATCAATCTCAATATATGCAAAGATTCAGGCTAAAAAATTATCGAAATGTAAGCGAAATTACCGTTTGTTTACATGAGACGCTCGCGGAAAAATACCGCTCTGACGTCACGCGGCCTGAGATTTTCCATTGCTACGACTCACTACATTGGTGAATCCACACCTTAGTTACCGGGGGATTTTGATATAGAACCAATCAAACGATAGTTAACATTTTTGTGATTATTATGCTTGTTGATACCACGTGGTCGGACAATTAGACCCGGTGTGATAGTTTGAGTTGACTCCTGGTGTGTATTTTCTCCTGGGCACTTGCGCATGTCCGAAACTGATGTTTGCCTTAACAACGAAACTATATCTACTTCCTGCAGTGTGATTTGGTTCCTGACCACTGGTCAGTACAGGAAAAAATATATCATGTACTTGATTAGAGTTTTGTCATTAATAAAATACTTGTTGACGTGATAATTAGCTGTTGTTTTAGCGATCAGTAGTTACACGATCAACGGATCTAAGTTGATTGGCTTGAAATTGATACTTCGTTCGTTATTTGTTGCCGTTGTTTTTTTTAGTGATTAGTCGTTCTACACACGTACGATCAGTGAAAACCATACAAATTGATGATTGGCTTGAAATTATCAATTAATTCACCTCCAAGGGAAGATTAAGGCCTTTGATATTTCGTGGCTTCATTTAACACAAATATAAAAGTATGGAATTTCTTATTCCGATTTCTTTAACATAAATATAGATTTATTACACCATCCCATACGTACATTCAAACATGCATGTAGACAGCCCAAATACAAGAGAGAATGTTCGCATTGTGGACGGGTATATAAACTAAATAATAATAATAAAGATCGTCAATTTGCATCCTCTCTTAGTGGTAATATTGTAAATATATAATAGTCTATAATATATTGATTTGACCGTAAGAACATCTTAGGGGAAATCCTATCACGAGGAGTCAATGCACACCGCGTCTGTAACGGTGTGAGGTGACTCCTTCAACTGCGCATGCGCCAAACGGTAATCACACACCAGGGACCATCTGAAACTGCCACACCGGAGAAAATGTGATTTATCTGTTTTGATGACTGAAAATTGCTAAATTTCGACTAAATATAACAAGCCAACAGTGAGGCTGATGTCCCCCGCCGAAATCCCAAAATAAATAGATGACACACATTAATTAATCGCACATTTATTTCTTTTTTCAAAAGTATCAAGCAATCAATCTACACACTAAGTTTCATCACTCTCTATCAGATAGAATCATGAATATCTTGTCCCAAAGCATCGACCAATGAAATTGAATAGCTCTGCTTAGCTGTAACTCGAAATGTTAATCAAGACATTCACCTAATGAACATCTACATCAAGTCTAAGCATTCTACCTCAATTAAAAGCAAAGTTGTTATGTTCCAAAGTCTTGACCAATCAAATTGCTTATCGCTCATTAGCCTAAGCAGAAAATTCTCACCATCTAAATTAGTCAAGGTAATGATATAATGAATCTATATTCGGGAGTTCCATCTCTCTCACTTCGTAATAACCAAAGTTATCGTGCCTCAAAGCATCAACTAATCAGATTGCTTATTTCTGCGTACCGCAAGCAGACAATGTTCATCATAGAACTCCGTCAAGGCATTCACCTATTGAACGCCTACACCAAGTTTAAACATTCTACCTCAATTCGACGTAGAGTTATTGGGTTCCAAAGTCTCGACCAATCAAATTGCTTATCACTCTGCTTACCCTCAGCAGAAACAAGGCATTGACCTAATAAACACATACACCAAGTTTGAACATTCTAGCTCAATTAAAAGTTATCGTGTCCCAAAGCATCAACCAATCAAATTGCTTATCTCTGCTTACCCTAAGCGGAAAATGCTCATCTTCGAACTCCATCAAGGCAATGACCTAATCAACACATACACCAAGTTTGAACATTCTAGCCCAATTAGGAAGAGAGTTATCGTGTCCCAAAGCATCAACCAATCAAATTGCTTATCTCTGCTTACCCTAAGCGGAAAATGCTCATCTTCGAACTCCATCAAGGCATTGACCTAATAAACACATACACCAAGTTTGAACATTCTAGCTCAATTAGGAAGAGAGTTATTGTGTCCCAAAAAGTGTGACGGACGGACAGACAGACAGACGGACGAACCCATTTTAATAGTCCCCTGCTTTCTTCGAAAGGCGGGGGACAAAAAAACTTTCTTGAGGTATCATCCAGATTATAAATATTTGACATATTATCATTCAAATTATTACGATTTTAATAAATTTTAGCTGACAATAACGTGCGGATTTCAGTTTGAAAATTGGTACTATAGATTCTGAAGGGAAAATACCGCTTATGACGTCACTCAAATATGACTGAAAAGCACTCACTTTTGTGCCATGCCACGCATTGACTGGTATAGAGCATTTTAATTAAATTATTGACGTCGATCTCGGATTTTAAAATTCCATCACTTTGGATCTAATTAGAATATTTTGATGAAATAAACAAATTTGGGTAGCAAATATTTTTAATTTTTTTTTTTCTGTCATTTGAAACTTTGACCTGAAACCCCTACTAAATACATGTAGGTAACCCGGAGAAGGGCTATACTATAAACCGGAAACTAACCCTAACCCTAACCCAGGCACACAGAGGACCAGGCTCCAGATTTCCTATTTAGGGTGCCAGTCTCCAAGTTACCTATTTAGGGTATTTTCCGGTATTTAGTGTGTTTTCCGGTATTTAGTGTGTTTTCCGGTATTTAGTGTTTTTCCGGTGTTTTCTGGTATTCAGTATAAAATGGTGATTTCCGGTGTTTTCCGGTATATAGTATTGCCGTAAACGGCTAGACAGACACCATTGAAATCTAAATATAGGGTAACGCACAAATTTACGTAACTCGGCCATATATAAGACGAAATGAAATTTAGGTTAGCTGGGTGAAAAATGGAATTTGTCGATTTTGCCTAGCCGAATTAAAATCGAATTTTTTCAAAAATTCCAAATTCATTTCTTCTTATACATGTATGGCCGAGTTACGTAAATTTGTGCGTGTTGAGTTGCACATACTGACACTAGCGAGGTAAGCAAGGTCTTATTTTCTCACTGAAATGTTCCTTTACATTGTTCAGCTGTTCACAGAGACTGACTGACACACGACCGTATAGCAGTAAAAAGTTGCCCAGTAAAATTGACATGGGGCCGATTTATTTTCGACAAGGATTCAATAGGACGGTTTCTGAACGTACATTGCGAGTGTAATGAGACCTACATCCAGAGCTGAACTAAATTTATACCAACATTGATGTTGTCTTACCTTGAAAAGATGGGCTTCTGTCGTTACGATATCCAATATTTGCGACACGAATCATATGTGCCAGAATGCTTTCGAGCACCATTTGTAATGAAGCGACTTGATGAACAAGGCTAACCGCATCCTATTAGAGAATACTAATGGTGTAGACTGGAATAACCAGATGCCAAAGACTGCCATTCAATCTGGACTCTTCCCTGAGCATACACTGTAACTTATTAAAAACTTACTGTAAAAACAGAAATGATTGAATGTAAATCAGTTAATATACTTTCATTTTACATTATGATACGGATTGCGACCCATTTGTGTCAATTTTACATGTAGGTTCCAAATAATACAGATTTTATAATAGCTCCTTTAATTGACTCAGAAAAAAACAGCAACATATATGCCAGTCTGCAGAGTATATCCAATTTTGACAAGATCATGTTCGTGCAATGGAATTGCTTACTAAATTCCAGCGTGCAACCTAAAACTAGCGTGAAGGAAATAAAACCATTCATGCTTGATGAAATACGCTATTTTGTCAGGCTTGCAATTTCAAAATTGTAGTAACCACTGCACCTGTACACGTAAATTAGCCATACACAACTCGATTGGGTCAGTTTTACCAGCTCGCTACATATAAGTCACTACTTACTATTATGGTAGTTGTCTCCCTTGACACAACGAAAACGTTGAATTAAAATTTGAAATTCTTGCGCTTCTGCCAGGATCTTGCATGTCAGGAATTATCACTATCATCTATTGTGTATCAATTACGTATTAAGAACAACGTGACAATTAGTACAGATCGCTAGGTGAAAATGTCGTGCAACAACTGGCGTGTACTGATCCCTGAAAAATTTACTTGTGCGGACATACTCTAAAGACTGGTACATATTTCCGTTGCGGGGACAAGATATTTGGTTGGGAGGAACGAAGAAATGTCACTTGTGATTTGTGGGCATACGTATGTATCTACACCCGGCGTGATTCCGAAACTATTGATTGTAGCGAATTTCATCGCCAGCAGGTCGGTTTAGAAAATTCAGGACCAAATTCTTTATAGTGTTAGGCCTCACTACCTACCGTTTTTAGCCCAGCAAATTAAGGCACGTGTAACTTTTAAGATGAAATATGTCACATTAAAAATGGTTGTTTATTTTGAGGTTCCCAACTGGTTTCATTTTGCTTGTTTCTGGAAGAGAGCAAAAGTTGCCCAGCCTGATGATATTCATGGTTACCATTCCTTGCGTTGGGAAGACCAGCAGAAGGTGAAGGGAAAGATTGGTGGTGGTGGTGGCGGCGGAGGGGATGGAGATGCAACAGATGGAGGGGATTCAGATCCAAAAATGTTTACAACAGAATATGCTAAATCAAATCGTAGCACCTGTCGTGGTTGTGAAGATAAAATTGACAAAGGCTTGATTCGAATTTCCAAAAAAGAATTTGACAGTCAGCAAGCCAAAATATATGGTCCCCAAGAACTCTGGCACCATGTTGATTGTTTTGTAGATAAAAAAGACGATCTGGAATTTAATGTAGATATAAAACAAATAACAGGATTCGAAAGTTTAAAGAAAGAAGATCAAGAAGAACTGATTAAAAAGCTGGGAGGAGCAGGACCTGCAATAAAAGTTAAAATTGAGGAAACAGAAGAAGAAAAGCAGCTCCGTGACCAAAGCGCCTTAATCTGGAAATATCGCGACCTGTTGATAAAGAATGTGTCGAAGAAAGCCATGAAACTAATGCTCGAGTTGAACGAACAAAATGTTCCACCTGGTGAAAGCAAACTTTTAGATGCCATGTCTGATTGCTTGACATTTGGTGCTTTGGAACGATGTCCCGAATGTAAGGAAGGGCAGTTTTATTATACTACTGAAGGTTATAAATGTTCAGGCAATATGACTGCCTGGACAAAATGTATGAACATTATCAAGAATCCTAAACGTAAGGCCTTTAAAGTCCCTAAGGAATTTCATGACGTTGAATTTTTAAAAAAATACAAATATAATGCTAACACTAGAATATTTCCGGTTGTAAAAGTCTCGGCTATTGAAGGTCCAGTGAGGGATTCGGTTGATGGTGTCCTAGCAACAGATAAGCCATTAGATCAAATGAAATTTGTCATCATTGGAAAAACGAAGAAATCCAAAGCTGTCCTCACTAAAGAGATATCCAATTTGGGTGGTACAGTTATCTCTAAACCCGATGGAAGTGTTGCTGCATGCATTTCAACCAAAAACGAAGTTGATAAAAAATCAAAAGGTATTGAAGAAGCGGAAAAGGCAGATGTCCATGTGGTAAGCGAGGATTTTTTGGAAGATTTAAAAGCTGGAGAAGTGGTAGCCCATATTTTGAAGCACAATTTGTCAACATGGGGCTCAGATCCTGCTACACGAATTGGTGACATTAAACCTAAAACCCTGCCAAAAAAGAGTGCTTACAAGAGTGGTATGACCGCAAAGGAAGAAGCCATGTTCACCAAAAGCGTCCCAACCAAAAAGAAAATGACGGTTAAGGGTGGTGCAGCAGTTGATCCTGATTCTGAATTAGAAGATGTTGCTCATGTTATCGAAGAACGAGGCTCGGTTTACAGTGCTGTGTTGGGAACGGTTGATATAGTCAAGGGAACTAACTCTTATTATAAATTACAGGCGCTTGAGAAAGATAAGGGCAGTGGTTGGTATCTATTTCGATCCTGGGGTCGAGTTGGTACAACGATTGGTGGCAACAAATGTGAAAAACAAGGCTCAAGAGCTGCAGCTATTAACAGCTTTAAAACCATGTATGTAGAAAAAACAAATAATGACTGGGACAACAGAGCAAATTTTGAAAAATTTCCCAACAAATATTATCCACTGGAAATCGATTATGGCCAAGATGATGAAAACCTTGAAAACTTAGATGGTTCCAGAGCTGGTTCAAAACTTCCTAAAAATGTTCAAGATGTTATTTGTGCTATCTTTGATATCGACAAAATGAAGAAAGCCATGGTGGAATTTGAAATCGATTTGAAAAAAATGCCGCTGGGGAAACTTTCTAGGAGACAGATTGAAACAGCTTATTCTGTGTTGACAGAACTAAATACGCTCATTGAAACAAAAGGTTCACAAAACAAATTCTTGGATGCATCAAATCGATTTTACACCCTCATTCCACATGATTTTGGAATGAAAAAACCTCCATTGCTTGATACACCTGAAGTTATAAAAATGAAAACTGAGATGTTGGACAATCTACTGGACATTGAAGTGGCGTACAGTTTATTGAAAGGCGGTGATGAAGGAGCCAATCCTATTTATGCGCATTACAAGAAACTCAAATGTTCCATGGATCCAATGAAGAAAAAGAGCGACATGTATGATAGATTGGTGAAATACGTTGAAAATACCCATGCTGCAACCCACAATCAGTACTCACTTCAAGTTGAAGATATATTTGAAATCAAAAGAGAAGGCGAAGAAGAAAAATACCAACCATTTGAAGATCTTCACAATCGACAGTTATTATGGCATGGTTCACGAACGACGAATTACGCTGGTATTTTATCACAAGGGTTGCGTATCGCCCCGCCAGAAGCTCCTGTCACAGGTTATATGTTCGGTAAAGGTGTTTATTTTGCCGATATGGTTTCAAAAAGTGCCAATTATTGTCGGGCTAGTAAAACTGATAGTACAGCCTACATGCTGTTATGTGAGGTGGCTCTGGGTAATCCCCACGAACTTCTCGCCAGTAGCTATGTTACATCACTACCAAAAGGAAAGCATTCAACTAAAGGTTGTGGTATGACAGTACCTGATGAGAAGGGGGCGTACATTACCGAGGATGGTGTGAAAATTCCCATGGGTAAAGGAACAAATGCTACGATTGGTCGATCTAGTTTGCTATATAATGAATATATTGTCTATGACACGGCACAGATTAAAATGAAGTACATGCTAAAGATGAAATTTAACTTTAAATGGTGAAATTGAGGGTAGGAAATAAATACATGTAAAAACCTACATGTAAATGTTATGTTAGTGAGCAATTTTATATCATTTGTTAGGATTTATTGTCAATCTTGTAATACAATATCATTTGAGACCTAAAATTTAATATTGTATTTGAATCTATGTCAGTATTTTATATATTTTTCATTCTTTCCTTATTTTGGACATTCTAATAGACAGATTAATTACAAGTTTAATCTTATGTAACATCTGATAGGTGGTACTCACTTGTATGCTCGGAGTACCTATATGAGATAAGATTTAAGCACAACAGATATTGACACCTATTGTTTAAAGTTAGAATGGGTGACCATTAATAATTAGTTTCATTGTTAATTACCTGCGTTGTATAAACTTCTAAATTCCGCACGACTTTTATCTGTATCAGTCGTAGACTTAAGACATAATATTATGTAAGACGTGATAGCTTGTACAAACGTGTATCAGTCAGAATCCATGACAGGTGTTAACATTGTTGCTTTAGAGCTTAGAGGTGCGAATTCTAGTAATTAGTTTATGTTGGATTATCTTACTGTCAATCAAACTCAATGTGACTACGAGTTAGCCAATCAGTTTAATTGTTTATGTAACCTGTAAACCAATCAGGATTCAGGCGGCAGAGATGACACTACGTTATTTAAGAGTGGTTTTGAGAGTCAAAGGGCAGTTGGGTTTTCTGTGACCTAGGGAGAACATCTTTGGTTAGATATCTCCTGATCCAACCACCATATGTATATATATTATGCAGTAATAAAACATCTGTTTAATAAAAAGAGTATGTGTTATGTTACATACTCTTAAGTGGTGCGCATACTTGCCAATATTACTCAAGAGATTAGGAAAGTCAAAAGTTTTTTACGATTGTCATATAAAATTAGGTACATTTTATCGGAATTGCAAACGCTTATGGATAAGGGATTAGATTACTTCGCGCATTTAACATTACAACTCAACATGCTTTCACTCGGTCACATATCTCCAAGTACAATCTCTCCAAAAGACCTAAATTTCCACGACCCATAGTAAATAAATGGTGAACAATATATGCTGACATGATGATACATACATGGTGGACATTTATGGTGGAAAATATATGCTGACACAATGATACATACATAGTGGATATAAATGGTGAAAAATATATGCTGACACAATGATACATACATGGTGGATACTATATGTGCCTAATTGGTGGAAGATATCCATCTATGTTGTGTGTTTCCTTTAACATTTATACAGCATTAATTTGTGACTATTTTTCCCGCATAATGTGGAAGATATCCATCTACGTTTGTGTTTCATTTACCATTTATACAGCATTAATTTGTAACGATTTTTCCCGCATAATGTGGAAGATATCCATCTATGTTTGTGTGTTTCATTTAACATTTATACAGCATTAATTTGTGACGATTTTTCCCGCATAACGTGGAAGATATCCATCTATGTCTGTGTGTTTTATTTAACATTTATACAGCATTCATTTGTGACGATTTTTCCCACATATTGTGGAAGACAGTGACTTTTATACTTTGTGAATATTTTTAGTTTTGATGTTGTGCTTTTCTTTTATATATCTTTTAATGCTTCCATTATTGTATTTTGCTTTAATCTTTTTAAAATCGTTCCATATTATTTTATAATCTGCCTGCTTCGCAAAAAGTAGGGGACTTTTGAAATTGGTTTCTCTGCCTGTCATACCTTTTTGGAAGACAAATGAATCTGCTTCTGTTCGAGGTAGAATTTTAAAATTTGTTGAAGTTCAGTACATGTAGATGTATGGCTGGACTGGGCATGATGTATTTTAACTTGTGTTACATTGATTGGTCAATGCTTTATTTTCGAATTAGGGGGTTGGTTGGTCTAATGGTTTATCGTGAGCGTGAAATAATAATGTCTGTCATTGTATCAAGTGGCGTGGTTTTGATTCTCCGCTTAAATGTGACAGGAGTAGGGTTGCATGTCCAATCTTGTTGCTTTACCCCCCCCCCCCCACTACTAAAGACCCCTACGTGCAAGCGAATTATTGAAATAAAGTTGAACCATATATGTATCTTAGTCCCGAAATGACCTTCGGATTAAGTAAGGGGGACTTCTAATATACATGTACTGTTTTCTAACTAATTTTTTAATGTCAGGTAGATCACAGAAAAACTACTTTTATTAACTTGGGGTACATTGGAAAATAAATGTTTTGTGTGTGGTAAAATTCATAAATTGTGAAGTACATGTAGATACATGTATTCCATAATAACTAGTCTTAGTTCGTTTAAATAATGACTTGTATTGTACATTGTATCATTATTTGACAGTCAGGATGTAAAGATAGATAATAGTTGTTCGCACAGTCATCAACAACATTCGTGATATATCATTGTTATTTTTATACGCCCACATTTTCATGTGGACGTATATTGTCGTCGCCCCTGTCCGTCCGTACGAAAAATCACGTTTTTAGCTTGTGGACCCTATAGAGGTCACAATTTTAATCCTATTTTGATGAAACTTGAAATGTAAGTTTATAACCCAAAGATCTCGGTTCCTTTCAATATTCACGCATATAGGATCGTAACTTCCTGAATTATGGCACCTGATTGTACGAAAAATCGCATTTTTAGCTTGTGGACCATATAGAGGTAATAATTTTTATCCGATTTAAAAAAACGTATTATTATATCACCGTTACTTACACCTTGAGGACGACGGAGTTCGAATTTCATGAAAATCAGCCCAAAACTGACAGACAAAATGGCCGCCCTTCGTTCTCAAATAATGTAAAAATATGGTATATCAAGGTTGTGGACCCTATATAGGTCACAATTTTAATCCTATTTTGATGAAACTTAAAATTTAATTTTATAACTCAAAGATCTGGGTTCCTTTCAATATTCGCGCATATCGGACCGTAACGCCCTGAATTATGGCCCCTGATTGTACGAAAAATCGGGTGTTTAGCTTGTCGACCCTATAGAGGTCATAATTTTTATCCGATTTAAAAAAACGATTTAAGAAAACTTTCGAATATATCACCATTACACCCTAAGGTTAGTTGAGTTCGAATTTCGTAAATATCGGATTAAAACTGAGAGACAAAACGGCCGCCCCTCGTACTCAAATAGTGTAAAAAATATGGTATATCAGTGTTGTGGACCCTCTACAGACCACAATTTTCTTTTGATTTTGACGAAACTTGAAATGTAAGTTAATAACCCAAAGATCTTGGTTCTTTTCGATATTCGGCATATCGGATAGTAACTTCCTGAATTATGGCCCTTGATTGTACGAAAAATCGCGTTTTTAGCTTGTGGTCCTTGTAGAGGTCACAATTTTTATCTGATTTATAAAAAAAGAATGTGTGAATATATCACCATTACACACTAAGATCATGGATCCTTTTGATAATCGCGGATACCCGAACTTAACTTACTGGATTATGGCCCCTGATTGTTCGAAAAATGGCATTTGTAGCTTGCGGATTCTCTAGAGGTCACAATTTTTTTCCGATTTTAAAAACCAGATAAATATTTCACCATTGCACCATAATGAAGGTTGAATTCAAATTTCTGGAAAATCAAAATGAAACTGCCCAACAAAATGGCTGCTCATCTCTTGCAAAATGTGGGCGTATCCTGCCTGGCAGTCGCTGGTTAGTTACCGGTATTACAATCTTTTGATTTTGTTATATTATGATTTTGATACAGTATTTAGTAAAATATTGAACCTCATTAATACACATTGAATGTGTGCCGGCATGTGTCCAGGGTGGAGGGTCTGCTCAGGTGGAGCCTATACAACAGGGAGCCTAGGAGAGAGCCTATACCTAGCCCCCACCCCTGATCATTTTCCCCGCACACACCCATGGTGTGGTTAATTTAGCTTTAGTTTTATTCATGTGATTTTACTCTGTTTCCTGCATGTACAGTATACAGAATCCTGCACAAATTGAATATTTATCAAGATAGTGGTGTACTAGAGGGATAAAACAAAGATGCAGGTATTATTAACTTGGGAGATTTTAATATTTGTCATACATCATTCTACATGTATGGGGTTCTCCAAATATTATGAAGTAGAATTTCCAGTTTACAAGTGACTGTGAGTATACATGTACATGATCAAAAGTAATGGTCACTTTCAAATATTCAGTGTTACTCAGGATATTCTTAAGAATTATCCACACATAATTTATGTCTCTGAGTGTTAAATATATACACTTTAAAAAAAAGTAGGGGATATTGAAATGCAAATACCTATGCAGGTTGTCATATGATAAATAGTCATGGACACTTGACATGCTTTGATGAAGAACTTATCGCCCCAACAGAACCACTGAGCTGCACATGCGACACGCAATAGCTCCATACACGTGGGAGGGGTTCATTGTCAAATTTGACACTTAAAGGAAGGGTGGATGAAAACTGCCGCTTGCTGGTTTATTCTATCCATGTTTGCTTTCCTATCGGTTCTTGAATAAGATTTACTTGATTAGCGTATCTTTGCTTTAGTGTGTTACGTTTAATTTGATCGGGAGACGTGTATGTCAACGTCGACCGACAACACTGCAAGAACTGACCGTGGCCCTGCAAGAGGAGTGGGTCAGATTGCCCCAAATCGTGATTGGACGGTTGATTAGGAGCATGCCACGATGAATTGCTGAATGTCTGAGGATTGGTGGATGAAAACTGTCGCTTGCTGGTTTATCCTATCCATGTTAGCTTTCCTATCGGTTCTTGCATAAGATTTACTTGATTAGCGTATCTTTGCTTTAGTGTGTTACGTTTAATTTGATTGGGAGACGTGTTCGTCAACGTCGACCGACAACACTGCAAGAATTGACTGTGGCCCTGCAAGAGGAGTGGGTCAGATTGCCCCAAATCGTGATTGGCCGGTTGATTAGAAGCATGCCACGACGAATTGCTGAATGTCTGAGGATTGGTAGAGCAATTACTCATTATTAAGACAAAAATCAAAAACGTCCATTTTCACTTTTGACAGTGTATCTCTTTGCGAGTGAAATGGGGCCGTCAGATAAGCCGCCCATATGAAATGTTTATGTTCATGTGTAGGCAATTGGCCTGTTATTAACATACACTGGTTACCTCTAATAAAAACAGCAGTGCATTTCCGCAGTTTTGTATTGCTTCTGAATATCCCCTACTCTTTTTTTTGAAGAGTATACATGTATATTTGAAAAGTAAAAACTGCTTCTTTTCTTTAATCCACAAATGAATGATAAATGAATACTGTCATTATTTTAGATATTGATTAATGAACGCTTTTTTCACTCACAGGCTACTGACCAATATCAGAGTTTTTATGAGAATGCTAAATTAGATGATCTTTGTGATGATTGTGCTGAATAATTTGCTTGTACCATGTATGTGATTACTTTATAAAAGATTCCAACCTGATTAAAATATTTTGTTTAGTTATTTTTTATACATGGATGGCCTACACTACAAGAAGATCTTGGGCCAGTTGTTAACTTTTGACTCTTTTACATGGACTTAATGGATCGTTTTCTTTAACGGAGAAAAATTCTGTTGATGGAAGCCGCGTTAACTTTAATATGTCGTTAACATGCCCTTGCATATACCGATGGTATTAGTCGGCTGTTAGTCGAAGTATTACACCCTTAGCAAAAAGTCATAGATTACCAGTGTAATTTTCTACAGAACATTCTAGAGGGCTTTCTCGGCCAACACCGCTGGAGTGAACCCGCTAGCTCCAACATAGCGAACCGGCGTTCTACCCATTTAGCCACCGTGGCTCCATTACTACTTTTGAAATGCACATGCTATCTGGTGATGTCATTGCGCCCTGTACACATTTAGAAACATCGGGCAAGAATGTTACCCCACTCACCCGAAAAATCGGCCCGTATGCCATATTTGCGCAAATTAACATAGCTTCAAACGCACAACTCTCAAAACATTGCATCACAGTTTAAATTGAAATACATGTAAGTAAATATTGGATCACGAAAATATTTACTGAAAAGTATTTCTTTGTAATAATTCGTTCTAAATGTGTACTGGAACCAAGGTGAGTAAGAGTAAGACGCTGGCTGGCTAGTCTGGAGGTATCGCTCCAGATGTTGCAGCCTTGGCTTTAACGCAACTTTTTGTATTAGTGTACATATCACCGTAAACTGAATTGATATGGTTTTGTAAGTGCCTTTTATACGTCGACTTGGAAATGAGGTCGTATATTGCAATCCCGTCCATCGTTCACAATTTCTTGCGAACTCCATAGGCTACATTTATCATCCAAGAGTTTTGAAATTTATATATTTTGTTTACATTAGTGAGATGAAGAAGACTTTACGTCATTTCAACAAGTTATCGCCCCATCTTTATTACATTTATGCATTGTTAAAATAAGTAGTTCGTAAGTTATGGTCCTTGTTTCACTTTGTAGATTCCACTGAACACTGAACGACAAAAGTTATCACCCAATCAGTATTATATTGCTTACGACACAACCTACAAAAGAATAAATATGCATCAACTCTTGTCGACTGTCCGCACGAATTAGCATGTAATGACCTTGTTTCGTTTTTTTTTTCATTTCAACCATTTCCTTTTCTAAGTGCTCAAGAAGTGTTGTGGGTAAACAGGAGCGAAACCCGACAACGACAAAATTCTACAGTACGAAGGACTAAAAACTCTACTCTAATATTAAGTGCTGGGGGACTGCACTGCACATAATTTACATAATGATGATAAAAAAATGTGTAGTGAGTTAACAAGAGCGAAAACAATGCAACAATCCTGGGCCCTGTTTCTCGAAATCTTAACTACAGATAAAATCCAAATTTTAGTAGATTCTTCAATTTTATTTGGCTAAGCACTAAAATCAATCTAATATTATCAAATATAATTACTAAAATTTGAATTTTATCTTAGTTAAAATTTCGTGAAACAGGCCCCAGGACTTAGATGACGTGGACGTATGTTTTGTAGACAGCTCTGATCTTCCGTCTTAGTGTTACCGTACTTTGAAAAGTAGCCAGCTCCGACAAAAGTGATATTGGTATCGGCTAAACAACCGATAGAGTGGACATTAGGATGTTATAAACGCACGTTTTGCTGTTTCCATGATAAGATAAGATTGCAGCCACATGTGGGCTGTGACAAAATATCTATATTTACCTATTTGTATATATTACTACCATGACTACGTGGCCACAATAACTGTACACATACCCTGGGCTCGATTGAGTTACATGGTATTTATATTGTTGATAGTCGCCCACAGTCCTTCGTCTTTGTGATTGACATTGACATTGCCATGGTAGGCCTTAAAATTTAAGCAACCTCGCTGCTGTTTCGGGGGATGTTACCTTTCAAGGCCGAGTACGCTAAAAGCGACCGATCAAACTGTAAAGCATGTTACTTGAAGATTACAAAAGATTCATTGCGGTTGGCAGTTATGGTCCGATCACACAACTTCGACGGAAAGGTTTGTCACAATCAATTATGTAAAACTAGCAGGATACTCGGCTTCGCTCGGGGGGTCATAACTCCGAAACCGGAAGTGGTAGACTGACGCCACCTGGCCTATGTTACTCCCCGGTCCGAGCTACCCCTATACCCCAAATTTCAGACCTAGTGTAGCCGCCAACCACGAACAGACCGGCTTCGTTCGGGGGTCATAACTCCGAAACCGGAAGTGGTAGACTAACGCCACCTGGCCTATGTTACTCCCTGGTCCGAGCTACCCCTATACCCCAAATTTCATGTATATATAAGGGGTTTCAGTTATATGTAGTGAACACCAAATTTGATTTAGCTCTCTTATCAAAAGCCAAAAACATATAAAGCCACTGCCTTGGCAGTCGATTTTGATGGGTTAAAGAGATTAAGAAAATTGTAGGAAATCTCACGATTTGCTGCGAAGGCTGGGTATAAATGGGCTTGACGTATTTCTTCATACTTTCTACAGTATAGCAAATAAATGTTGCTCGTTTTCGATCGAGTTTAAATCGTAAAATTTGCATAGACGCTGGTCAGCAGGAATTTATTTGTACAATAGATCACCTCAACAGACAAGTTTGTTTATTTAAATATCCCCCAGAACTCTGTTCTGTCTCATCTTGAAGATGAGAGTGACACTAAAATGTTATGATTTGTCCTATCCTAAAAATATGAATATTTACTTCCAGGTTCCTAAATGGTACCATTTTGATTGTTTTTGGAAGAGAGCAAATGTTACACAGCCAGATAATATCCATGGCTACCACCCGTTACGCTGGGATGATCAGCAGAAGGTGAAGAAAAAGACTGATGGTGGGGGCTGGAGATGTCAAAGATGGAGGAGATTTAGATGCAACCATGTTCGCAATAGAATATGCAAAATCAAATCGTAGCACCTGTCGTGGTTGTGAAGATAAGATTGATAAAGGCTTGGTTCGCATTTCGAAAAAAGAATTTACTAGTCAGCGATCCAATAACTATGGCCCCCAGGATCTATGGCATCACGTTGATTGTTTTGTAGATAAAAAAGATCAGCTACATTTCAACGTAGATGTAAAGAAAATAAATGGTTTCACGAGTTTAAAGAAGGAAGATCAAGAGGACCTGATTAAAAAACTAAGAGGAACAGTCAAAAAAAGGAAGAACCACACCGAATCTGAAGTACCCACAAAAAAGGTTAAACAAATGAAGAAAAACAGCTTCGCGAACAAAATGCTTCTTGTTTTTTTCAATACTTAACCATCGTACAGAGTTATTTCCCCCTGTAGTTCATGTAACAAGGAGGAAAGATGGCTTTCGGCAATGAAATTACATTTTCCTCCAGCTAACCACAAATCACAGATACATGTATATGGGAACATTTTGGATTAAAATGCCAGATGGAAAAGCTGTGGCTAATGGAGTGACAACTTGTCGCCACTGATTTGTCGGCGTTAATTAAAGACAATTTAAATATCTTGTACTTGTTTATATTTTTTAAGTAAATTTGGAAAGAAAAAATATCACGATCCTGTGATATGTATTGTATCATGAGGTTAGAGTATCATTGCCACCCTACTGAATATCATATTCAAAATAAGCTTAGGCTCCCCAATTATTCAAAACCCCAAAGCAATAATTTCTCTTTAAGCTTTATCAAGACCGGTCCACCGTCAATTAGTTCAACTTTTCTATCATTGTGTTCACAATGAGTGGATTCTTTAAAATGTGCTGACCAAATGTCTTATTGAAGGTTATCCCTGGAAATAAAAACAAATTACATTAGTATATTAATTGTTCACAGAGTCGTACTAAGATTTTGCAGGCTACTGAACTACAGTTATCATCTATTAAGACACCCCTCGGTTTTTGGGGGCTTTTGCCGTAGTTTGTTTACTACACATATAAATTATCATTTGAACTCTTTTTTTTAATCAGAAAATATTGAATTATTATACTCTGTTTCAGCATTCACAAATGACATAAGTTTCCACCTGATCTGTGGAGGTCGACCAATAGGAGGAAATCCCTGCGCTATAGTACAGTCCCTAAAGCTCATGCCAATCAGGCCCCGTGTTCCTCTGTTTAATGACCTTCCTTTATTCCCATATCAGTCCGAAAATATTAAGATCATTTGTTTCGGCATGTACTGTTCGGTTGACATTTGAGGCTGTTTTGACTTACTTTTCTTGTACATTTTTGCCAGTTTTTGTTTGAGTCAATCTAAAAAGTGTTTTCGTACCATACAAACAAACTTCTTAAAAATGGCTTCTTAAAAGTTATTTATATGTAACTGGCAATTAATCACTCCTGTGTTGACCACCGGTAAAATAAAATCCATTGTACAATTAATGTTTACTCATATTTTGACAGAACATGGCACAAGAATAAGTAGTGACATCCATGTGTTTCAATAAAAACAAACACTATCGTGATTTTTTTGATCGATTGATTTCCTGATGTCAAAGTCTGGCTTATCACACTCACAGGACTAAGCCTACAAGAGATCTTATTTTGTGCTTTGGAATTATGTTATTGGAGGTGACAAATTATTGCAAACACAGGTATAATTTTTAATAACTATAATTAAGTAGTTTTTTCACAATGGAGGAAGACACTTTATCCTTTAAAGCGAGAGTTTCATATTTTCTAAGAAAGTCAAAACATAATTATTCCTATGCCTTTTGCTCAATAGGATGTCAACTCACTTAGAAATCACTGACCCCGGAAATAATAACATAATTACATCCCTTGTTTTTCTATCCCCCCCCCCCCACCATGGAATAGCTATCTTCAAACGTTCCAATTTGAATTTGAAAATTATATTTTTGTCAATTTCTCAACGGGCAAAAGTGAATTATAGGATTAATAAGATTATTCTTTAACAAGGTAGGACTGTTTATAGATACCATCTATTTTAAGGCTTTGTTTTAATACATTTTAAAAATATCTATTTTAAGGCTTTATTTTAATACATTTTAAAAATATAACTTAAAAATATGAAACTATCGCTTTAAGAGCATGGCCCATCTAATACTAATATCATGTATCAGTCCATGTTGAACTTATTTTCAATTTATCATGTTGGAGATGTTTTGTTTATAATATAACCCATGAAATAACCTTGTTTGGTAATCTGTTGATGTTGTCTGGATTTCTTTGCTACCATTTCTTTTGGCATATTGTACGGTTTTCAGACCTAAAAAGGGATAAATGTTAATAATAAATATTGTCAATGAATGACTTCTTCCACCATGTGTTGTTGACAAAATGACGTCACGAAGTAAAGGGGACTTAACTCAAATCAAACTTTTTAAGAATAAAAATTTACAAATGCAGAACTACAAAGCCCGAAACGAAACTTGATAATAACATTAAATTTCCCGATCCTATCCTTTAAACAGTAGAGCACTATCACCAGTCATTTGATCTGATTGTATTAACTAACATACCAATGAACATTTTCGAACAAAACAAGAGAATATCATCTGGATTCGCAATCTTTTAAGATTTCGTTCCGACAAGATAAATTTCTTCGGTCCAAAATTTGCCAATCGACAACATGCAATTTCCCGCCATTTGAAGAAAAATGTCGGATCATCACGATTTACCGTTCAAGGCCGAATATGCTAAAAGCGATCGATCTAGCTGTAAAGCATGCAAATCAAACATTTCAAAAGATTCACTGAGATTGGCAATTATGGTCCAGTCACCCCATTTCGATGGAAAGGTATGTCATAATGATTTATCATGTAAATTCACTCCCACCGGCTCCGTTTGGGTCGTGCATATAATCATAATGCATACCGGTACTAAATTACCATCCATTGACTCAGTCACTATTTTTGGATCCAGGTCTTTTCCCCCCATATACCAGTTCATCCTGAGTAGTTTCATAATTAGATACCATTATATTATATAAATGACTTATAATTTTTACAGGTAACCAAGTCGGTGGTTTTAAATTATTTAATTAATTACAAATAAAAACACCCACTGCAAAAGTGCAATAAGAATAAGTAATCTAGTATTAAATTAAATAAATGTTCTGTGTCAGTCTCTGTGAACGGCTGAACAATGTAAAGAAACATTTCAGTGAGAAAATAAGACCTTGCTTATCTCGCTAGTGTCGTGTGCAACACAACATCATGGTGTTAAAGATCATCCCAAACTTAGGCTGCCTATCTAAAGCTAGCTCCGGCTGAGAATAGGCCCTAAGCTAATTAACCGACATTTTAATTCCTACATCGACGATTTTAGTCGAAAACACTGAGTATGCTTTTAGAAATTTTTAAAAGTATTTATTTCTCTTCTATTGTCATATTGAATGAAATTAAATATGTTTATTTAGCCGCTGTGTGTATGAAAGATGACAAACTAATCTAAGCCGAATCACAAAATAGTCCTCTAATTATTCAATATGGCGGCGCCCATGAAACATAATTTCACAGAGGCGGTTTTGTTTGCGAAAACAAATTTAGGAGTATCTACCTTGTTTTGAAAGATTAACAGATTGAAACTCTAAAGACAGTTTACAATGGTAAAGAATTTATTGCAATATTACCCATAGCACATATTATATATCGCTTTTACGCGAGTGTCAGCGACATGGCGTGTTTACATAAAACACACGTGCGTGGGTTATTTTTACTCTGTTGTCTAAACAAATGGGTGTTTAGTCGATAAGTCCCGCCCCAAAATGATCACGTGGGCGTTTTAAATGGCGGCTAATCGGGGCAGTGTCACATTCTGGGAAATATGACGTAGAGGAGTATGGTTAAAGATATGTCCCCTTCTGCTAAACGGAAGACACCATTGAAATCTAAATATAGGGTAACGCACAAATTTACGAAATTCAGCCATATAAGACGAAATGAAATTTAGGTTAGCTGGGTGAAAAATGGAATTTTTCGATTTTGCCTAGCCGAATTAAAAGCAAATTTTTTCAAAAATTCCAATTTCATTTCTTCTTATATGGCCGAGTTATGTAAATTTGTGCGTGTTGAGTTGCACATACTGACACTAGCGAGGTAAGCAAGGTCTTATTTTCTTATAGAAATGTTCCTTTACATTGTTCAGCTGTTCACAGAGACTGACACATGATTATTTAGCAGTAAAAAGTTGCCCAGTAAAATTGACTGGGGCCGATTTATTTTCGACAAGGATTCAATAGGACGGTTCCGGAATGTACAATGCGAGTGTAATGAGACCTACTTCCAGAGCTGAACTAAATTTATACCAACATTGATGTTGTTGTCTTACCTTGAAAAGATAGGCTTCTGTCGTTACGATATCCAATATTTGCAACAAAATGAAGATTTTAAAATTGGCAGAATGCTTTCGAGCACCATTTGTAATGAAGCGACTCGATGAATGAGGCTAACCACATCCCATTAGAGAATAATAATGGTTTAGACTGGAATAACCAGATGCCAAAGACTGCCATTCAATTTGGACTCTTCCCTGAGCATACACTGTAACTTATTAAAAACTTACTGTAAAAACAGAAATGATTGAATGTAAATTAGTTAATATACTTTCAATTTACATTATGATACGGATTGCGACCCATTTGTGTCAATTTTACATGTACATGTAGGTTCCAAATAATACAGATTTAGCTCCTTTAATTGACTCAGAAAAAACAGCAACATATGCCAGTCTGATCCAATTTTGACGAGATCATGTGGGTCCAATGGAATTGCTTACTAAATACCAGCATGCAACCTAAAACTAACGTGAAGTAAATAAGACCATTCATGCTTGATGAAATACGCTATTTTGTCAGGCTTGCAATTTCAAAAGCACGTGTGAAATTCAAAATTGTAGTAACCACTGCACCTGTACGCGTAAATTAGCCATACACAACTCGATTGGGTAGTTTTACTTGCTTACTACATGTAAGTCACTACACTTACTATTATGGCAGTTGTCTCCCTTGACACAACGAAAACGTTGAATTAAAATTTGAAATTTGAAATTCTTGCGCTTCTGCGAGGATCTTGCATGTCAGGAATTATCACTGTTATCTACTGTGTATCAATTAGGTATCAAGAACAACATGACAATTAGTACAGATTGCTAGGTGAAAATGTCGTGCAACAACTGGCGTGCACGGATTCCTGAAAAATTTACGGACATACTCTAAAGACTGGTACATATTTCTATTGCGGGAACAAGATATTTGGTTGGGAGGAGGGAAGAAATGTCAGTTGTGATTTGTGGGCATACGTATGTATCTACACCCGGCGTGATTCCGAAACTATTGATTGTAGCGAACTTCATCACCAGCAGGTCGGTTAAGAAAATTCAGGACCAAAATCTTTATAGTGTTAGGCCTCACTGCCTACCGTTTTTAGCCCAGCAAATTAAGGCATGTGTAACTTTTAAGATGAAATATGTCAAATTAAAAATGGTTGTTTATTTTCAGGTTCCCAACTGGTTTCATTTTGCTTGTTTTTGGAAGAGAGCAAAAGTTGCCCAGCCTGATGATATTCATGGTTACCATTCCTTGCGATGGGAAGACCAGCAGAAGGTGAAGGGAAAGATTGGTGGTGGTGGTGGTGGTGGCGGCGGAGGGGATGGAGATGCAACAGATGGAGGGGATTCAGATCCAAAAATGTTTACAACAGAATATGCTAAATCAAATCGTAGCACCTGTCGTGGTTGTGAAGATAAAATTGACAAAGGCTTGATTCGAATTTCCAAAAAAGAATTTGACAGTCAGCGAGCCAAAATGTATGGTCCCCAAGAACTCTGGCACCATGTTGATTGTTTTGTAGATAAAAAAGACGATCTGGAATTTAATGTAGATATAAAACAAATAACAGGATTCAAAAGTTTAAAGAAAGAAGATCAAGAAGAACTGATTAAAAAACTGGGAGGAGCAGGACCTGCCAAAAAGAGAAAAGGGGACACAAAATCTGAAGCACCTGCAAAAAAAGTTAAAATAGAGGAAACAGAAGAAGAAAAGCAGCTCCGTGACCAAAGCGCCTTAATCTGGAAATATCGCGACCTGTTGATAAAGAATGTGTCGAACCAAGCCATGAAACTAATGCTCGAGTTGAACGAACAAAATGTTCCACCTGGTGAAAGCAAACTTTTAGATGCCATGTCTGATTGCTTGACATTCGGTGCTTTGGAACGATGTCCAGAATGTAAGGAAGGGCAGTTTTATTATACCACCGAGGGTTATAAATGTTCAGGCAATATGACTGCCTGGACAAAATGTATGAACATTATCAAGAATCCTAAACGTAAGGCCTTTAAAGTCCCTAAGGAATTTCATGACGTTGAATTTTTAAAAAAATACAAATATAAAGCTAACACTAGAATATTTCCGGTTGTAAAAGTCTCGGCTATTGAAGGTCCAGTGAGGGATTCGGTTGATGGTGTCCTAGCAACAGATAAGCCATTAGATCAAATGAAATTTGTCATCATTGGAAAAACGAAGAAATCCAAAGCTGTCCTCACTAAAGAGATATCCAATTTGGGTGGTACAGTTATCTCTAAACCCGATGGAAGTGTTGCTGCATGCATTTCAACCAAAAACGAAGTTGATAAAAAATCAAAAGGTATTAAAGAAGCGGAAAAGGCAGATGTCCATGTGGTAAGCGAGGATTTTTTGGAAGATTTAAAAGCTGGAGAAGTGGTAGCCCATATTTTGAAACACAGTTTGTCAACATGGGGCTCAGATCCTGCTACACGAATTGGTGACATTAAACCTAAAACCCTGCCAAAAAAGAGTGCTTACAAGAGTGGTATGACCGCAAAGGAAGAAGCCATGTTCACCAAAAGCGTCCCAACCAAAAAGAAAATGACGGTTAAGGGTGGTGCAGCAGTTGATCCTGATTCTGAATTAGAAGATGTTGCTCATGTTATCGAAGAACGAGGCTCGGTTTACAGTGCCGTTTTGGGAATGGTTGATATAGTCAAAGGAACTAACTCTTATTATAAATTACAGGCGCTTGAGAAAGATAAGGGCAGTGGTTGGTATCTATTTCGATCCTGGGGTCGAGTTGGTACAACGATTGGTGGCAACAAATGTGAAAAACAAGGCTCAAGAGCTGCAGCTATTAACAGCTTTAAAACCATGTATGCAGAAAAAACAAATAATGACTGGGACAACCGAGCAAATTTTGAAAAATTTCCCAACAAGTTTTATCCACTGGAAATCGATTATGGTCAAGATGATGAAAATATTAAAAACTTAGATGATTCCAGAGCTGGTTCAAAACTTCCTAGAAATGTTCAAGATGTCATTTGTGCTATCTTTGATATCGACCAAATGAAGAAAGCCATGGTGGAATTTGAAATCGATTTGAAAAAAATGCCGCTGGGGAAACTTTCTAGGAGACAGATTGAAACAGCTTATTCTGTGTTGACAGAACTAAATACGCTCATTGAAACAAAAGGTTCACAAAACAAATTCTTGGATGCATCAAATCGATTTTACACCCTCATTCCACATGATTTTGGAATGAAAAAACCTCCATTGCTTGATACACCTGAAGTTATAAAAATGAAAACTGAGATGTTGGACAATCTACTGGACATTGAAGTGGCGTACAGTTTATTGAAAGGCGGTGATGAAGGAGCCAATCCTATTGATGCGCATTACAAGAAACTCAAATGTTCCATGGATCCAATGGAGAAAAAGAGCGACATGTATGATAGATTGGTGAAATACGTTGAAAATACCCATGCTGCAACCCACAATCAGTACTCACTTCAAGTTGAAGACATATTTGAAATCAAAAGAGAAGGCGAAGAAGAAAAATACCAACCATTTGAAGATCTTCACAATCGACAGTTATTATGGCATGGTTCACGAACGACGAATTACGCTGGTATTTTATCACAAGGGTTGCGTATCGCCCCGCCAGAAGCTCCTGTCACGGGTTATATGTTCGGTAAAGGTGTTTATTTTGCCGATATGGTTTCAAAAAGTGCCAATTATTGTCGGGCTAGTAAAACTGATAGTACAGCCTACATGCTGTTATGTGAGGTGGCTCTGGGTAATCCCCACGAACTTCTCGCCAGTAGCTATGTTACATCACTACCAAAAGGAAAGCATTCAACTAAAGGTTGTGGTATGACAGTACCTGATGAGAAGGGGGCGTACATTACCGAGGATGGTGTGAAAATTCCCATGGGTAAAGGAACAAATGCTACGATTGGTCGATCTAGTTTGCTATATAATGAATATATTGTCTATGACACGGCACAGATTAAAATGAAGTACATGCTAAAGATGAAATTTAACTTTAAATGGTGAAATTGAGGGTAGGAAATAAATACATGTAAAAACCTACATGTAAATGTTATGTTAGTGAGCAATTTTATATCATTTGTAAGGATTTATTGTCAATCTGCCTGCTTCGCAAAAAGTAGGGGACTTTTGAAATTGGTTTCTCTGCCTGTCATACCTTTTGGAAGACCAATGAATCTGCTTCTGTTCGAGGTAGAATTTTAAAACTTGTTGAAGTTCAGTACATGTAGATGTATGGCTGGACTGGGTATGATGTATTTTAACTTGTGTTACATTGATTGGTCAATGCTTTATTTTCGAATTAGGGGGTTGGTTGGTCTAATGGTTTATCATGAGCGTGAAATCATAATGTCTGTCATTGTATCAAGTGGCGTGGTTTTGATTCTCCGCTTAAACGTGAAAGGAGTAGGGTTGCATGTCCAATCTTGTTGCTTTACCCCCCACACTAATAAAGACCCCAACGTGCAAGCGAATTATTGAAATAAAGTTGAACCATATATGTATCTTAGTCCGGAAATGACCTTCGGATTAAGTAAGGGGGACTTCTAATATACATGTACTGTTTTCTATCTAATTTGTTAATGTCAGGTAGATCACAGAAAAACTTACTTTTATTAACTTGGGGTACATTGGAAAATAAATGTTTTGTGTGTGGTAAAATTCATAGATTTTGAAGTACATGTAGATACATGTATTCCATAATAACTAGTCTTATTTGACAGTCTCAGTATTTAAAGATAACAGTTGTTTGCAGTCATTAACATGCGTGATATATCATTGTTATTTTTAGTTATCATTACAATGTTTGTGATTTTGTTATATTATGATTCGTTACAGTATTTAGTAAAATATTGTAACCTCATTAATACACATTGAATGTGTGCCGGCATGTGTCCAGGGTGGAGGGTCTGCTCACATGGAGCCTATACAACAGGGAGCCTAGGAGAGAGCCTATACATTTAAAAGAGTAAATTGCCTTCAGAAACAACCTATTTCGAAGAAATCAAATTAAAAATTTCAGCGGTCAGTCACGCAAGAACAGCCTTCCCCCCCCCCCCCCCCCCCCTGATCATTTTTCTGCACAGGTCCATGGTGTGGTTAATTTTTGTAGTTTAGCTTTATTCATGTGATTTTACACTGTACAGTATATTAAGAATCCTACACAAATCTACCCTTAAATTGAATATTGATCAAGTTAGTAGTGTACTAGAGGGATAAAACAAAGATACAGGTATTATTAACTTGGGAGATTTTAATATTTGTCATGCATCATTCTACATGTATGGGGTTCTCCAAATATTATGAAGTAGAATTTCCAGTTTACAAGTGACTGTGAGTATACATGTACATGATCAAGAGTAATGGTCACTTTCAAATATTCAGTGTTACTCAGGATATTCTTAAGAATTATCCACATATTAATTAATGTCTCTGAGTGTTAAATATATACTCTTCAAAAAGGTAGGGGATATTGAAATGCAAATACCTATGCAGGTTGTGATATGATAAATAGTCATGGACACTTATCACCCCAACAGAACCACTGAGCTGCACATGCGACACGCAATAGCCCCATACACGTGGGAGCGGTTCATTGTCAAATTTTACACTTCAAGGAAGGGTTGAAGAAAACTGCCGTTTGCTGGTTTATCCTATCCATGTTTGCTTTCATATCGGTTTTTGCATAAGATTTGCTGTTTAGCCTATCTTTGCTTTAGTTTTCGTCGACCGACAACACTGCATGAATTGACCGTGGCCCTGCAAGAGGAGTGGGTCAGATTGCCCCAAATCGTGATTGGACGGTTGATTAGGAGCATCCCACGACAAATTGCTGAATGTCTGAGGATTGGTGGAGCAATTACTCATTATTAAGACAAAAATCAAAAACGTCCATTTTCACTTTTGACAGTGTATCTCTTTGCAAGTGAAATGGGACCGTCAGATAAGCCGCCCATATGAACTGTTTATGTTCATGTGTAGGCAATTGGCCTGTTATTAACATACACTGGTTACCTCTAATAAAAATAGCAGTGCATTTCCGCATTTTTGTATTGTTTCTGAATATCTCCTACGTTTTTTTTGAAGATTATACATGTATATTTGAAAAGTAAAAACTGCTTCTTTTCTTTAATCCACAAATGAATGGTAATGAATACTGTCATTATTTCAGATATTGATTAATGAACGCTTTTTTCACAGGCTACTGACCAATATCAGAGTTTTTATGAGAATGCTAAACTGGATTGTTTCTTGTTATTAGAAATTTGTTAAGACAAGCTGATCTTTGTGATGATTGTGCTGAATAATTTGCTTGTACCATGTGATTATTTTATAAAAGATTCCAACCTGATTAAAATACAGATCTATATTTTGTTTAGTTATTTTTTATACATGCAATGGCCTACACTACAAGAAGATCTTGGGCCAGTTGTTCAAAGCTCCATTAACTTTTAACGACTCGTTAACATGGACTTAATGGATCGTTTTCTTTAACGGGGAACAATTCTGTTGATGGAAGCCGCGTTAACTTGAACATGTCGTTAATTTGCCTTTGCATTTAACGAAGGTGTTGGGCTCCGTTATCTTTTGAACGATGGTATTAGTCAGCTGTCGAAGTATTATACCCTCAGCAAAAAGTCATAGATTACCAGTGTAATTAACTGTAGAACATCCTAGAGGGTTGGGCGATGAGGGTCTATTCCATTTTCTATAGAATGAAGTTATATAGTATTCTTCAGAATTGGGGGGGGGGGGGCTGTAGGATATAATGACCCCAAATATTCTGCTGTTCTGTAGTGCAAATCCCGTAATTTCCCCTACAGATGTATACTAAAATTTCTAAAGGAAAAAAATCTAGTTTTCTATAGGTTTTTTTTTATAGTGTTTTCTGTATATATAGTAAATGCTACAGTTATCTTTTTGTCTTTAACCAAGTTGTCCCACCATCTACAGTTTCTTGTTAATACTAACTTCAATGGAGTTATTATAAATGTACTTTGAATTTAAAATTCAGCCAATGTACAAATAGTCTTCTCTTTGATTAACTTTAATCAGTCCGTTTGCTTACAGATAATAAAATTGACTTTCACGGAACAGAAATTTAACGGACCGTTAACAAACGACACGTTAGCAAGATAACGATCCGTTAAGAGTTTAATGGATCGTTAAAATAACTTATTTTTGAACAACCGGTTGTAGTGGAAGATCGCGTAGGGGTCGTACAAACTGCTTTTGACCCTATGACGTCACAATTGATTAACCAATCAGCGTTGATATATCTAGTGGAATACCCACAGTTCCGTGCACCATACGCCAAGAACTCACCGTAACAGACATTTCATTGGCTAACCCCTAACATCAACCAAAACGCGGGTTATATAACAACTCTTTCAATTCCTGGTGTAGTAAAGTGAATAAAACAAAATTTTGAACTATAAAAAAAACGAAATGAAATAGGATCTGTGTTTTAACCAGATTGGAATGATTCAATGATATAAAATGTCTCAAGTACGGTTGAATAATGCTGTCATCCTGGGTTTACTCAAAGATTATATTATCCATGATGTGTTTATAAATCTAGGTTGCAGTCAACACAATAAAAGTTATCAACCGATTGACTTGAAATTTATTCAGAGTTTATGCCCATAAAATATTGTCAGCTGTTAATATAGACCATTTCAAAATTATCAGTCTGTGTCTTCCGTTTTCCTCCAGGACTTCTTTTGAGCACGTTTTGTAAAAAATTACTGGCCTATAGCCCAGTTCACACTTGGACGCTTAAAATTTTGTAATGTAAACGGGGTTTATAACTCCTTTAATTGTCCCCCGCCTTTCGAAGAAAGCAGTAGACTATTAAAATGAGTATGTCCGTCACACTCTTTGAATTGAGCTAGAATGTTCAAATTTGGGTGTAGGAGAAATCCAACCATCATGTCCATATTTAGATGCTAATAGTATTTGATTATATTAAAGTTACAATTTCATATTTTATAAGAAAGTCAAAACATAATTATTTCTATGTCTTTTGCTCAATAGGTTGTCAACTCACTATTATACGATCATAGGTGTCATTCTCACACTTAAAACTCATTTACACCGGAAATAATAACACAATTACCTCCCTTGTTTTCTATTCTCCACGGAGTAGTTACCTTCAAACGTTTGAATTTGGATATGGAAATGATATTTTTGCCAATTTCTCAACTGGCAATAGTGAATTATAGGATTATTCTTTAACAAGGTAGGACTGTTTATAGATACCATCTATTTTAGGGCTATATTTTAATAAATATTAAAAATATAACTTAAAAATATGAAATTGCAACTTTAAACAAATCCTTGTAAGGAAAGCTACGGAAGGGCTAGTTCCTTTAGGAACGGTGTCTAGTCGGACTCTATTGCAAATTATTATAAATTTGTGTTGGATGGGGCGAGAAATGATTCCTTTTGGCGAACAAAGAAGAATCACGGTGAAAATAGACGGTAAAGATTCCAAAACAGTCTTAGAACAGAACAGACACCGTTCCTAAAGGGACTATGGGCTGGCTAATGCACATGCTATCTGGGTGATGTCATGGCGCCCTGTACACCTTTAGAAACATCGGGCAAGAATGATATCCCCCGGAAAATCGGTCCGTACGCCATATTTGCGCAAATTAACATAGCTTCAAACGCACAATTCTCAAAACATCGCATCACAGTTTGAATTGAAATAAGTAAATATTGGATCACGAAAATATTTACTGAAAAGTATTTCTTTGTAATAATTCGTTCTAAAGGTGTACTGAAACCACGGTGAGTAAGACGCTGGCTCGCTAGTTTGGAGGTCGTGGTATCGCTCCAGATGTTGTAGCCTTGGCTTTAACGCAACTTCTTGCTATAGTGTACATATCACCGTCAACTGAATTGATATATTTTTAGAAGATGCGTATTATTTGGTAGTGCCTTTTATCCGCCGACTTGGAAAAGAGGTCGTATATTGCAATCCCGCTAATCGTTCACTATTTCTTGCAAACTCCATTGGCTGCATTTATCATCCAAGAGTTTTGAAATTTATATATTTTGTTTACATAAGTGTGATGAAGAAGACTATACATGTCATTTCAACAAGTTCCGTTCAGTTATGATCCTTGTTTCATTTTGTAGAACCTTGTGGACGCTCTGCGACACAAGTTATCGTCCCATCTTTATTAAATTAATTATGCATTGCTAAAATAAGTAAATTGAAGATGACTAGTTCATAAGTTATGGCCCTTGTTTCACTTTGTAGCTTCCAGTGAACACTGAACGACAAAAGTTATCACCCAATCGGTATCATATTGCTTACGACACAACCTACAAAAGAATAAATATACATCAACTCTTGTCGACTGTCCGCACGAATTAGCTGCAATGGCCTTGTTTCGTTTGGGTTTTTTTTTTCATTTCAACCATTTCCTTTAACTTCTTCTTGTGTTATTTATTGCATTTTCTAAGTGCTCAAGAAGTGTTGTGGGTAAACAGGAGCGAAACCCGACAACGACAACATTCTACAGTACGAAGGGCTAAAAACTCTACTCTAATATTAAGTGAGAGGGGTTTAACGTCCACTCGACACAAACTATGTCATTTCGGGACTAACATATGGTTTAAGTTTATTTCAATAATTCCCACGAGGTTGGACAGGCGACCCCACTCCTTGTCACATACAACCAGTGATTCGAAACCACGCCAGTCGACTCAATGGCAGACTTTATGATACAGCGCGCGCACGCTAACCATTCAGCCATCCACCCCCCCACCCCTAATATTAAGTGCTGGGGGACTGCACCGCACATAATTTACATAATGATGATAACAAATGTGTAGTAAGTTAACAGGAGCGAAAACAATGCAACAATCCTGAGTCCTGTTTCTCGAAATCTTAACTACAGATAAAATCCAAATTTTAGTAGATTCTTCAATTTTATTTGGCTAAGCACTAAAATCCATCTAATATTATCCAATCTAATTACTAAAATTTAGATTTTATCTTTGTTAAAATTTCGTGAAACAGGCCCCAGGACTTAGATGACGTGGACGTATGTTTGTAGACAGCTCTGATCTTCCGTCTTGAAAAGTAGCCAGCTCCGACAAAAGTGATATCACCTTCCGTGGAAGCGGACGTTAAACACTAATAACAACAACACACAAATGTGATATTGTATCGGCTAAACAACCGAAAGGTGATAATGTCAAAGAATTAAATATACGCTCGATAGAGTGGACATTAGGATGTTATAAACGCACGTTTCGATGTTTCCATGATAAGATAAGATTGCAGCCACATGTGGGCTTTGACAAAATATCTATATTTACCTATTTGTATATATACTATTCAAAAAAAAGTAGGGGATATTTGATTTTTAAGTGTTATTAAAGTCACCTAATGAAACTGACGAAGAAACAAATGACAAAATGAAATGAAGTTCACATTCTTCGATTTATTCCAAATGATCGTTAGACTAAGTAAGGCACAGACTGACCATTATAAGGGTAAAATGATACCCGGGGTCAAACAGCAAAGTTACCACAGCATCACAACCAAGTCAGTAACGGGTAAATCCTCCTCTGTTTGCCAAACAAGCATTGATCCGACGTAACATACTCTTAATGAGACGTCTAAGGTCATTTTGGTCCAGATTGTCCCATTACTGTTGCAACGCAGCAGCAAGTTCTTGGACATTGGCAGGACGTTGTTGACGTTGACGTAACCTCTGTCCAAGCATGTCCCAGACATGCTCGATGGGGGAGAGGTCGGGACTCAGTGCTGGCCAAGGTAATGTGGTGATGTTCTGTTGTTGGAGGTAACCTGTAACGATCCTGGCCCTGTGACATCTTGCGTTGTCATCCTGGAAGATGAAACGGCGGCCATGACGTCGTGCGAACGGCACAACATGGACTGCCAAGATGTTGTCCCGGTAGTACTGGCCTGTAACACGCCCTGCAACAACATGTAAAGCCGTTCTTCCAGCAACAGTGATGCCTCCCCACACCATAACAGAACCACCCCCAAATCGATCATGTCTGATGACGTTAACGTCTTGGAAGCGCTCGTTTCGACGACGCCACACCCTCCTACGTCTGTCCAAAAAATCAACAGTGAACCGTGACTCATCTGAAAACATCACATTGCTCCAGCGTCGATTATCCCAGTGTTGACGATCCCTACACCAACGACGTCTTGCCTGAATGTGATGATCTCTCAAACAAGGGATCACGCGAGGACGTCGGGCGCGAAGGTGACCCCTATGCAGTCGATTCCGAATCGTCTGGCCACTCACTCTCACACCAGTGTCTGTTTGAAGACGAGCGCTGATCTGATTTGCTGTGATGACACGATTTCTCAAGGCCAAGGTACGGATAAATCGATCCTGGGCTTGAGTTGTCGCCCTTGGTCGACCTGAGCGTGGTCTGTCCTGTACAGATTGTGTATCACGGTATCTGGACCATAGCCTGCTTATGACAGACTGAGAAACATTCATCGTACGCGCCACAACCGCCTGTGTTGTGCCGATCTGTAGCATGCCAAGGGCACGTAACCTTTCATTTTGGGTAAGCCGACGCATATCAAAATTTGTTTTCTGGTCACTAAAACAATTAAACTGATGTTTCCACCCTGGAATTCAATGCCACAATGACTGTAACATTCAAAGTCAGAGTCGTGCAAATCTTGGGTTGGACCCCCATGATGATCCCAAGCATCACCTGCATTCCATGCGGTAGCTATTGGTGCGTTTGGGCGTCACATGTAACTGGAAATGTTTCTTCTGTTAGGTTCTATAGTGACTTTTTTCGTAGTCATTTGCATATTTTAGTATTATGCCCACAAAATCAAATATCCCCTACTTTTTTTGAATAGTATATTACTACCATGACTACGTGGCCCCAATAACCGTGTAACCATACTCCACGCTCGATTGAGTTATTTATATTGTGGATAGTCGCCCACAGTCCTTCGTTTCGTGATTGACATTGCCATGGTAGGCCTTTAAGCAACCTCGCTGCTGTTTCGGGGGATGTTACCTTTCAAGGCCGAGTACGCTAAAAGCGACCGATCAAACTGTAAAGCATGCTACTTGAAGATTTCAAAAGATTCACTGCGGTTGGCAGTTATGATCCGATTACACAACTTCGACGGAAAGGTTCGTCACGATCAAATATGTAAAATAGCACACGAATTGGGTTTATAAATAGATCATTGGATGAAAACGACACAGTGCGATACAAAATGAAAACGAAACTCGGGTAAAATATGGAATACAAAACGGAGAAAATGACCGTAAATCGAAGCTTTTTGTTTCAAAAGTACATTCTTTGTTAGATGTCGCTAGCCATTCTGTGTATCAATTATAAACAGTACTTTTTTAATTTTAATTACAACAAATCTTAATTTTGATGAGGTGTAGGCTATCCTTTGTTCTAATGAGCCACCCGATAAGATACGATGTTTATTGCATCAAAACGTCCATTATGGTCAGCATGCATACATATACACTTAGACATAGTCATATACATTTAATAATACATATTACCACACAATACATTCATACAAACAGTATACTACATGTATATATAAGGGGTTTCAGTTATATGTAGTGAACACCAAATTTGATTTAGCTCTCTTATCAAAAGCCAAAAACATATAAAGCCACTGCCTTGGCAATCGATTTTGGTTGGTTAAAGAGATTAAGAAAATTGTAGGAAATCTCAGGATTTTGGCATATTTCTTCATACTTTCTACAGTATAGCAAAACATGTTGCTCGTTTTCGATCGAGTTTAAATCGCAAAATTTGCATAGACGCTGATCAGCAGGAATTTATTTGTACAACAGATCACCTCAACAGACAAGTTGTTTCCTTTTTTTTAAATTTAAATATCCCCCAGAACTCTGTTGTGTCTCATCTTAACGATGAGTGTGCCACTTAAAGGTTATGATTTGTCCTATCCTAAAAAATATGAATATTTACTTCCAGGTTCCTAAATGGTACCATTTTGATTGTTTTTGGAAGAGAGCAAATGTTACACAGCCAGATAATATCTATGGCTACCACTCGTTACGCTGGGGTGATCAGCAGAAGGTGAAGGAAAAGATTGAAGGTACGGGCGAAGGGGCTGGAGATGCCAAAGATGGAGGAGATTCAGATGCAACCATGTTCACAATAGAATATGCAAAATCAAATCGTAGCACCTGTCGTGGTTGTGAAGTCGAAAGGTATTAAAGAAGCGGAAAAGGCCGATGTCCATGTGGTAAGTGAGAATTTTCTAGAAGATTTAAAAGCCGGAGAAGTGGTAGCACGTATTTTGAAGCACAGTTTATCAACATGGGGCTCAGATCCTGCTACACGAATTGGTGACATTAAGCCTAAAATACCGAAGACGAAGAAAGCGAAGAGTGTTATGACGGCTAAATACAATGTTCCAAACAAAATGAAACTGACGGTCAAAGGTGGTGCAGCAGTTGATTCAGATTCGAAACTAGAAGATGTTGCTCACGTTATTGAAGAACCTGGGGCAGTTTATAGTGCTGTGTTAGGAATGGTTGATGTAGCCAAGGGAACTAACTCTTATTATAAATTGCAAGCACTAGAGAAAGACACTGGAAGCGAGTGGTATTTCTTTCGATCCTGGGGTCGAGTTGGCACAACAATAGGTGGCACCAAATGTCAAAAACTTAGTTCAAGAGCTGCAGCTATTAACAGCTTTAAAACCATGTATGCAGAAAAAACAAATAATCACTGGGACAACAGAGCAAATTTTGAAAAATTTCCGAACAAGTTTTATCCACTGGAAATCGATTATGGTCAAGATGATGAAAACATTGAAAACTTAGATGGTTCCAGAGCCAGTTCCAAACTTCCTAAAAATGTTCAAGATGTCATTTGTGCTATCTTTGGTATCGACCAAATGAAGAAAGCCATGGTGGAATTTGAAATCGATTTGAAAAAAATGCCGCTGGGGAAACTTTCTAGGAGACAGATTGAAACAGCTTATTCTGTGTTGACAGAACTAAATACGCTCATTGAAACAAAAGGTTCACAAAACAAATTCTTGGATGCATCAAATCGATTTTACACCCTCATTCCACATGATTTTGGAATGAAAAAACCTCCATTGCTTGATACACCTGAAGTTATAAAAATGAAAACTGAGATGTTGGACAATCTACTGGACATTGAAGTGGCGTGCAGTTTATTGAAAGGCGGTGATGAAGGAGCCAATCCTATTTATGCGCATTACAAGAAACTCAAATGTTCCATGGATCCAATGAAGAAAAAGAGCGACATGTATGATAGATTGGTGAAATACGTTGAAAATACCCATGCTGCAACCCACAATCAGTACTCACTTCAAGTTGAAGATATATTTGAAATCAAAAGAGAAGGCGAAGAAGAAAAATACCAACCATTTGAAGATCTTCACAATCGACAGTTATTATGGCATGGTTCACGAACGACGAATTACGCTGGTATTTTATCACAAGGGTTGCGTATCGCCCCGCCAGAAGCTCCTGTCACGGGTTATATGTTCGGTAAAGGTGTTTATTTTGCCGATATGGTTTCAAAAAGTGCCAATTATTGTCAGGCTAGTAAAACTGATAGTACAGCCTACATGCTGTTATGTGAGGTGGCTCTGGGTAATCCCCACGAACTTCTCGCCAGTAGCTATGTTACATCACTACCAAAAGGAAAGCATTCAACTAAAGGTTGTGGTATGACAGTACCTGATGAGAAGGGGGCGTACATTACCGAGGATGGTGTGAAAATTCCCATGGTAAAGGAACAAATGCTACGATTGGTCGATCTAGTTTGCTATATAATGAATATATTGTCTATGACACGGCACAGATTAAAATGAAGTACATGCTAAAGATGAAATTTAATTTTAATTGGTGAAGATATATCGCAGTCCCAGAAGCCTCTACATCGAGGTTCACTTTTAGTCTCTGTGCTGTTCATTTTATATACATCGCCACTGAGGATTTGTTATCGACATGGCTTTGAGTCTATGATATATAATGCTGATGATGAATCTCAGGGGGCCAATTTCTCAGTTGAATCAGGTGTGTGCAAGGAAGAATTTATGGATGAGGCAGAATCAAATAGCGCCCAGTGACGTCAAAACAGACTTCGTTTACTTCTTTTCAAAGTTGGTGAGATTTATGCATATGGTCCAGTTTATCATATCGGAAATAGACTTCTGAAAATCCATTTTTACAGGGATTGAACTTAAAGGAGCTATATTTATACCCCCCCCCCCCCATTCCACATCCCTTGAGAAAATTTGGAGAATGGTAAAATCAAAGGTCCATTTTCTAGTATATCTGAGAATGAGAATATTTCTAAATGGTAGTTCGATGCGCCGTTTCGCCTTGAAGCTATCTAGCAAAATAGTGTAGTTCAATCTTCTAAAATCTTCTGACATCGTTTTCATTGCGTAGGAGTTACTGTCTATTGACAAGACAAACTTCTGTACACGTGAAAACTCCATAAGACATAAGACTTCTGTTCATGAATCATGTATCCCATCCAAACTTCCCGTGACATTCTGAAAACTCCTGAGATTTGTTATGATAGTAAGTAGTGAGGCAAACAATAAGAGTGGCACAAATAATCAAGTAGCGTATGAGTATCTATACTCGCAAAATCACTATCACCATGCCCCGGGTTCAACTTGTCTTGAATATTTGATACACGGAGCCCATATTTTCACAGTAAGATTGGAATCGACCAATAGTGTTTGTAATGTCTGAGATTTTACATTTAATCATATATACTACATTTTATAGGTTTGTTCTAGTTATAAAGCGGGATTTAAACTAGTTTATTGTGTACTGCTCTTTATAATAACTTTTTATTAAAGGGGCGTTTGGAGGATTAAATAAAGAGCTGACAGTTCTCACTATAATAGTTAGAACTAGATAATGTAAAGGGAATATGCTCCACTCTGAACCGAGTGGGTTTTAAACTAATTAATTTATGTAATGCTCTTTAAAATAACTTTTTTATTAAAGAGGAATTATGGAAGATTGGATAAAGAGCTGACAGTTCTCCCTACAATAGTTAGAACTAGATAATGTAAAGAGAATATGCTCCACTCTGAACCGAGATATTAGCGATTGAATTTTAGGCCTAGTCTCGATCATCATTACTAAAGACGGTACGATAAAAAACATAGTCTCGATTATCCATTTTTGGATTTAATCATCGACGAGCGTTGAGCAGCAGATCCGATTCCAATCCAGTGAAAATCCGACATATAAAATGGCATCGAGAGTTGATTATGGTCTTTTCATGTTAATAAATGTCTATTTAATTTCAGTCCTAAAGAAAGACCTGCAATAGGCAGATTTAGCTCTTGCATAATGCATGTTTAATAAGATCAGAAACATGTAATAAAATATTGTTTTACGGTATTTGTAGACCAACGTATTTTAATATTCAGTGTGAGCTATGTGAAATATATATTTCTTAAATTATATTATTGTATTTATATTGTACAGTAGATATAATCGATATCAGAAATATTGTTTTACGGTATTTGTAGACCAACGTATTTTTATATTCACTGTGAGCTATGTGAAATATATATTTCTTAAATTATATTATTGTATTTATATTGTACAGTATTAATAATCGATATCAGGGAATTAGGCGGGTATAGATAACAATACACCTAGAACAAACTGCAACAGAAATCATTTCTTTGGGAACCGTTCAGGTATGGTCTCTAGTACTTCCATAACAAAAGCGACCATTATCGGTCTTGGGGAAATTTGAATAATTAACATAAATCCAAGATGGCCGCCAGTGGACCAGAAAATCGCCAAAATCGCCAAAATCTCCGAATCGGTTGACTTTAGTGCAAATAAATGTATTAACGGCCTATAGGATATCGATACTCGCGAGTTCAAAAATGCCGACATAACCTACGATCTTATTATGACGTCGTAACGTCATTTTGATGGCATTACGTCGTTCTCATTGTGACGTCATTATCAATTGTATTGTAACTACGCTCGGAAAACTGTTGGAAACCATGAACCGCTGCAATCTGTTTCACAGAGAATTACGAAAGTCTTCTAATATCTCTGTAAAAGAATCAAGATGACTGCCTTCAACACATGACGTCACGCGACGTCAATCATTGGCTCAATGGGGCGTGCAATGTTTACATAAGACGTTACTGCTTCGGGCAGAATGCTGCCTTTTACTCATTTTTATACCCATTTACACTAAATAGGAAATAATATTTACCTACAAATACTTCAAACGTCGTTATTTATTTTTCTAATACTTAAAAAAAAATGTTTAAGAATTTAATTTGTCTGAGTAAAAAAGTAAATATTTGGGGCTCATTAAGTCGCATCGATGTCATCCTTATTCACTGCTGATCAGTGTGGAACCGCTGTACAACTCATCAAACTGAAACTCTACATCATCGTTCATCTATAGCTGGGGGACACGGTGGCTTGCTTACCTGGAGGTTCAGTGTTTGATCCCTGCGTTGGCCGAGAAAGTTCATTGGGATTTTACGGCGTGGTACCCCTTGTCAGTGGTGCAGGACAGAAGACCAGGCAAGGGACAACGTATAGTCCTTCGGATATTACGAAAAGCCGTTACGGTTCCCTTGCCAGTTGGAATTCGATATAAGAGTGTGCCGTAGTGCACTGGCGTATGCCAGTCTTCATTATCCCAGTCGGAACAGAACAGTAGGACGTTAAACCCCATTTCTTTTCATCTATAGCCATCTAATAAAAGCCGATAAGAATAGTCTACCTACTTAGAATATGAAAACAGGAACATAGTTAAAGTCAAATCTTACGAAATTATCGCTGGTCTTATTAGTCCATGTGACAGGCAGATATTCATTACCAATTTGATGAATTGGTTTAACTATGATTTTCAGTTAGCCTTAGGTCTAAAGTGTCCAAAATTGGTTGATGGACTTCCGCCGTTTTTTTTCTTATTTGAAATAGTGCGAGTCGGGGAAGCCTTCATAACTCCTCAACAGTTTCACCTATATGGATATGTAATATATCTAAAAATGTTCATAATATAATTCTGCATCTGCTGGTATATGATATATGTTGTTTAATCAATACTATCAGTTTTAAAATAAAAGATTAATCTGAAAAAAAGCAACATTTTCGATTTTTTTTTCATGTCTGTTCGTATGTTTACTAACAAATCGTGTTCAGACCCATATAAGCCAAATTATCTGTTTGGTCAACTTAAGTGATTGAATAGATATCAGAAACATTGATCATAAAAAATAATCTCAAATATGAGTGTCCCAGATCCAAGATGGCGGAAATTCAAAATGGCGACAAAATTTCCTAAAATGGCCAATATGTCAGATAATAGTCATTTCATTGTTTGATATGACATGTACTATCCAATGAGCTTACAATTAAAGATCCATTACGTAAGATTTAGATAAAGAGCTAGCCATTCTTGCTACAATAGTTCGAAAATAGATAATGTAAAATGAATAATTTGACAATTTCATTCAAATTACTCTATTGCAAGCGAAGATATTAGCCTTTGAAGGTTTGACCAGACATGTGCAATAATTTCAACAACTGTACTGGTTGCTCGAAGCTAAGTCTCGCTCCTCCATTTTTAGATTAAATCAAAATATGACTGATACGTTCTAATTTATTTAATATCGGAGAAATCCGATGCCATCGAGAGTTGATTATGGCCTGGGTCAGTTAATTAATGTCTAAATAATAATTTAGAAAACATTTCAGGCCTAAAGAAAGACCTGCAATAGGCAGATTTAGCTCTTGCACAATGTTTGTTTAATCTAAACAAAGAGTTTTAAAAATCCAAGATGGGGAAAATTCAAAATGGCGGTCCGAATTTCCATTACATGAATGACTGTTTTATATAGCTTATAATGTCTCTTTTATAAGGTTTCCAGAGTCACTGAACATGAATAAAAACTCAAAATAATGCTGAAAATGATGTTAATGATACTGCTAAAAATGACACATCCTATGCGCCCCCCCCCCCCCACACACACACACCCCATAAACAATACAATGGGGCATAATATGGAATTGATTATTTTGGATCTCACAGATCACAAGACATTTCACCAAAATAGTGAGTCATTTTAATTTCATCTACTATGCCTTTGCACCATTTTAAGCCGTATTGAGAATTATTTATGATATATCCAGTTGTTAAGAATTTAAGATCTCTTATTCGTTCAGAAATGGTAATGTGGTCCGTTTTTACATTAACGCCTCTATGCCCGGCAACTTTTGTCGTTTAGTCTAGTAGGCCTGCAACTAAAAATTTTAGCTTGCTTAGAAACACAGTTCCACTACAAGGTCCTCCCTATTAAACAAACTATACATATTTGGAAAGCTTATAACACCAGGAACACAAATCCAATTAAAATGTTTTAAGGCCAGATGAAAATTGTGATAATTGTCAAGTAAATGTTATATTTATACTAACAATTGTGAAGTTGACATAAAATTACACATATGATACCTAGGATAGGACAGGCTTATCTTTGCTCCGTGAGGTGAACGACAGGGTTCTCTACAACCAGACTCGAAATTTCTTTTGAAAAAACTGACTGTAATTTAAATGGTACTTTCTAGAGTATATCCTGATGTTTTTAGCTTATGCATATATCTTAATAATTCATCAAAAACGACATAAATTCATAACTACGCGAGAACATTGACTAGTTTAGGGACCCCCGAAACTACCATACTCCTTTTGAGTGTCCATCCCTGAAAAGGGAGGCAAAAGATATGATGTTAAAACGATAATTCATATATTATTTTACAGTTATATATATATAAAAAAATGTCTCCTTTTTATCCAATGGACAATTTATTGTTAGTTCATGTAGAAAGATATGGTGCTTA